GAGCATTTTCTTATATTTTAGCTTTTGCTTGGTCATCTTTAGTCCAAGATATTTGGCCTGCATTTTCAGTTGAGATATCTGGGCATCCGATTTCTTCTTGTTTTTTAGATTCGTTGCTTCCATCAGAGCGGTCCGACTTTCGACCTCTTTTACTAACTCGTCGATCCGTTTCTGAAGTTTGGAAATAGTCACCGTCTCTGATTCAGCGGTATGTTTTCTTTTGCAGTGACTTCTCCCCAGGTCATGGCACTTTTCTTCAAGGTTTCCAATCTTGGTGCCTACTGTTTTGATATTTTCTAAAATATTTTGGATTCTTTTATTGTCCAGTGGTTCGAATAGTTTGATTTTCTCAATCACAGTCTCTGCTTTAGAAAGCTTTTGTTTCAGCTCATATTCGTTATCGGAAAAGTGTTTCGTCAATATCTTCAAACTGAATTTCGACCCTTCCAATCTTTTCTCGAGAAATTTGATCTTTTTCTCTGCCGCTTGTTCAGAATAACCTTCTCGAAACAACTTTGCGTGCGTAGACTCTATTTTTACCAAACGTCCTTCGATTTCGGTTTTTTCAACGGCGCGTTTCTTTTCAAAAGCAATAATGATTTCCCTCGATTTATTCAACTCTTGTTGGATAGCCTCAATTTCAGCTTTAGTGTATTTCGAAACATCTTCTCGTAGTTTAAAAAGGGTACTTTCATAGTCTTCTATACAATTTTTTAAAATTTTGTTGTCTTCAGTATATATATCCTCCATATAAGATGAACCTTCGACCCACTTTTCGGAAATTTCCTTGATTGCATTCATTTCTTCCTCAGTCGGATTTCGGCTCAACCCAATCCGAGCTTCAAGTTGGCCTAGGAAGATTGTCACCTCGTACTCGGCTTGCTTGAGTTTTCTCTGGAGTATGGTCTTTGTCTCGTTACTCATCTTTTCCAAGTCCATGATCTGGTTCTCCAGTTCAAACTTGGCCTTGTTGTGCTTCTTTTCAAGCTGGGTAATAGTGAGCTGTGCGGCTTTTAGTTGTATCTCAAGGTCATGTATCTTGGTCTGTGCGGTTTTGTACAGATTATTGGCGCCATCTAGATCCAGAGAATTTTTTTCCGTGATTTCTTTCTTAAGATAGGCAAATTCGGCCTCTGCCTTTTCCAGACTGGCACTGTGAAGCCGTTTCTTGATCTCAATATGCTTTAAGAGAGACTCGATCTCGGTCTCCAACTCCCGCTTTTTTTCAAAAGCCTCCTTTGCCAACAAAGCCATCGCACATCCGGAATCGCGAAGTTCGTCTACAGACCTTTTCCTGTCTTCTGAATTCTGAACCTTCAAAAGGTCAATCTGGGCGAGTAATCTGGCTTCTTTTTTACCCCATTCTTTCTCAGCCTCGATCAGTCTTGTGGCCGATTGATTTAGGGTTTCTTTATAAGCCTTTCTTTCATCTTCCATGGCTTCTATAGAGATCATTTTGCTTACGGCATCATCATTCTCATCACCCAATGCTGATGGCTTAGGGATGCTCTGTTCAAGCTTTTCCAAATCAGACTCTGCCTTTTGAAGTTCCAACTCGACCATACGTTTCTCATACTCCAGGTTTTGTTTTGTGAGCTCGAAGTTTTCCACTTGAGAGTTGATTGTATGAAGTGAAAACTGGGTTTTGGTCAGCTCTGTCATCAAAAGCTTTACTTTATCCTCAAGCTCCTCTTTTTCCTTTTTGTGTGTCTTCCTCTCGGACGCAATCTGGGCTCGCAATTCGGTTTCCCTGATGACCGACTCCTGATCGAGTATATTGTACCGGGCGTTGAGTTGGTCGATATGCTGGCCATGTATCTTCTTTTCGTCGATGTTTGACTTTTTCCAGGCAGCGATCTCTGTGAAGTGAGCTTTGTTCCTGTCGGTCAGTTGAGACTGGGCTTCCAGATATTTGCCCAAGGTTTTGTCAAGGTTGGCATTGAGAGTCTTCATTTCTTCTGCATTCTCCTGTCTCAACTTCTCCATTTCTTTCTCGAACTGTAGTCTTTCCTGGAAGAACTTGTCCTCGATCTGCTGAATGGAAGATTGAGCGATCTCCAATTGCTGCCTGTATACCTTGTTGTCATACTGGAGCTTCATCTTTTCTTTCAGAACCAACTCCTTTTCTTCTTCGTAGGCTTTCTTGTGGTGCTCAAACATCTCAATGTCTTCTAAGAGCGGTCCCTTGTCTGTGCGTGGTTTTTTTAAAACAAACCTTTTCTCATTGATACAAGTATCGGCCACCCTAGTGCTCTTAACATCCTCCTCTAGGCCAGTCTTCTTCTTGTTTTTGGCGGCCTCGAGTTTTATTTTGTTGTCTAGTTGTGAGATGCAGTTCTTAAGGCTGTCAATTTTTTCATTGAGTGCCAGGACCTTTACTTCGTTTGCTTCCGCATGGTGTTTAATCTCGTCTTGGAATGTGTTGTGGGCACCATCCATCTTGTGTTTGAGAATCGTGATAATGCTTTGGGATTGTTGTAGTCGCTCCTCGAGAGTTTTTTTGTCGGCTTCGTAGACTTCCTTGTTTTTGATGATTTCTTTCCCCAACTCACGGTGTCTTTTATCAGATAGCTGGGTATTATTCTGGGTAGTGGTATCAGAAGCCTGATTGAATTGTCCGTGATTATTGTTTGAGAGAGTAGATGGAGGTACCGGTGTAAAAGTGGGGAAGACTATTGAGCGGGATAGGGTTGCCTCATAAGCTTTACTGTCTAGCAGTCTTTTGAGTTGAACCACCATTGATTCTGAAAAATCAAATTTGGATAGCAATGCACTGTTCTCTTTGGACGCTTCGTCCCTTGCTAGCTGAGCTTTTTGTTCTGCGATCTTACGCTCGATAATAATCTGATTACTGAGTTCGGCGATCTTTGATTCAGCCTCAAAGATCTTTTCGGACGCCTTTTCCTTGTCTGACAAGGCCGCTTTCTTTAATAGATTGATTTGGACCAACAACTTGGTCCTTTCGGTAGACAGATTTTGCTCCAGGTTTTTCATGTTTAGGTCCGAGGCAGCTAATAAGGATCTTAGGTTGCTTTCAGTGTCGGACGCCTGTTTGTGTAGGGCCTCGATATTGTTCTTCATTTCGGCTTTTGCTTGCTCGAGCTGTGCGTTTAGCATCGCTTTTTCGTTTCCATTCGCCTTTTGCGAAAGCTTCAGGGTCTTTACGGTTTCTTCGATCTTTAACTCGAGGTCGATAGAGCTTTGGCGCAGTTTTGAAAGCTGGTGATCTTTTGCGACCAAAACTGCTTCGGAAAGTTTTGCGTGCTTCTGCATGTCTTTTATGGTCTTGCTATAGATCCGGGTCATATTCTTCAATTGGAGCATATCGGTAGAATTTTGTTCGACTGTATTCTGTGCCTGGCCGAGGACCGCGCGAGTCTCTTTTTGGCGCACAGACTCGGCGAGTCCGTTCTGGATGCGTTTGAGAGATTCTTGGTATATGTCCAGTCTTTCTTTCAGTTGTTCAATCTCTGCCTTGAACTCTTGATTTTCAGCTGGGTCGAGCTCTTCTGTTTTGATAGTGACACAGTCGAGTTCTTCTGGAGTACTGTTAGATTGAACTTTAAATTGAGGCTGGGACTGGGATAAAGACCGGGACCTGGACTGAGGTGAAGAAGGCTGAGATTTAGGTTGTGATTGTGGTTGAGGTGTGTGCATGGGCGTGGAAGTGGAAGTAGTTGGAGTTGGAGGGGAAAGGGACATCAGCTTTTCCCATACAGTATTTGTCGAATCCATCTCTTCGTTTAGCTTTCTTGTAAGATCTTGCAAGAAAGCTTCTTCATTTAACTAGAGTTTAGATTGGTGTCAAAAGAAGATATAAATATACACAAGTTAATAAACATGTATAGATTTTTAGAGTGTGTAGTGTGTATATCAAAATATAAGATAGATGGTTATTTTGAAATTCAAATCAAATCTCACCCGCTTTTTTCGCTCTATGTCAAGTTCCATCTATACACACAGTGTAAATATATTTATTTAATAGATATATATATATTGTGGTACGATAAAGTATATTGTTTTTTTTTAAAATATTTATGCCTTACCTCAAGGATATGCTTCTCTCGAGCAACTTCTTCCCTAGCTTCAGTGAGTTCTCCATACTGTGCCTTGAGCCTTTTTATTAGGTCTATGGATTTATAAAGGTCAAAGTAAATTAAGTAAGAAAGTAAGATTTTTTTAAAAAAAAAAAATCAATCAAAAAACCAGAGGAATAATATAAAATATAGTCAGGAGAGTACTGCGTGTGTATTTTTACTTCTTCTTTTTTTCATTATTCATTCTCGTTTGGTAATCTTGGTTTTTTTTTTTTCATTCCAAAGATGATAATGATTGATAATAATAACAGTGCAAGGAAAAGGTATGGGAAGTTTGGCATGGAATCCGCTAAGCAAGAAGGAATAACAAAAAAGAAAAAGAGAAGGTATATAATTAAATACTGACCTTTGTATTCATGTAACATGATTGTAATTGTGATGTCAATTTCACACCGCAATTTTCTTCTTTAAAAACAAAAAGAAACAGGTCAATCAAAGGTGTAATAAATTTGATGCACATTTGCCAATAAAATATCATTTATCTTTTTTGAATACACACTGACCTTTAAATATTGTTCCATTTTGAGAGCGTGATGAGTTAGTCATTAAAATACCAGTTGTACTTGTGCTAGAGCATCTCCACCAGTCCCTTTTAACTCGACTTTTATCTTCAATTGAACAGTTGGTTGAAATGATTCTTTCTTCTCCTTTTAGCTAAAGTTGCAGTGTTTGGTTTTAAGTAAAAGTTAACTCACTGTTGGAGATGCTCTAAAAGAAAAAAGGAGATACTATACTACGCCTCTGTACCTTCCCAAGATCATTCCATTTAGTCAAGTGTAACAATACCTATGATTTATTTCTCTAATTATCTATGTATTTGTAGTTTCGATAAAAAATAATAATCGAATATATAGTCCCACCTCTCCCTCTTTCTTTCTTTCTTTCTTTCTTTGCTTTACTATTATGTTGGCTGCAGACCTGCCTTTTGAGATTCTTGTGCAATTGTCAGGCCTTCTATTAGCAGAGGACAAATGTGCTTGTGCTCTTACCTGCAAGAGATGGAAAACACCGTTTCAGGAGTCGCTCTGGAAAAGCATAGAGGTCAAGTCTATGGAAAATCTTATCAAGCTCTGTACTATTGCAAAACGTCAGGCTAGCGAGTTTCCCTACAGTGTAGTAACCCAAAGTGCGTGCATAGCTGGAAGCTGCACCTTAAGCGACCTGTTTCAGAATGATTTTCCCGGAACATTTATGAATTCGAAGCATCTCTATATGAAGTCTATATCTTTTGAAGATATCGACACACATATTCCAATCAATAATAATCCTTGGAAGTCACTGGTCAGACTTAGGCTCTGTATACAGCCTATGAGATATGAAATATCGATGCCAGCACTCATTAGCTTCTTGACAGTCGTTCCCAACCTCCAAGAGATAGAAATATTTCCGGTTTCACCAAAAAGTTTTCTTTATTTTAACTCGAATGATTTCAACACCCTTCACAAAAAATTACCCCAACTTACATCTATCAAGGCTGGTCTAATACTCAAGGATATTCACGAAGATGACGCGTATATAATCCCTAATACTACACAGGCCATAACAGTAAAATCGCTTGATGTCAGCCTCAAAGAGTGACAAAACCTATGGCTATACTATCTGTGGCTCTTATACTTTAGCTACAAGTACCCAAACTTACATACCTTGCGATGGAGAATTTCATGTGGATCTAGTGAATGGATTGTTAAAGACTTAAATGAAAGAAAACCATCACTCTCTTTTTCAATTGCAAATATTTTTCCGCACTTGGAAACAATTAATTTTCATACTAAAGATCCTACTGAGATGTCTCCCACTGTTTTCTGGGACTTCCTTTGTCAGTCCAGTCTTCCAATCAAGAATTTAAAGTACAGGACCAGATACAGCTATTCTGGAAGAGACTTTCTGGAAGAAATTCTTCGTCAATTTGCACGGTCCTTTTCGAACACTCTCGAAACTCTCTCAATTGAAAGGAATATATGTTTCAATCCTGAAAATATTGTAAAGGCAGAATTCTCTTATTTTCCACAGATGGTGGATCTTGAAATTAAAGAGTGTGGTGTGTCGATTGCATTTGATATTGTAATAAATAGTTGCACAGCCTTGCGACGACTGAAATTTTCTGGGGGACAGTTGTATATTGATCCGTCCACAACCATCAATTGAGAACGGCATGGACTACAAGTATTGGAGCTAGAGAGAGTTTATTCAAGTTCTCGTACATTAAGTTACATTTCCCACCGATGCAGATGTCTAGAATACCTGGATCTGTCCTTTTCAAAAATCAGTGGTCCTATTGCTTGTGGAACTAAAAGAATGTATATTGACATGGCCTACACCAAACTTCAAAAGCTAAAAATCCACCGCGTTCAATTCTACTCGTCCAGCGAATGCATGAATGAAAGTACTAGCCTCAGCCTGCGATTAGTGTCCCAGATAACTGGCTCTCCTCTAAAACAAAAAAGGAAGAAGAAGAAGAAGTAAACATAACATTTGATATTAATAACCAAGCTTGGCTTCACACATTCCGTGGATTTAGCTCTACATTTGCCTATTCGCAGCAGATCAGACAACTGTCACACCAAGAAGTTCTCAATGTTATCGATTATTACAAAGATTACCGGTTGAAAGAGACTACAAACGCACAAGAGACAGAGAGATCTTTAGACGTACATGGTATCATAGAAGACTGGATAGAAGATCTTTGTAGAGGCTATGTTGAATTGAGATGTAGGAACATAACTAAATGCTTTACACCTTCCCTTTTGAAATATATGCATATTGATGGTTTATGAAATCTATTTTATAATAGCTTTATACAAATATCTTAGCTCTTTTGTTCTTGCTATTAAAAAAGATATTACTAAGCACAAACCACTTGTATTTTATCAAAAATATACCAGACACAGAACTTTTAAATTTATCCTAGATATACCTTTGTTTTTTTTAATGAAGACATAAAAGTATACTTTAATAGTGAAAAGTATACAGCTTGAAAAATATGGCTATTTCTTTTTTTAGGGCATTCAGAAAACAAAACCAAAATTTCAACAGAGAAAACACAAAACCTTAAAATATAAGAGTGGGTGTTGTGCTGTGGCAAAATCAACTCAATTTAAGTAACCAGATTCACTCTTGTGTCTGCAAATCTGAGTCCACAAACCTCTATTAAATTATTTAAAATCTCTGGCGTCTTTAAGATGTCTAAAGCCATTGTAGCCTCTGTAGAACTTAAAACTCTTAAAGCCGTTAGGGCCATTAGGACCCCTATAACCCTCATAACCTTTATAACCCTTAAAGTATCAAAAATCTTCCAAGTCTCTAAAGTCTTTTAAGTCTCCAAGGTTTTCAAAGCCGCTAAATTCTTTGAATTATCTGATACTTTTGATATAGTCAAAGCTTTATTTAGTAGAAAAATAAAATTTTCATCCCTTTTTTTTTAAATTTAAATAGCAATTTAATTTTCAATGATTATTATACAGTTTCTTTAGTTGATGTGATTTAAGAAACAAAGTAGAAAATCAGAAAATCTTTAAATTTCTATGTTTTTAGACAATGTCATTAGATTCTTTTCAAACGAAGAAAAAAATTAGTCAGTGAACTACTTTATTCATACCTTTCAAAAAGTCATTAAGACATCTTTTTAAAATATCAAGCTAGTTTAAAGAAGATTATTGCTACTTTGGTTGCACCTATTGTTCATCTCAATTGGAAACACAATTGCATTGTAAGTCACCTGTGAAAGAGTAATTTATGAACTTGTTTTAAAAAATATAGAAAAACCAAATGTAAGTCATGTACAAAAATATTTCCTTTTCTTTTTAAAGATATAGAAGACGGTAATAATATGTATGATGATATGATTTGGAAATGTCACTATTTTGCACTTAAAGCCCTATACATTATCTATCTCAAACACTTCTTTTGTATTATCCTTCAACTACAGATAGGTTTGCGAGTATAGATGTGTAGATGTGAGTGTGTGTTTATGCAGATTTAAACTATGCTGTAAAGTCAATTGGAATATCTCGTGTTCTCCATTCTTTGCTTATGTGTTTATGTATATATAAAAGAACGGAAAATGAGAATTAAAGATATTTCATACATTAAAGAATTAAAAAGAAGAAAGAAAGAAACAAAGGAAGTAAAAAAACAAAAATATTGTACGATGCTCTTTAAAGAAGTCATTTCCAGGCATAAAATAAAGTATCCAACTAGAAATTGTGAAGCTCTCCTTGCAGTTGATGAATTAACCTACAAATTGTTTGATTAGCTCACCCATATATATAGCAAAACTCTGACTATTCAATTTCGACTCACTTCAACATCTGCTCGTTTTCGTCCTTAAACTGATCAAGCTGTACACGAAGTTTTGTGTTTTCCTCTTCCAGAACTTTCATCTTATCATCCTGTATCTTGGTTTTATCCTAAGAATACACACACACACAAAGGAGGTTAAAATTTTCAATTCATTTGTCTATTTCAAGTACCCAGAAAAATAATATTTCCTTCTTTACATATCTATTCTTATGCTTCTTATGGTACTTACCACTGAGATGGACATTTCCTTTTCAATAAAGCGCATTTCTGCGATAATAGACTTCAACTCTCTGTCCCGTCTACTAGCTTGCTCTTCGGCATTGGCCTTATCCGATTGATGAGTTTCTGTTAAGGTCTCGAGTGTCTTTTGGTGAGCTGTCTTGATAGTCCTCAATCTATGGGAGAAGCTGTCAAGCTCTTTATCTTTCAAATCAAGCATATACTGGAATTGAGTTCTCAGGACTTCCAGTTCCTTTTGGTGCTGAGCAACTACTGCTCGTAATCTTTGTTCTGCCAATGCCTAACAGTTTATGATCCAAAACAAAACAAAAAAAAAGGAAAAAATAAGCATATATATATATATAATGTGGGCTTATATTGGTATTTAAAGTAAGCAACTAACCTCTTTGTTTGCATTGTTTTCGCTGGCTGAAATATTGGAAAGAGCAACTAGACGTTCTTCAGCAGCTTTGATTTGCTTATCTTTGGAAACAATCATTTCTTCGTACGCACTCTTCATCTGCTTCAGATCTTCATCGTTGGTCTTTGTATCAACTGTGGGCGAAGTTTCTGGGTTATCCAGTTTCTTGGTGATGGTATCCAGTGCCATCTCCAGACGCTCGACTTCAACTGTCATCTTCTCAATCTCTGCAGACTTTGCAAGAATCAAGCCGTTGTCCTGCTTGATCTCTCTTTCTTTGGACTCCTTCATCAAATCAGAATGTTTTTTCTCGCTTTCCAAGACCTTTGCTTCCAAAGCCGCCAGGACCTTGATGTGCTCATCTTGTATACTAGTGAGATGCTCTTTATGAACAATATGTGTTCGCTATTTAATTAATTTTTTTTTAAAAAAAGAGTGTAGAATATGATTGATTCATTGTTAGTGAATATAATCTTTAAATGCTTGTTTATTTATGAATATCTTACCTCAGCTTCCGCACTTAATTCGCTTGTTTGGCTTAAGGCATTCTTGAGTCTTTCGTCTAAACTGTTTATTGCTTCTGTGTGGTCCTTTTGTAAGGCTATCAGAGCAGCGCTGTGTGTCACTTCCAATAGCTCCATCTGCGCCTTGTGTTCGGCTCTTAGCTTTGCATGGCCATCTTCGGCCTCTTGTTTGATTCGCCTGAGATTTTCTTCCTTTTCAAGTGAATTTTTCTCTTCAGCTAGACGCTGAGCCTCAACCTCGGCAAGGGATTCAATATGGTTCTGCTGGATAGTTTCGAGCTCCTTGTTCTTTTGGATTTCAATAGCCTGGCATTCCAACAGAATCTTCTCAAGATCAAACTCAAGTTTGGTTTTGGCTTCCGTGTGTTCTGCAATAAGTGCCTGGTTTTTGAGTTCAAACTCTGCAGCCAATGCAGTCTATTCAAACCAAAAAGTTTAAGTCATTCACATACAATGATTAAATTTACTCATTTATATTTTATCTTCCTCGAATAACAATAATTATGTAAAAAAAAAAAGTGTACCTCAATCTCAGTGCGTACAGATTCGGCGTAGATCAGCACAGCTTGTTCTGCTTGCTTCAGAGTCTCTTCGTGTTCTTTTTGAAGCTGAGCCATGGCTTGTGCATGTTCTTCCTTTAATTCTTCTACTTGATTCAAAAAACTCTTGTGTAGGGAAGACTTTTTTGTATAAAAAATGAAAACAAATGTTAAGAGGGGAAGGGTGTTTTTATATTTTATTATTAGCCAATATTCAATATTCAGTATAGATATCTTTACCTCTATTTGAGCCTTGACCTGCTCCGCATTTCCGCCAATTCTTGATTCTGCTTCAGCAAGAGCTGAAGTGTGAGCAATAGTCAACTTTTCAAGTGCTGCCTTGTGGGAATTCTCCAACTCCTGTCTGGCTTCAATCTCTTTGGTATTCTTTAATTCCATCTCTTCCAAGGCTTTGATATCTTGAGCTTGTTTCAACTCAAGTTCCTTGATTTGTTTATTAAGCTTTTCATGAAGAGCTTCTACTTCCTCTACATTTCTTGCGCCAAGATTAGACTAAATACAGTAATAATAAAAAATAAGAATTTTGGTTAAGAATTCCACGTATTACTTTTATTATATATAATCTTTATAACAAGGAAGAAGAATAAATTACTTGCCTCAATCTCTTCGTGTGCTTTAGCCAGCTTTTTTTCATGCTCGACTTGCAATTCTCGAATGGCCAAATTATGATTATTGTTTGCCTGTTCAAGCTCTTCTTGGAAAGTAATCTTCATCGTTTCATTCTCGCGATCACGCTGCAAGATATATTCACGCTTTGTTTCATTAATCTTAGATTCGTGTTCGGCTAAAAGCTTAACGACCTCAGCTGCATGCACATCTGCCAAGGAAACCTATTATTGTTATTAAGAATAATAAATACACATGTACATTCACATGAAAAATACTTTAATTGAATTCAACCGAATTCAATCCTAGATTTCTTTCAATAATATCCTACTACTCTTTTTTTTACCTCGACTTCTTTGCGGATCTCTTCCATATGTCTGTCTCTTTCAACTGTCAAATGATCCAACTCTTCTTGGTGTTTCTTCACCATCTCATTCTGCTTCTCTGATTCTTCCTTTAATGACATTTCGAGTTGCTCAATACGTCCAGTATGATATGCCTGGAGTTCCTCCATAGCTTGACGGTGGCCAGTAGTATGGGTTTCCAATTGTCTTTCAAACTCAGTTCTGAGCTCACGTTCAGTTTCTGTACGAGCCAAGGAAGCACTAGAACTCTTTGCATCATTAAGAGCTAATTCGTGAGCCGATTCGAGCTTTTGGATAGCCAACGTGTGCTCTGCTGTAAGCTTCTCGATAGCACTCGCGGCTTCTTCTTTGGAAATAATAGCCTGTTTGTCGACTGTGCCCTTGCATTTTTCTTCGAGTTCAGCAATCTTTTTGTCATGTTCTTCAATCAAACGAGCCTTTTCGATATTAATAATAAAAGCAGAATTATGAAATATTAGGTTAACTTTTTGATACAAGTAAGCTACCTAGCACACCACAATTTTTTATATATAGAGGTCTTAAAAATCACCTTTTCTAATTCTTTCTCGTTATCAATAGTAGTTTCGTATTGCTGGTTGATAGTTTCACGATCCTTTGCTTCCTTAGCTTTCAAAGCCTCAATCTCATTCTGCACAAGATCAAGCTCCTCTTGTTTCTTGGACAAAGCGGCCTCGTGACTGTCCTGTGTCTTTTTAAGGTCTTCCTGGTACTTGGCCAAACAGGCAGCCTACATACACAAATACATTATTAACATTAGTAATCTTTTTCTCCTATCTATTTATAATGTTTTTTTTTCCTTTAAAAAAACACGTACACAGGCTTGTTGTATACAATTATTTATATCCACAAAGCTTTGAAATCTTACGAACCTCAGTCTCTGACTTGACAGCATCAATTGCAGCTACATCTCTGGAGAGTTTGATCTGCTCTTGCTGAGTTTCGTGTTCTTCTATCATAGCCTTGAGCTTATCGTTGTGGGCTTCTTCTAAAGCCTGGATCTCTTTCTAAAAATAAGATAAAAACCACGATTTTCATTAGCTAAATTTTATCCTAAATATTACTAAAGAAAAGAAAACTAACTTGAAAGGATGACACTCTTGTATCTTTTTCTTCTCCATGCTCTGTGTTAAGGCGAGTGATTTCTGTCTCGTATTCCAACCGTAACTCTGCAAGTTCCTTTTCATAGACAAGCTTTGCCTCAGTAGCGTGTGATTCCAAATTCTATTTATCAACCAAACCAAACCAAACCAAACAAACAAACAAATAAAAAAAAACTTAGTATGGGAAATGCACTCAAGCCCTTTTCCTTGTTGGTTAAGTTCAAGTTCAAGTAAAATACCTCAATCTTCTTTTCAAGCTCGGCCCTTTCCTTTTCAGCCTCCAGTTGAATACTAAGGTTAGGATCTGGTAATTCTTCGAGCTTGTTCTGAAGTTCTTTGATTTGCTCTTCGTAGTCTGCTCTCAACTCATCGGTTTGTTCGGCATATTCTTGCTTCAGCTGGTTGGTCAGCTCTGTTAGACGACTCTGGTGTTCCTTGTGCACATTCTTTTTTTTTATCATTAGAAAAAAGCATAATAAAATGAGATTTGCGTCGTTCATATTAGCTTCCAAAGCATTCTTTCTCATATTTTGTTTGTCTGCTATTTTTCTCTACCCTTTCTTATACACATTTCCAATAGACACACAAAAACAAACACATATATGTGTATCTGTCTGCTTGCTTGTATAGTTATGTGTATGATTCTTACTTGAAGAGAGTCACGCATGGAATCCATGTCATTTTTGAGCTTTGATATTTCGCCTTCCTTGGCTAATATCTGATCCTGAAGTGCTTGTTTCTCTGTCTCCAATTCCTCTCGCAGAGCCTCCATTGTATTACGCAGAACTCGCTGAGCCTCTTCCTGGGCTTGGACCAGTCCAGCCTTTTGCTCGCCGAGCTTAGCTAAAGATGTTTCATACGTCAACTCGGCTTCTTTAAGAGCCGCAGATGATTCGGCTTCCTGTTCCTTAAGGTCAGCTCTGAGGGATTCTAATTTAGCCGTTTGCTCTTCATGTTTCTTTTCTTCTTCGTCCTTTTTAGCAAGCGCCAATCGACTGGCTTCTTCGGCAAGAGCAGATTTCTGGGATGCTTCTGATTCAAGAATGCTAATCTTTTCCTTGAGCGCTACAAGTTCTTCTTCGCGTGCGGCAAGGGCTTGTTCGCTTGCGGCGAGCTGACTCTTGACCTCTTGATGCTAAATTATATATACAAAAGAAGAAGAAGTAAAAATCAGTCCAAAATATATTCAATTTCGTTAATATTATTTCTTTTGTTTGTTAAAAAGGAAATTTGTAAATATGCTGCTTATCTCTTCTTTCTTCTATTATTATTATTATTATTTTAAAAAAAACATATGGTTGTTTCGGAACCAAATTAAACATTTCTTTTTTTTATTATGTTTATTGTAGAAATTTACCTTGTCTCGCAGACCTTCCAACTCAGCGGTTGTGCTGGGTGAGACAGGTCTGCTTCCGTTTGTGGGTTTGGAGCTTAGAACAGGAGCGCGCGAACGAATAGGTGAAAGGGTGGATGATCTCTGTGTTGACAATGACGTCGGAGGAGCGGATGCTCTGTTGCGGGTGACAGGTGGTTTGGTTGTCGAAGATGCTGTGACGCTGGGAGAGCGACGGGCAGTTGATGCGGATGTGGGGGTGGGTGGTCCAGCTGTGGAGGAAGTGCGACTGACGGTAGATCTGACTGTCGAGCCACTGACGGCTGGTTTTGTACCCGTGCGAGTCAAGGTTGGTGATGGTGGCGAAGGTCGGACGGATGCGGAGGGCTTTGTAGCCAAGGGCGGTTTGGCAGGAACAGTAAGAGGTCGAGGTGTCGGACGCGTAGAGGCTGTCTTAGCTGGCGGAGTATCGAGAGAACGGACAGGTCTTTTTACAGGTGCTCCTGGAGAGGTGGGGGTAAGGACAGAGGGCCTTCTGGCAGATGCGATGACGCCTTCGGTCATTAGGGAATCAAGAAACCAAGAAGAAAGGGGAGAGAAAAGGGAATAGATTTACAGACGCACAATATCGGGTCTTTCTTTTTAAGTATATATTTTCCACTTCAAAGGTTCGAACTGAGGGAAATGAAGGGTATATGAAGATGAAAGATATTAGATTCAAAGAGAGAAAGTAGAAAGACAAACAGAAAGAAAGAAAGAGAAAGAAAGAGAGAATAGAAGAGGGGTTACTTTCAAGGGAAAAAAAATTAGTAGATTTCCTTTCTTGACATCGCACAACTTTTATAGTTGACGGGCATCGAATTAGCCACGGACAACGTGCGACCCTTGTTGTCTCTTGTGTCTCGGTAATCTCTAGTTCTGATGCTTAAAAGAAATGAAGACAATAGCTGTTGATCGCCCAAGATACTTCAAAGAAAATCCTTATGTGTATTTTGGGTTTTTTATATCCATTATATAAAAACACAAGAAAAATAAAGACAAGGGAATCAAAAGAGAGTAAGAGAAGGGGTTTAGTTACTAAATTATTGTCATTATCCAGATATCACACTCTTTTTTTTTCTGTCTCAGAAAGGAACTCTAAATCAAACAAATTATGTACGACCAGGTGGTCAACAAGATAAACCGATTGACATGTCAAGTCCATCATCTCTCACAATCAGACTCATCAGATCATACAAGCTTAAAACCAGAAATACTCTAAAGCGCCATAAATTGTATAGGTAGTGCTTATTCTTTGCATAAATAAGAATAAAACTAAAGAAGTGAATGTCTTTGTTTTTTTTTTTTTTTTTGGTTGCTTGGTTAGTTGGTAGTTAAAACGCACCTGTATGATTTTCCTCTATCTATCTTTAGTTGCTTTATAAGGATCTATAACAGTCACTACAGTGTGAAGTTGAGGCGCAGCCCAAGTTAATGTTTGAATACAAATCTTGTATGGTATTTTCAGTAATAAAATAAATAATTCACCAATTGTCAACGAAAATTCCAAGTATCGGTACACAACGGTTAAGCGATTTACATGCATATACATACATATATATATAAAGGACTTCGTATTTTACACAACGACAATAGTATAATTTATGTATTTAATTAATTAATCATTAGTATTACAACAGGGTGCTTGAATTCAATCAACATCAGACTAGCAAGGTATATTTTATATGTTTCTTTTTCTTTCTTCCTTTCTTTTGGTGATTTCAGCACATTTACCATCTTGTTTGCAAAATGCTTAGGGCTGTATTGATAGTACAAAGAAATTTGATCTGGGTGGTGGTGGTTGTAAAGGCTAATTTCTGTTCATGCTAAAATACGATACAATTAATGCAGTCCAAGTATTCATTTTTTTTTTCTGTTAGCTTGAAAGGAACAAAAAAAATTGCACTTACATAAAAGTAATGCTGGTAAAGCTTATAATAATCACCGGTAGCAAGAGAGTCCATAGAAATAAGTACATAAGAACTTGCAAACAAAAATGTTGATATAAAAAACCAGTCCCAATGTTGTTGGATAAATGAGATACTGGCACAGCTAATATGAAAGGCGAAAAACCTGAAGATCGGAAGATGTGAAAAAGAAGTATGTTACCAATTACAAAATAAAATCCACCCAATCACACACCCACTCACACACACACACACACACACACACATTGGTTATGCTAGATTTACAGTCGAAAGTAACAGTGTAGGAGTTAGCGACATCATAAGAGCTGGCAAAAGATTCAAGGAATATGTATTGGGAGAAAATGGCTGTAGGGTAGTGTGACGATCTGAAGCTGTTCCTGAACTGGTTGGTTTAAGAGACCCCCGGTGTTTCTAAATGACAACGTAAACTAAATCCAATACGTGAACAATTCGACCCAAAATCTTCCTCCCTTGGTCTCGATTTTTTTTTCACAAAAACAGAACAAGTACTTCTTTGTTCCAAAAAGACAAAGCCAGCCTACCATACTGTGTCATATTAAATGTGGTGAAAAGACAACCCATGAAATTTTAGAGTTTAACCACTGGACAGCTCAAATCACGGTTCTCAACCCCACATTGAAAATCTTTGGTGGACGCTCGATAGATGTATTATTGATAAGAAGTGTCAGTACCAGCAGCATTTGTGCTTTTAAGGATGTGATGTAATGAGAGTGGAAAATAATATGTATCAAACTCGCATTTGCTTTGGCAGGCAGCATACAACATCAGTGTCGGGTTATAATGAAGGCATAAAGGAGGTCATATTCTGATGAGTAATTGCATGTTGAATACATGCCTTGATTTTTGTCATATTTTTATGGTTCAGAGGTTGAAATGTTTTTGACTGTGACTATATCACCATTAATATATATATATAATAACACTTGAATATTAATCTGTCAAGTAGATCTTGTATTAGACAGTGTTTGTATATGTACACGTTTTAATGTACACGACTTACTAATCTTTAATGCATGAGATAAAGGTGATTGATTAACAAAGCTGAATATCGATTTGCTTTGTTTTACTGATAACTTTATTAATTAGTTTCATTATCTTTTATATGATTTGAAACTGATTAAACTCATGGCTGTTATTTATTTATTTTTTGTTTAAAATTGCCATCAAATTATTAAATTACTTTGATGTTTTAAAGTGACCAAGACAGTAGTGAAGTCAATCTATAATTACATGTTCACAGCTAGCCGATAAATTACAGGGCTATATATATATAAAGAGGTAAGAGGTGTCTTGCTCTACCTCTGAAATTCAAATATCAACTATTGGCTATAACAAAGCCTCAGAGAAAGAAAGAGAAAAATGGGCTGGTTGTTGCAATGACTGATCTTTCGGCTATGCGAAGAGAGAATTCACTCCTATTTTCTTCTTCTTTCTTTTCTTTCCTAGTCTTCGTTTATCTATTTTAGCCTTTTACATATGCATATAGACATATATGCATTAGACTAATGTATATGTATACTGATATCGTCTAGAACATATCGTATTAGGTTCTTTATTTGATCCCAAGTCCAGTGCTAAGATAAGAGGTAATTTCTACATATTAAAAATCAAGAATAAGAAATTAGAGGTTATTTCTTTCATTAATTCTTTCATTTATTCATTAGTTTCAGTCAATTTGCTGTTACTGAAATAATCAAAATAAAATACAAAAAAAAGGGCGCATGTGGACGAGATCCAATCACAATAGTGTAATTGTGAATGGGTCTATCTCGAGTTGAAATCACGTATTGTGTGGCTACTGACCAATCAGCACAAGCTGGGCTGCAATGATAGACTGGAGTTAATGATGTGTTTTATCGCATGGTTAACCTAAATTACCTATACATATTATTATTATTATTATTTTAAAAAAGAAAAAGTATTTGCGATTTATTTAGAGAATATACAGGATAATATGTGAAGAAAGAAAAGAAAAAGAAGGTGAAGTAGTGATGATAGTTGCAGTAATAATATATATTGTTTAGCGCTGTTTGTTGTAGATAAACACTCCGGTCGCAATGGCAGCGACACCAGTAGCCAAGGCACCCCACAAAGCGTAGGGTCTGGGACCAACAGAGTCATTCTTCTGGCTAATCGAAATGAGCTTATTCGCCTGCGAGAGCTCATGAATCTCATCAAACACTTCGATATTGAAAGCAAAGCATTTGAGAGCTTCTTCGATTATAAGATCTGTGTATGTAAAAAGTAGATTTTTAGTATTTTTTTTTTCTAATTAAAAAGGTAAAATAAAGTTGCTGCGATATACACTTACCCTTGGTCTTCTGGCTTACTTTAGCACCGTCTAATCTCTCACGGTAAAGCGCCTTGAATTCATTCTGGTTACCAATGTGATCGAAATAGTAGAATTCTAATCCCTTGGTTGAGTCCCATTCGCTGTCCTTTTCATCAACTTTGAGTACTGACTTCTTCAGGCGCTTGGCCAGGATCTGTCCACCTAAAATAATAGAAAAAAACAGAAGCGTGAGAATCAAAAGTCTATATTATTGAAATATATATATATATATATATATATAAATTACCACTGAGATCACCCAAGTAACGGGTGTAGCTGTATGCTACCAATAAGGCAGGATTTACTTTACAGGCTTCTTCCATAGCATCCACGTAAGTCTTGATAGCAGGTGTCATAGCAGAAGGCGCGATAATCTTTGCAAGACGCTCTTTGCCATAATAGTGTGTAAGATCTATATAAATATATGCACAAACACAAACACACATACAGAAATTATTAATAATTGGATTCAATTATTATCTAGTCTAATCTAGTATATATCTATCTATATATACCTTTCAATAAGACCTCCTTTCGATTAAGCTCCTCAGGGAAATAGATATTCTCAACTGCAGGGTCATTCTTGTACTTTTCCAAAAGTGACTCCATAGAACTGCAGCACATTAGTGTTAGTATTACCAAACAAGACCATTAGATGGTTGCACGCATAATGAAGAATTATGTAGCTATATAAATAAATCTATGTTTTACCTGTATACATAATACAAAGAGTTGATATATCTTCCGTACTCGTCAAGGGTGATGTCTCCCTTTAAGAACTTCCTGAACACAATAAAGAAATATAGATATAGGAGGTTAGAACTTTTTATCACATTATCATGTTATTATAATATATATATATATAAAGAAATAACACAATAACTATCAAATTAACTTACTTTGTAAATACACTTTCTTCAGCAGCCTTATGAATTGCCTTTGTCCCCTCGCGCATAGCACTGGCAAGCTGAGGGTTTTCAAGGATAGCATCCTCTATTATAGTGAATGAGATTCCCAATTTTTTTTTGGATGTTGTACCTGGATCTCTAAATAGAAAATTTAAAAGAAAAAAAAAACTTTGGGATGCTTACCATCGAATGGGGATGAAGTAACAGGAATAGATCCAATTTCCTCGACGGTGGTAGTGGTCTCAGTGGTTGTGGTCTGGATAACAATTGTTTCGCTCATAATGAAAAATAAAGTGTGGATAAAGTAGGAAAATAAGAAGAAGAAGAAGCAGCAGAAGTAGAAGAAGTCCTGGAGATAACCTTTACTCTACTCTCGATTCTATTTGAGTAAAATGTGACAGCGAATCTGATAAGCGTAAAAAAAGAAAAAAACATTCAACCCCCCAACTTCCGCTCAAAGTTAGCTTTCCCCCCGCAAACCTCCGCGAGACAAATTCCGATTTCCAAACATCTTGGTAACCAGCCCCACGTTAGATTATCAGTCGCGTTTCTTTATTATTGCTTCTTGTTCTTTGTTTGATGATCAATGAAAGAAGGGGAACCTCAAGGGTACTTGTCACTACACGCGCGCACATACAAAGGAAGAAAAAAAAACATATATTTAAGTAGTACACAAATAATCAGTTTTAAGATGATAGACATGATATAATGATGGGTACCATGAGGGAAGGTCAATTGTTATATAAGAATGTCACTGGATCCCATTTGAGAATCAACGGAAGGCTTTGGTTTTTCTATAATCTCCCAGACTCTTTTGATGTTCCGCAACCAATTTGCTCCAGTAAGCATACACAAAAAAGGTTCCATGAAATAAAATAAAAAACACACTTTTGGTTGTACAATTGTTCCTCAAGTTCGTCACCTCCCCCTTTTTCTTCTCATGGCATGGCAGCCGACAGGAACATATGACTTTATATATATCTTTGTATACATGAAAGTGGTAGAGAGAGAAAGACAACCGATAAAAACAAAATATATGTATATTTAAGCAAAAATAATGAAGTGCTAATCAAATTAAATCTTTTAGCGATATGGTACAGATTTTATAGGCTAAAAAAATTAGGTTACTCGGTTGACAGGGTAAATGGTTTATGGCATTTATAATAAATAAATACATAAGAACATAAATCAAAATAATGTGTTTTCCTGCACAAATGGCCTGAATCACACTTTATTTATCTATTGACCTGATTTGAAGAGCTTATCTTTTCAGTAACAGCAATAATATAGGTGTAAATTAAATATTAGTATGGTGTATTTGCTGTCTATGAAAAGATGATGCAAGATAGCAAGGGTAACAACAACCATGGGAATTCGGTAATTTATTGGGCTAAGCTACAAAAAAATAAAATAAAAAAGGGTCTCCAGGCTAAGTTTGGGATCTGATAACGAGTTTGTCATTCTTAAATGTCAAGCCAACCCAAGCCAGCAAAATTAGCCCAATATATGTATATATATATATGTGTGTGTGTGTTTATTTCAAGGCATTTCCTTTTTTTTCTATAAGTGATGCACAGCCTTTTATTCTATTCTCTTGGAGGTACAAGAATCTTATGGCTATTTCTTACACTAGATTCTATATAAATTATTCATAGTTTCCTATCTTGTACTTTTGTAAACACCATGGCAAAGATAAAAATAAAAGTAAAAATAAAAATAAATAAAAGATCAGATAAGATTATCGTATAAATTACATATTCAAATCTGTCTGGAATGCGAAACATATATAAATATATCAGATCCACCCTTCTCACTCTAATACAAACAAATATTATCAACAGTTAAATACATACATACATACATACATACATACATACATATTTATAGGCATAGAGGCCGCACTATAGTAATAATAAAAAGAGCAACTTTGGTAGAGGATATTCGCAAGTATTTATTTTTATTTTTTTGCTTCTGTGTTTCCAAAGGTAGATTTATGGTACTATTTCTTCATTTTTAATAGAGAACCCGTTGGGATGTGATATTTTCAAAGACTGCTAAAAAAGAATTATTAGTGAAACCCAGTCAAAAAAAAAAAGAAAAACTCAACCACAGTTGATGAAAACATAAGTACTGTGACAAACATAAGAGAGAAGAGAACCCGTTGTCGAGTGAAAATTCTAAATTTTCACTTACTTTTGCTTTACTCGGCGATTTAAATTCCAATGAAAATATGTAAAATTTTATTGAGGGAGGCCATTTAGTGATGAAATGGAGTGAAAAATTGGGAGTTTTCTAGTTTTTCATTCCATTTCATCACCAAGCCGTTATTAAGAATTGAGCTCGTTTTTTCAACTTCAAATATAAACATAATATAGTCAAGAGTCGTCTCTATATATCTACTTAAGAGAATAAGTCTTGGAAAGCCAAGTTTATTAAGATCTTCCCCCCGAAGGTTGGCACAAGAACTAAGGTTTCCACCAACGGGGGTTGAGTTTTTCTTTTTTTTTTGACTGGGTTTCACTAATAATTCTTTTTTAGCAGTCTTTGAAAATATCACATCCCAACGGGTTCTCTAGATACATCTTAATAAACTTGGCTTTCCAAGACTTATTCTCTTAAGTAGATATATAGAGACGACTCTTGACTATATTGTGTTTATGTTTGAAGGCGGAGAAACAAGCTCAATTCTTAATAAAGACTTGGTGATGAAATGGAATGAAAAACTAGAAAACTCCCAATTTTTCACTCCATTTCATCACTAAATGGCCTCCCTCAATAAAATTTTACATATTTTCATTGGAATTTAAATCGCCGAGTAAAGCAAAAGTAAGTGAAAATTTAGAATTTTCACTCGACAACGGGTTCTCTATTTTATTTTATTTTACTTTATTTTGACTGTAGTATAGTGTAAATTCATGACTCTTTATTTCATTTCACAATTAAGAGTTTGGTTTTGCAAAAATAAATATCATAATCAGAGTTTCGTAAAAAAACTTGTTAAAGGACGAGTATTTTTTGCTGCTTTTCTTTGGTCCTCAGACTTTTTGGTTTTCTATTATTCAAACCACAAAGGTTATTATTTCTAGAATACCAAAGTCTTCACAACTTTATTACAACTCACCTTGGGAGGAACAACAACTTCTGTCTTTGTTGAAGCAGATTTAAAAAATGCTGATGGAGATTGGTGAGTGGAGTCCTGTGCTGTGTACTGCTCGACTTCTTTAACTTCTTCTATTAAACTATAAGCATTGTCAGTACAAACAAATCCAATTTTAGTGATATAGATAAAGGAGTAAGCTTACTTGTAACTATCCAACAGTTTTTGACGCCATGCTTGTTTCAAATATCTTGCTAGTATATTGATGGATTCCCTTTGGAAAACACTCGTTTTATCTTTAAAGAATACAGACAGATACAAACAGAAAATATGAGCTAAAAAATTATACTATGTTCTTCAATCGCGCATATATATACATACCTGTTTTATCGTTTACTGATTCTAATTCATCTTCAACAGCATCAAGAAGCACAGGTATTGTTGAAAAATTATCAACAAGCACATCTACTTTCTTACGTAACCAATCAAGAGCTTTTTGATCGTTGAAGCGATAAACAAAAAAGGCACCTTCTCCAACATCTTATCAAAAGTATTTATTAGTATAAACCCAAATAAGTTCAACACCGTGTCTTATTTATTATTATTTTTATTATTTACCTTGAGTATCACATAAATGTTTGATTCCTTCTTTTAAACCAGAAATATCACTCAATTGATGAAGCCCAGTATTTTTCACTGTCATTTTTATATCCTCATCAATGTCGTTCAAAATGTTTTCACTGCTAAATATGTCATCGAGTTTACGAAAGTTGCCACTATTGCTAGTATTCTATTTGCAAAAGCCCCACGTTAATATATATATATATATAGAATATTATATATATATATATATATACCTCGCGAGCTTGTTCCAATAGTGGAAGGGCGATAAACAATGGGTCCATTGGTGTCAAAAGTCTAAATTTTCCATTCTTGTGAATAGTATTGTCGATCATCCAGCATGTTTTTCTTCCTGGTCCTGTAACTTGCTGTAATTCGAACAATTCATGTTTGTCATTGTACAAATAGGTGATCCATTTTCCAGATCTAGGACAGGGTAATTGTAATGGAGTAAGATCATTGAGATCTATAATCGAATCGAAGTTTGTTTTTTTGGTTTTTTTTTAAAAAAAAAGAAAGAATTCTGTTCTCATAGATCCTCAAACAAAGACAATTTTCAAACCTTGATCTCGATTATGGGTAAACACAACTTGAGTCATTCTTGGTAAGAAATCAAATAACAATAAGTAATTATAAAGTATTTCTACCTTGAATTCAGACAGCTAGTTTTTTTCTAGACGAATCAAAATTAATTTTCAGACAGTCTGTCTACCTTTTTTAGACAAAAAAGCACTGTAAGAAATGGCGGACTTTAAAACAAAACCCTTACAGCTTTTTTTGGCCAATAGAAATGTAGTATTTAAGCATTAGTATTACAATAGTTTTCATGTACATCTGGGAATCATATCCTTATTAGAAAGTTACAAATACTCGAATTCATTTTAAAAAAAAGAAAGCACCATTGAAAAATAGAAAAATATTAGTGTAGTTAAAAAGCACTTTGTGTTTACTTTTGAGAAAAAGAATTCTAAGCCGCAGTACGATAACTGAATATCAGTATTAAACCATCGTAAATTCTACCAAGTTGTTTTTTACTTCTAGGATTGCATTGCGCTTTCATCTATGAGTATTTGTACGTTACAGCATGTTTTATTAAGGTGATTTATTTTAGGGAACATTACGGACATGCTGGCGGGGCGCCGGCAGGACATGTTAAAGAGACCAAATTGAATAATGATGCGTGCTGTCACTCGAAATTACTTTTTTTTTGAGGTGAGGGTCATACTTTGATATTTGGTAAATGTTTCAAAAAATCAAATGCTAATCCTACGAGGCCAACATTAGAGAGCTTGCTATCTAGCTTTAAATACTGTATACCAAAAGTAGCAAAATTCTTATATCTGTGTTTAAATTATTCATCGACTTAGAATAGGGAGACGATGGTTGTGATGAGAGAGAGAGAGAGAAAACAACCATAATGACCTTGTTAACCTACATTTTTACGAATAATTGGCAAATATAATATCTATATTTTTTAGCAGCCCCATTTTTTTCCATTAGATAAAACCTCCTCTAATAAAGATTGGACAAACCCAGTAAAAAACAAAGCACTCCGGCAGCAGTTGTGGAAACTTATCAATTGATGAGAACATTATACTGTGTCAAATATAAAGAAAATAAATCTTCGTAAACTTCAATCTTTTTTTTTTAAAAAAATAAGCTCGATCTTTAAAGATCAAATAAATTAATTACATATATAATAGACACTCCTGGCTACCCTATCCCTTGATTTGAAAGCGAGAGAATAAGCTTTATTTCGAGGAAACATTTAATGGAAAATGTATAACAATTATTGGAAATTAAATCGCCATTTACATTAAAAAGGGATAAAATATTCTATTTTCGATTAGATAGCACCTCCTCTATCATCGACGATATAGGTACTGAAAAGGTATGCAGTAAATATAATTTACGAAATAGGCTTAGTAACAGCTAGATGTGTGCATAGAATACAATCGAAATATAGCAGGTATTCTTGTATTTAGCCTAATAATGAACCTGGTCCTCTAAAGAGCAACATTGCTGAAGAGCACCATTACTCAACAAGATTTTGAGTAGTACCAAACGTCTTCTCCTTTATTCGGAAAAGAAAAATATCAATTCACAGAATTACACAGAACAAAGAAGATTTAGACCTATCATATTGCATTGGAGCGACTAGCTACCATAATTGATATTAGAAATCCTTTGTGGTGAAGGAACCAAACATGCATTCTCTTTCTGGTTTTTTTATTATGTACAGTGTTTCACGGAAACGGGGTTAATTTCAAATGTGTTCCTCTAGTGCAACACGGCTTACCACACCCAAAGACTTTTGATCTGTTTATGGTAATTATTTCTCCAAATTTCAAATACAGAGCGCTCATTGGCTATAGTAAGGTGCAAGCTCAAAAATAAAAATAAAAATAGGAAAAACAGAAAAAAAAAATAGCTCTAAACTATTTTGGATGGCTTTTGTGACAAAGAAAAAGAAAAAGAAAATAATCGCGATAGAAAAAAGAAAAAACCGAAGTTTTGCAACAGAGAGAAAGAAAAAAATCTATTTTGCGACAGAGAAAAAGCAAAAAAGAAAAAGGAGATTTTATTGGCTACATATATTCATATTGGACCAAAGACTGCCAAACTTGTGAACATTCAGTAACCTGCGTTCAGCATAACCTGTGGGATGGAACTTGGAATGCATGTAAAAGGGTTGCGTCAGCTGAATGTTTTCTTTAAAAAACTCAGTTTCTTCAATAGATTTCATAAATAGGTTATTGTCTAGTGTGATCAGAAACTGGTAGAATAAAGGACTTCTGTAACTACAAAAATAACGGGAAGAAATTGCAAGGTCAAATGTTTCTATGCCGTATTTTTGGATAGTATAGTTATCCCTGTCCACTCTTGTAATCATTCCGAAGAATGAGTTCGTTCCATTGACTGTATTGACGAGAAATATGCCAGATATCCCTATACGCATATTAGTTCTTGTAACCTTCTGGTAATCATTGTCGGCAGTATTTTCAGATCCATCGAGATTAGATACAATTTCTTCTATCCCGGCCAAGCCATCAAAAGGAGCGATGTTGTTAGCAGTTGTGTCAAAACCAGCAGAAGTTTCATCAAGGGCATAAAACATATCGGTCATCTCCTCGTAAAAATCCTCATTTTCGTCATCAAAGTCAGAACTGGAGGAACTAATAAATTTGCATAATGAGATTAGTATTTTGCGCTGTCTATGTTAACCCAAAAATATATTCTTACTGTTCATCATTTTCAGAAAAAGGAGGGTCTTGGGGATAAGCAGCAATAGAAAGGTCGTCATCAGGTACATTGTTCAAGCTGTCTTCAAAGTAGTAGTCGTCAACTGTGTCCACATCAATGTCGTCATCAAAAACAGAGGCAGATGTAGAAGCAGTAGCGGGGGGAAAACAGACACAGAAGAAGAAGAGGCAGTTGAGCTGTTTAAAGAACAAAATGAGTTACTCATTAGTTAAATGCATCAGTTTAGTCGTGCTCTTACATCAGTTGGTTTTTAAAACTTGAGAGAGCTGCATTAGGAGCGAAGCGAGTGTTACTTCTTTGCTTGCATGTCTTCTCATATGCATTGACTTTGTATTTCTGTGAGTTGCTGTACACTTTGCAGAATGTGCAAAAATATTTGTCAGGTTTCTTTTTCCTACAATTAATCACGCCAATTAGGCCGTGATTATTTACACTCATAGTAAAGTTTGTTGTAATGTAGAAAGAAAGTCTATGAAAAAAAAAACCCCAAGAAAATGCTAAGTTACCAAAAGTGTCTCACAACCGATGTCACGCACTTGGCGTTTTAAACGAAAGACTAGAATTTTCCTTTTTTCCCTATTCTTTCTTTCTTCTCGTTTTTAGTTCAAGTAAGTTCTAGTAAATATGACACATACTTATTTTGTTTTTAGATACCCTTTTACTTTTGTATAAGGTATTTTGCTCAACAGACTAAAGTACCAGACTTATAAAACCTTTACTAATACTTTTTCTCTAGATTACAGTCATTTTGAGGAGCTACATCGTGTGGTATAACAAAGGTAAATATCTTTATTTTAATAGCTTGAGTTTTATTCAATTATTAACTTTTTGCTTCTTTTTGCTTTAGGTAAGTCATAGTGGAATCTACTCTTTATTCTTTACCAAGAGGTAACTTTCAATGATTGAACACGTTATGCTTTATCAATAATACTAATCTTTATTTTTATTTATATAGCCCTTGGTATTTTCCATCTGTTTCTACTTCCTTACTTTCTCTGTCCCTACCCCAGTGTACTACTTCTATTACCACACTTTTCTGCCTATTATTATTAAGCGCTACTTTTTTGTATTGCTTTCATTATTATATGGTATTGCAAGGGTATTTTTGCTCATATTTTACTGTTGCGCTTTTTTGCGCTTTTTTTTCAAAAATAAAAATCTCAAAAAATTTCAGAGCAAATTTTACATAATACAAATTTTACAAATAAGGAACTTTTTTTGCCCATTTCTCAGAATGGGGGGAGTAGTGAGGGAGGTGGGGGGTCCTCATGGTTGCTGTGTGCTATATATAAGGAAGGTAAAACCTACAGAAAATGTACTGTTTATAGAATTGTACACTATTCCGAAAACAATGTTAAGGCTTACAAAAAATCTTTGGGTGGGACAACGATAAAAAAATAAACCCCCTCCCTTTTCTCTCTTTTTTATATCACTGTTGCAAGCTGCCACGTGTCATATGCATTTTTTCCCTCTTTTTGACCGGCCTTTCTTTGCATTCTTAACCTCCATTAGATCGAGGTCCAGCGCGTGCTCGAGGAGAAGAAGGAGAAAAGTGAAAAAAGGATGTAGTTAAAGCTGGGCTTTACATTCGTGTGACTGTTCATTGCAATTACAGTGAACAGACTGGGTTGATGAGTAGAGCTTCGAAAAGAAAAGAATGGATAGTGAATAAATGCAAGTTTTGTTTGTATAGAAGAAAAAGAAATGAAATTCAAAATTTAAAATTCAAAAGATTGAAGACTTCATTTAACTTGCTTTAAAACATACAAGGAAACTGACTCCTATAATAATATAGAAGCAAGTGTTATTTTTGTCCTATTAATATTTCTTTAAAAAAAAAAAAGGAATTTTGACTATTGACAGTTATTTATTAACAAGGGCATTTTTTGATATGTGCAAATGTTACCAATAATACAAAAAGTTGGGATAAAAGAGAGAGAAAAAGCCAAACATGCCTTTGGCTTAGGTCTTTTTAATTATTTTTACTCTATTTTCCATTCTTGCTCTCGCTCGCTACCTCTCTCTCTTTCTGTATGTCTATACACATATGCATATATACCTTCCTATTCGCTTGTTTTTTCTTTCCTATTCCATTTCTAAGTGAGTGTGCGAGATGCTGTGCCAGTTCCAGTTCCAGCGAGTCTGTGTGCCTTTGTCTTTTTTGGTATTTTTTATGATTTTCAACATCGCTCCACCAAAGGGCTTGTCCTCTGTCTTTCTTTTTTTCTTTCTTTTTTTTTCGGACCCCTTTTTTGTTGTTTTCGGAACCTCGGTAGCAAAAAAAACTCCCTTATTTTTTATTCCCTTTTCTTCTCTTCTCCATGGATACAGTACGTGCAGAAAACGGAAACTACATGCTGCCGTCGGCTCGAGCGCTGCTTTTTTCTACAGCTCATCAACCAGAAAGAAGACTTTCTGCGGAGGATGGAAACTCAATGGACCGAATGGTCATCGATGAACCTTACGAATCATCCGAGACCAATTTAACATCCTTCAATCAAGGTAGTCTCGAATTGTACCTAGAAATAATAATAATAATAATAATACATTATAATAAAAGAAGAAGAAGAAAAAAGAAGAAAAAGAAAAGGGTCGATGGTAAAAACAAGGCCTTTTGTTTGGTTGCCTTGGTAACTAAGCACAACAATTGGATTCACGCACTGGCCCTCCCCACGCCCAAAACACACACACACACACACACAATATATATATACATATACATATACATATACATATACATATACACACATTCAATTGATGATTACATTCAGACTTGGGGAATTATAATAAAAATACAAAGCGGAGTGGAACTAAGCAGCGTTGTCTTTCATAGAGAACACACCCAAGCCTCACCTACCGCCCATCACAAACATACAGGCCTACCCCTCCAGCGCCCACTCTCAAATTCAACCTTCACCTTACCATGCCTCAACTCTGGGAACCCACACATCCGATGAGCTTCTTCGTCATCGCATGTCCGACATGTCTGTCTCTGGTTCCCATCATCGAGCATCTGTAGGAATTCGCAGTCCACGAGGCATGTCACCCGCACGTGAGGCAGCTATTGCCAGAGCACTCTCTCCATTGGAACCAAACTCACAATATGATCTATATTCCCGGAGAGGATCGACTGCAGATACCATATTTCCATCTATGGAATACAGACGACCCTCTATCACAGACATCGGTAGTCTACCACACCCAACCTCGGCCAATGTGAGTCGAAGAGGTTCGGTTGCTACGGTTGCAACCGAATACGATCATCCTTCCCGGTCCCCATCGCCCTCTCCGTTTGGAAAACGGTTCAGCCATGAGCCTGCAGACTCTGGATATTACATCAACCGACGCGACTCTCTTCCTTTGGCTCCTCACCCCGCAGTTGCACAGGTACAAGCCTATGATCCTTTTCAAAGAAGACATTCGATTGCCACAGCCGAACCAGCTTACTCAAACGGTTCAAATGGCTTACCAAACGTACGACCGCCAATGAACAATCCCAAAATTCGAGGTTTGATTAATATAATATATACATATACGAATGTAGATGATTTAAAACTAATAAAAGCAATGTATAATCTTTGTAATTTTTTCTTTCTTTTTTTGTATAAATTAATGCACACACAAACGCACAAACGCACGAACACACAAAACACAAAAAACATAAAACACATTTTTTCTGTTTGGTAGCCAGCTTCAGATTTCCTGCGACAATCCAAGAAACCCCTCATGGACCGTATTCTGCTCCCTCTAGTCCTCCCCCTTCTTCTTCCACGCCCACTCTGCATGATCCCAGCAACACTACCCTACCGCAACCCCCAAAAACCCCGGAAGCAATCAGCAATGCCACTCGCTACCCACGCCATGGCATGCGTCATATCTCCTCGTCTGGAACCGATAATCACTACCAACAGCAGCAGCAGCAACAACGTAACCACGCCCACCCTTATGCTCCGACCGGAAATCCTCTGGTACACAACCGTCGCAAATCCATCATGACTGACGAGGCTGCCTTGGATTCCAGCCCATCTCTAGGCCGCCGTGCGTCTATGCCAGTCGTTACCATGCGACGTCACCCAAGTACCCAGGATCTCCCCCACCCCCACCCCTATCCCCCAACCCCTACTCGCCTTCAGCACAAGATAATACACGACGAATCACCTGAACCTACAGATTCAAGTCTTGGATATTATCCCGACAACTCGGACTCATACCTAAACCATGATGACATGGGTGGGGACCCAAGTGAAGAAGATAAGTCTGGAAACAAATCAGAGACCCCGTACTCTCGTAGCCCTGAATTGCGTGTCAGTCACAAACTAGCAGAGCGAAAGAGACGAAAAGAAATGAAGGAATTATTTGATGAATTACGAGATTCACTTCCAGTCGAGAAGAACCTCAAGACAAGTAAATGGGAAATCTTAAGCAAAGGTAAAATATTTTATTTTTAGAAAACAAAGGAAATGAAAGACATGATTACTTGGGGGGTTCGAACGAGAGGGGGGGGGGGGGTATTCAAAATATTTTATATTTATATTTATATTTATATTTATATTCATAATTATAATTATAATTATAAATTATTAGCTGTCGAATACATTGCTCAGCTTAAGCATCGTGATTATAATATGGAAACCGAACTTGCGGGTTTGCGCCGGGAAGTAGCATCGATGAAACGGGACCGAGGGTAAGAGTTACAAGATGTTTTCTCAAGGAACTTCCTGCTTATTGTTTATATGTTATATACATCTGTGTATATGTGTGTTTATCTTTTGTATCTTTAAATTTTCTGGGGGGTCTTTTTCATTTTCTTAGAAGCAGCAGTAATTATGGTCCATCTTTTTAGCCAAAGAAAAAAAATGTGGACCCAAAAATACGACCCTTCTTTTTGCTTTTGCCATTGCTTTTGCTTTTCATATATATCCTCAAAAAGAAAGAAAGAAATATTATATATATATAAAAAAAACAATAATACGACAAAGTGAAGAGAGACAGAAAGAGAGAGAGAAACAACCAGATCAAAGGAGAGAAAGAAGGAGAGAGATATAATGGGCCTTGTACACAAAAACGCCACTACAAACTACCGATTACCACCTACGACTAAACAGATCAACCACCACCAGCCACCAATTCACCTACCAACCTACCAACCTACCAACAAATCAACCAACCAATCAATTGCCGTAAACCTTTTTTTTTTTTTAAAAAAAAAAAAGAAAAACAACCAATCAACCACGACGACAATGGTAAGAGAAAAAAAAAAGAAACAGATTGTATTGTCCTATAGTTCCTGACGTCCATTTTTTTATTCTCTTGATACCCTTTTTAAAATTTTGTTTCCTCTTGTCCTTTTGCATTTACCTTTGCGTTTGTATTGTATGCCATATTATATCGATATATATTTGTGTGTGTGTGTATTTTTGTTTTGACTGTTGAAAAAAGAAGTGCCCTTTTTTTTCTATATTTTTTTTTTGTTTTCAATATATTTCATCTTCATTTCATATATATTCTTTTCTTTCGTTTGATAAAATAACTATAATAACTATAATAATAATATTAATACTGATAACAGCGACAACAATAATTCCTAATTCCTAATCCCTATTTCAATATTTCAATATCGTTGGTAATTTATGGATAATTAATATTGGTTTTTTATTAATGATTATTGTTGTTATTTTTTTTATTATTATATTACTATTACTATTACTATTATTAAATATTGTGTACATTTGTATAGATATATATATATATATATATATACATAGATTACAGGGTGAATTTGAAATCTAAACGATCGCTGCCCTTGTGCTTAGTGGTCTCAGAGTAAATTTTGCGCTCTTCTGTAGTCATACTACTCCACACACGAGCACGTCTCTTGTTGGTAATAGAGTATCTAAAGTACTGAAAGATGAAAAGAGCAGCAGCGAGTGTAGTCAATCCAAAATTGATCCAATTGCCAGTCTTAAAACGAGGAGAATCGCTAGCCTCTGTAAGAAAGAAACAAAAAAGAAAGAAAGTCTGTTAGTATGGGTCTAAATAAAATTCAAATAATCATAGTAATAGTAAAAGAGAAAAAAAGATAACCTACGATAAATCTGAGATCCAGGTACACCACAAAGGTTAGCAGCACCAACAACTGCTCCTAGAGCAATTGTACGTTTACCAATCTACACAATATATATTTTAGTTAAGCTTTCTTTCAAATGTATATGTCTATGTGTAATATAATATTCTTACTGGTGCAAGATTCGATGACATCCAAGCAATTTGCATGCCGTGCCACACTGGGAAAGAGGAAACGAACAAAACGACGCCATAGAATGTCCATCGACCAGAATCATCGGGCAAAAATTCGAGGGCCAAGAAACCGGCCATTGACCAAAAACATCCAAACAAGGCATGAAGAGAATAGTTTCCATGTCGCTCAGCACTCTTTGCGACAAGTATGGAAAAGAACAGTCCGATAAAGCATGCCGGGACTGTGAGAAGGTTACTAGTAGTTACAGGGAATCCAAAGCCTCTGATGAGAGTAGGGAAATAAGTTCCGATCTTTAAAAAAAAAGCATAGATAATAAGATGAATTAGTATTCTTTCTAGAGTATACACACATGTATTCTTACAGGAGTATTGGGCATAAGTCTAAGAGATTCGATAAATGAAAAGTTAGATTAAAATGAAGTAAATGGTTTTGTTTTATATAAACTTACCCAGAGAAAGTAATAATTAAATGAGTCCACATCTTTGAATCGAAAAGAGACTGTTTGACATCCTCCCAATGGAGTACATCATATTGCTCCTTTTTGTAAGTATCATCTCGGATGATTCGAGTTACTGCGATTTCACTTTCACGGGTCGTAAACCACCCCTTTCCACGAATCAGACCAGCTGTTCTGCATGCATTGACAGGTAGATAAAAGCTAAAAGTCAAAAGAGAATTGTTAGGATTTTTGTCTTTCTATATGTATATGTATATTTATATTTTACACATACAATGCAACGAATCCAACAATTTGAGTAAAGATTCCATCAATAATGAACAGCCACTTCCATCCAGGAAGACCAGCTACACCAGAGAGACGAAAGATGCCGAATGAAATCAATCCCGAAAAAGCAGAAGCAAGGGACTGTACACCCCAGAATAAGACAAGTCTTGTAGCAAGCTCATTTGTCTTGTACCATCTGTTAAGATAAACAAGCGAAGCTGGGACAAAACCACCTTCTGTGATAGCAATAAGTGTTCGAACTGCAATAAACCCTTGAAAGTTCTAGAGTAAAGTAAAGTAAAATGTGTATCAGTTTAACTATGCTTGTGTATGTGTATATTTTGTTTGTCTGTTTGATTTCTTACATGGATCAAAGCATGAGCCCAGGTAATTACAGCCCAAGCGCTCATCAAGACTGGAATCCAGATATGAGGACCAACTTTCTTTACAATTGCATTTGTTCCCAATGCCATTACAGTAAAGACAAAGGAGTAGACGAGCGTTCCAGTATTGATACCAGTAATACCAAAACCAAGGTCACCGGCCAGATTATCGGATATTGCGTTTGCTATTCAGTATTATTCAGAATTCGCACTCTTTATATACTAAATAAGTATTAATATCATCACAAACTTACCAATATTGGTACGGTCAAGATTAAGGACAAAAGATGTGAGAAGCAAAAAGCTGAAAAGGTAAAAATCGATCTTGTGAACCACCTTTCGTTCTTCTTCGACTGTCCATTGGAGATCATTTGAGAACCCTTCAACTGAAACATCCTCAATCTGTTGAATGGCCGTGGTTTCGCTAGAAGTCTCGGAAGTTTCATTCTTTGATTTGAACTCGAGGACAATCTTTTCAGAAGGCGGATCCACCGTTCCTTGTAGCTTTTGTTCTTTAGACATACTGATAATATGTTGTGGGTTAGAAGGGGATAGTTTGAATGTAAGTACTTGTAATGGTGATAGTAATGGTAATGATAATAAACCGAAGATATCAAACTCGCCCTTATATACTTATTTTTACAAAGTACAAGACAAATACATCTTTGAGTAATCACAGAAGATGACGCATTATTTCGTTTGTGTTGTGTTCAACGGATAGATGCTTTGTACACAAGTTAGAACAGTCCTACGGAGGTTTCTTTAAAAAGCTATCACCAACCAACAATTTACTAACCAGAGTACGATAGAATAAGGGAAAAAAAAACATAATTCTAGATAGTCTGATGAGTAATTTGAAAACCAAATTGTGCAATCGCTGAACTTGAGATAAAAAAAAAGAAACTTGTGAAAATACAAATATTTTTTTGTACTTGATTATATTCCGGAAATTTGTGTTGGCTTTATAATTAATGTAGTCCAATACATAGCTTTCATAGTAGTAGTATTGGTATAGATTATACTCGGCTCTTGATTGCTATAATTTTTCTGTTACACTACTCTTCATGAATCCTGATATCTACTTGCTGACAAACACAGGGGATCATGTATTTAATTTTATTTATTGAAATCAATGTCATAAACATTTTGTAAAATTTTATCAAGAATATATTATTAAAGCCAATTTTTTTCTGATTAGGTTTATTAATCTGTAGGTAAGTGGCTATATATCTAGATAAAAGATATATAGAAACAGGGGAAAATAAAAAACAAACAAACAAACAATTCATGTCGTGCTCGATCAAAATTATGTGCGATTTGTCTGTCATTGGATTCAATTTTTTTGGTATCTAGTGTTCAAATATCTTTGACATTTCCCCAAAAATCGCGAACATAATCAATATCGTAGGCGTGCCTAGGCTTTTGTCTCACTTACCAGAGACCACACATTCTCTGAAAGGGAGATGATATTATATTATAATATGGTGTAATTGGCCTACGATACCGTTTTTTTTTGGGTAATGAAGGTCGACCATGAAGAGAATGGCGCAATCTGTACTCTAGGCTGTGTACAACGTAATTTCATGGCTCTATTATGAACACAAGCTTGATTTGGGCAGTAATGCATAGAGTACCACTAGTTGATGGTCCTAAGTAAAAGATTTTTGGTTTTAAGTATCGACTTTTTTTTTCTTTAAAAAGAATATATATTTATATAAAAATATCCAAGTTCAGATAAGTACAAACGATAAGCTCGAGTTTATACTTATAAATACTATTTTATAAGCTCAGTATATCATTATGTACTGATTGAGTATTATATAGCATAGTTTGTGTTAATATCCAATCAATCTGTAAACCATTTACTGGCTCAAAAAAACATGCTTATGTATCGACATAAAGTTCTTTATTTGATATTTACACTTTTGTAATGGATATATCCAGCAATTGTGTTCAGCACAACCAATACGAATCTTCCCACTCATTATGATTATCGGGATATATTGCATCTTTTCCACGGAAGCAATTGATTTCAATTGGATAAAGTCTTGTAATATTTTTTCATATATCTAGATATTAGATCGTGTCGTTAAAAGTTTTAACTTATTGCTCCAAAAAAATAAGGACAATTTCATGTTTCACATAGTTTTCCTGGCATATTCTGTTCATCTTTCCTCCATGATACATTAAATAAATAGACTGTATCTCCATAGGAATATATTTAGAGTATCTATAAATTATGTTTAATATAGGGAAGACATACACTGTAGGAAATGGCAGCACTTAAACCCCGAACCTGCAACAAAGTTGCCAACCTGCAACTTTCTTCTAGGCCAATAACATGCCAGACATTAACTTATAAGCCTTACTTTTGGGCAGATACTATTTATGAGATTTCAGATTATGTCAAATATGATTTATGGAATTTCAATTATTTTTGCATCTAATCCAATCAAATATTCTAAATATGGCAAGTCTATACCTTTTTTTAGATATCTCTATTCTTATAATTGGTTCAACAAATACACGGTCTTATATTGGAATTTTATAGTTTTTATTGATCAAAATAATACAAGTTGAATATAAAGAAGTATGGAAAGAAGAAGTACTATTTTTTATGATATTTAGTAACAGTTTAAGCTATAAAGTTACTAAATAATATACATATATCTATTTCTATGTAATACTTTTTACATTTTTTATCTAAAAAAAAAGGCTATTCTCTAAGTACTATGATATTGATGAAGATATGTATATTGCTTAATTAATTCTTTTTATCAAAGAGTATAAACCTGCTTTGTGTTAACATTGTCATGTCTCATTCCTACTTTTGAAAAACAAGAAGACACATTCCTTGCAATTCTCAAAATCTACCGAGATCTCTAATGAGCATGTGAGCAATCTTGACAACCAAATTGTACTTGATGCAGATATTTTTCTGTCAATTCTTCTCAAGTTACTTTCTTTTGTCAACTTCGCTGATTCGTATTTTATTAATACTAGCCTTGATAGCTATTAAGTATGTTTCTTTTAAAGACATTTAATAATTTTAGACTTTGTGAAAAAAATAGAAACAAGTCCTTTTAGATGTACCAATCTAAATTATTTGGAGAACATGGACGGGTCAGAGGTTATGCATCGTTTATGGAATCGGGATCTTGCTGCTGTCCTGAACTTCCGACATATACTTAACAATCTGAGATATGATGGGATTATACCTGTAAGGTTCACTCGCGTCATTCGGATTGGACGTATCAGAAGACAAGCAGAAGAAGATCTCCAGGAGGGTCGTCGTTTGAGACAAAAACTGACTAGAATTCAAAGATGAAAAAATTCCGTCCTGGTCACCGCTTAGGACCCACCCAAGCTACCGCTGGTAACCCATTAGATTTGAATAACTTGGTATTTAGTTTTGTAACGGGTTGAAAAAAGCTAAGAAAAAGATGTTTTGCTTTGACTGCAAAAAACATGGTGGGGTAAAAAAAAAAGTAGAATATAAAAGAGAGCGAGAGAGAAATTGGTGCTTAATTAAAACTCAAGTACAAGACACTTTAAACCCCGGAAAACTTGCAACAATTCACTAAAATCGCCTATTTTTTTTCTATAGGGTAATTCAGGTTTACAACAAACAAGGATCTTATCTGTAATAAGTGTTAGCATTACATAATACTTTCTAGAGACATCATTGTTTTTTTCTTAAAAAAAATAAGGTTTTAGAAAGGCCTTGGCTGAATAAATGTTTTAATAAGTATTCATATTCATTACAATCTATATCAATTAGAAAAGGTAGCATTTAATACGTTTGTTTCAGACCTTTCAATTTATTCTAGCCTTTGAAATTTTGTTAATAATCCATTGGCTCCTTTCATTTAGTAAAAAGTAAAGCTCTTTTACGTTTATTTCTTCTCACTTTTTTTTCTTGGAAAATTAAGAATGAAATAGTGCGAATACATTTCTTATAAAAAACAAAAATGAAAAAGAAAATAAACAGCAAATAAATTGATCAAGTTAAAGAATCGAATATATTTTTCCAGAATATTTCTGCATCAGTAAGTTCAGAGCCTATAACGTACTTTGCTACATCACCACATTTCAGTACAGCATAACCTCGAGGAAGATCCTTTTTCCATCCGTATCTAGTGGTTTGTCCATCTATAGATCGTATATCGTCTAATTTTTTGGCAGCGCTCTTATTGCGTTGAAAGTGACGATAATATTTACGAGCTTGATTGACTTCCTTTTTTCTCATTATTCGGGTTGTATGTGCTCCTTTATCCATATCCTTTTCATCGCAGTATAAGTGAAACCACGTTGATTCTGTGAATATTTTTGACTGCTTACTGCCAAATACAGTGGCATTTGATGTATCGTTTTCGGGCTTTTTATTGCCAGGTATCGGCCGAGAAAAGACCATGATATTGACGACAGTGTTGGGATTAATATTGTCTTCTGAAGGGTAGAGCTGTATGCCAAAAATATGTAAAATTTCAAAGGAACTGTAGGACATATTCAGGCAAAGACTCCCAGTCTTTGGAGATACTTTTCCAATTGCTTTGATATCGGTTAGGCTCAGGTAGTTTAGATGCCTACAGTGAAAAGAAAGGTAGTCAAATGTGTCTGTATCGATAGTTGAGTCATATATCTCTATCATCCGTAGTCCATGCCTTCCTAGACTGTTGTGCGAGTCAGGACTGACAGAAATCCATCCACAGGCAAACCTTAATCTCTTCAAAACCACGCACCGATCTAAAAGTTCGTCCAGTATTATAGAAGCATCTGACTGATCAATATTTAAATAGACCAGATGAGGAGAATAGACAAACAACTCTGTAAGCTTGTGTGGAATATTGAATCGATATCGTCCCTTAATAGATAGTGTCTCCACTGTTCTTGAGAATGAATCCATACACATCCTAATGATCTCTTCTAGAATCTCAGGCTTTCTTGTTTGTAAATAAGGCCTGCATGAAATATTTCTGATTTGTAAGCTAGAAGGACAGAGGATCTTCCAAAAGAATAGATGTAGCCAATCTGAGGATCCTGCACTGTGTACGTTAAGAGTTTTCAAGCGCTGAAATGCATATCGAACACCCTTGAGTAAAAAACTTGTCTCTTCTTGATAATCGTCTGTCACTCCGTTTTTATCATATGGTTCCCATCTTAGAGTGTGTATGTTAGGGTACTTTTGAGCAAAGTAATATAGCCATCGGTGGTCTGCAATTTTAGTGTCAACCTTAAATACTGTAAGATTTGTGGCAGGATCTACAGTTCTGGCCTGCAATAGTTCTTCTCTTGATAGACTACCAAGATCGACACTGAGGGTTAAGTATTCTAGCCGTGGTAAATGTTTGTGAAGAGTCTCGAAATCTTTCATTGTAAATGCAAGCTTGGTTTTCCATGAGTGCCGTATAAGATCAAGCCGTTTAAGGCGGGGTAGGCATGATACAATATCGAGAAATACTTTCTCTGTGTCTTCAATCCGTAACTCGTCCAGGACGATACATAGGTCTTCCAGGTACTTCCACAGGTTCCAATCCGCTTGCTTTCCAAAGTCAGTCTCATTAAGGCAATTCCGCTTAATGTAGAGGCGCCGTAAATTCTGAAAACATAGCTGAAGGGCATATAGTTGAGAGTCGGTTGCTCGGATCTTTCCGTTCAGGTACAAGTCTCGTGTGTTGTGTCCGTTTAAATATATATTATCCTTAATAGCAGAAGTACTACAGATAGCCTCTAGTTTCTTTTTATCCAGTATACACACTTTTCTCCACATGGATTCTTGAAATGGTATTTTCCATGCTCTGCAAATGAACATGCAATGAAACTTGTCTTTGGTGTGGAGGAATCTTGAGATATTTAGAAGGATCTCAAATGGTAATTCGGATGCTAGCATTATAGAGTGATCAATGTCAAAAGTAATGAGGCGATCATCAGTAGCTTTTTTAGACTTATCCTCCAATAGAAGGACAACTAACCAAAACGGTAATGACGTGGTCTTTGACCTGACTTGTGGTGTAGTACGGTTTGACAGAAAAATGAATTTTATGGTCCTCTTTTTATAGAAGTAATATCCCCCTTTAATTTATTTTTTATAATTTTGCGTAGGCACCTCATTAATGTAAATATTAACATATGAAAATATCTGTGAAAATTCAAAGATTTATAGTGATAATAAAGATGCCTTGTGAAAAAAAAAGACAAAAAAGAAGAATATATCTTGCTCTTCAAATACAAATTTCTTTTTAACTAATGTTTTTGTACTAAAGATATGATCTCTAGACAGGAATCATTACTATCTGTGTAGGAAAGACCTTTATTTACTTTTCTTCTTGTACTTGATTTTATATATGTTCTCTATAAAGGCCCTAAAGGAATATTTATATAACTTTCCAAAGAGATATCTAATTCGAAAAAAAAATTAGGTTTATATTAAAGTCAAACAAACTATAGATATATAATCCACCACATATAATGATAATAATTTAAAGGTGAAGTCATTCAAAGGTATCATATATCATTTCCCAAGTATAGTGATTAAATTCATATCCAGGGCTCATATCATAATTAGATATGCTACCACATTTAAGCACAACGTACGCAAGAGGGGTATTTTTGGTACACCATTCTTCTGGGACCATTTTGAAGTCAAGGTATTCATTCTTTCCATTTATAGTATTGATATTCCCGGAGTCTTGGCGCCGAAGAAGCTCAACTACGGTTGTGATGTCCTTTTTAGACATAATCCATGGAGTGGAGCTCCATCCTTCTGAGGTAAACATTTTGTAGGTAACAAAATACCAAGTATCTTCCATCGTAATGTCCGAATATATATCCCAAGCAGAGTGGTCATGGTTGCTGTCGGTTATCTGGTAAGAAGAACTTGGTTGCGACAAAACTACGTAATTGGCATTTCGATCTTTGTTTCCGTCTTTGCCCTCAGAAGGTAGAGTAAACCGAGAATCATTAAGTTGGAGTTTCTTGAAGTGAGTGTAGGACATATCAATAGAAATGCGAGAGTTGTTACTAGAGTGTTCTCCGGATATTATTGACCTAACGAGGCACATGTAATTAAGACGTCTGCAACGGGCTGATAGGTATTCAAGTGTGTTGCAGGTGGTGATAGAATCCAAGCCAATTAACATTCGTAGTCCATGATTTTTGGGGGTTTCATATTCATTCGTACTAAGAAAAAATTTGGAATCGACAACCTTTAATACCTTAAGTGATACACACCGATCCAAGAGAACGTCTAATTCAATGAATGAGTGTGGAGCTTTGATGTATAAATCTACCAAGGCAGGAAAATATTCGAGATGCGTTGTAAAGTCCCATGATTTCCGGTAATCGAAATCGCACAGAAAATGAAACGTCTCTATGGTCTTTGAAAATAGATTCATACACTCTTTAACAATGGCCTCAAGGTATCCAATATCAGTCATATCACACCACACAGCCCAGGTTATGCGCTTGAGCTTTATATTGAGAAAATAAAACTGTTTCCATATATCAAGATGTAGTTGCTTTGGATTTTTTTTTGTAATCACGTCGATCCATTCTAAGTATTGGAACGCAGGTGGAGATAGAGAAGATATAAATGCTTTTTCTTTTGGATACTGTTCAAACTCTCCATTGTCAAGGAGCTGTAATGTCACCATTACTTGTAGATTGGGATATTTGATGGCAAAATAGCACAACCACTGATAAAGCGAGTTAAATACATTGAGTTGCAAATGTTTTAGTTTTGTTGCTGGCTTCACATTTACGATTCGTTCTAAGGCATCTTCTTCGTTCTCGAAAGCAGCAGGGCGCATATCTAATACAAGATATTTCAGTTGAGGCAGGTTGGAATGAAAGCTTTCGAGTTGGTCAAGGGTCACTACAACCGGTTGATTTCCATTAAAGCGGTTTAACATCAGTCTTTCAAGATTGGGTAGTCCCAAAGAGATATTGAGGAATGCATCGGCTGGGTTGTCATGGCACCAGCCTGTTATATCGACATTTAATTCTGTGAGTGATCCCCAAAGGTTCCAATCAGCAATAGATCCAAAATTTGGTCCACCCAAGCAAGAGTGAGAAATAATAAGACAATTGAGATTTGGAAAGTGTTGTTGGAGGGTAAATATTTCTTGGTCGTCTATATAAATGTTTGGCCAAATAAGTAATTCTCGTACGCGGTACCCATTTTTTCTGTAGAATGCATGTACTCTGGTAGACACGTCAGACATCTTGTCCATCATCTCATCATTTTGTAAATCGATCACATCCCACATTGAATCCTGGAATGGAATCTTCCATGTTCGACACACTAGGCATGATTCAAGTTGGTCAGGTAAATAGAGAAAACGTCCAATATTACGGAGAATCTCGAAAGGTAATTCAGATGCCAGCATGAGGAGAACAATAAATAATAGTCCAATAAGAAGAACAAAAGATGGTTGATGGTATCTTATGATCTTTTAGAGCCTTTCCTTTTATTTATATTTTTCTTTTAATTTGGCGACTATCAAGAGAAAAGGAATATACTTTGACTGAGTGGCCTTAAAAGACTTGAACACCAAACTTGGTGATTACAGTAATCTCTGCCTGTGAACTCAAAGCTACATAATGACCAAACATGGTTATTTTCACTTACACAAAAAAAAGAAAGAAAGAAAGAAATAAAGAAGAAATAAAGGCTATTATTAGGAGAAATCTAATACAAGTCAATGTCCTTTTTACAGTCCATTTTACACCAACAGATTTTCCTTGTTTTGTATTGTACTTTTAACATCTTACTCTACCCTTTATTTTCTAATTAATTCGGTTCCAAAAGATACTATGGGCAAATAAGTTATTCTACCATTAGATTTATATTTATATTTATTTAGTTTTGATATATGTAGAAATCAGTCTATATATTATCATACAAATTCTGCCAATATTCATTGCTGGCTATTTTAGATTCTTGAAAAGCATAGTCCACTACTTGCTTACATTCAAATGAGACATAGCCTCGAAAGAAATTCTTTTTCCAGAAATGTTCACGACTTGGGTTATTAAAACTACTGTAGGAAGAAATCCAAGCCATGTGTGAAAAGTCCTCTGTGTGCTTGAAACGATGAAAATATTTGCTGACTTGGATGCATCTTCTTTTTGATAGTGGATATGCAAAGGTAGAAGACTCAGGCTCGTTTATTTTTTGGAAGTAGGTCAGGAAAAACCAAGCGCGGTTTATATTGTTTTTCTCCAAGTTGGTTATGGAATCAAGATGGCTATGATATTGGGTTCGTTTCGCTCATTTCCCAGATTTGGACCAAGAAAGAAGAAATAACTCAACCTTTGAGTCGTCTCTTTGGGAACATTTGTTTGAAGTAAAACACACGTTGCATAAACAGAGAGCAGTGAAGTGGCTGTAAGCCATATTGATACGCATATCTCCAGTAGTCGGAACTATGGCTCCTATTATTTCTGTTGTGTCTAGTTTCATGTAATTTAAACGTCTGCAACGAAGAGAGATATAATGAAGGACGTTGGTGGTGACTTTTGAGTGATAGGCGTGTAGAAATCGTAAACCGTGCGATGATGAAAGTCTGAATTGGTTTAATTCTGTACTAATCATACATGAGGAAACCTTTAAGCTTTTCAAAGTAAGGCAGTTGTCGAGAACAATGGCAATGTCTAGAGTTGCACCACTAAAGTTGATGTTTGCCTTCGTCAAAGAAGGGAAAACATTTATTATTTTAGAGAATGACAGATGATTGGAAATATCCTTGGTATCAGTATTTAAAATTATATCAATCTTTTTGAGGGTTCCAGAAAAGGGATTCACATAATTTTCAAAGAATTCTATTTGTGATCCGAGTCCATTATATTCGTCAACTAGACATTTGATGGTCTTAAGTGGCGTAGTTTTGGGATCGAGAAATTCCCAAAAGGTGAAAGGATTCCCTTGAAAGCAGTTTTTACAGTGCGTGTGTACCGTTTCCAATAACTTAAACACATCGATACTTTGTCTTATAAGAGAAATGAAATGACGGGTCTGCTGATTGCAGTCTGAATCGCCGGCGGTAATATTTACATCAGCACAAGATTTGTGTGAATAAGAGTTCCACATGCGTAGATATGGGTACTTGCAAGCAAAATATCCCACCCACTTGTAGTCAATAAGATCGGTGTTGATATGAAATAGTCGCATTTCGACCGCTGGATTTATTATCAAGAAACTTGGCACATCATTTATGTTGTGGATAAAGGTCAGCGTGTATAGATAGGGATACAAGGCGTGGTAGACTTTGGTGAATAAAGTCCATATCTTCCATGGTAAATGGTATGAGTTGCATTTCAATACATTTGCCAGTTTTTAAATTTATCAAACGAGGAAGATGGGAGAATGTGGCAAAAATATTATTCTTTGCTGCAAGACCGTCTGTTTTGTCAAACTGAATATCCAAGCTTTCCAGGTATTTCCACACACCCCAGCCAATCTCTTTGTTAATACATCCTTTAGAAAGCTGTTGGCTTCTGATAGAAAGAAATTTCAAGTTTTTAAAGTACTTTGGAAATATTCTTAGCTAGGAAATGCCTACTTCGAGACATTTTGCTAGAATTAGCTTTCGAACATGTCTTCAGTTTTCCGTATAAAGTATGTGCTTATATCTGGTAACATTGCAAAAATCTTCCAACTTGCTCTGCCTGGTTATGTTTATGGTATTCCAAAGATATTGCTGAAAGCACATTCTCCATAACCTGCAAGTTAACGAGCATTGAGCTTTGTCTTGGGCTGGTAATAGATATGCTATACGAGCTGTGATTTCCAAAGGTAAGCACGTAAGATCCATTATAATCAATATGGGAAAAAATTGCAAAAACAAATGTTCGTTTTAAAAGTCTAAATCTGTTTTAAAGGCTTGCATTCTTTGTTTTTAGATAAAGTAGCGTATAAATGGATAGCAAACAAGCTAAACTTAACTAATATCTGTTGAAGCTCGGTGAATATTCTAGAAGTATTTCATATCTAGAGTAAGTTATTATAGTATACGCTTGTGTTTATATCACTTTTATAGCATAATAACTTCCAAATATTACAATCTATTTATTAAATTATAATTATGAGCGTTAATATTACTCACAAGCTATGGTGCAATCGGAAATAACTTCTATGTATAAGGAAAATTTTCAAAAGTTAACTAGAGCTCTAAATAATAGATAGCACAAAGCAAAGTTAAAATGATTTAGTTATTTTTTTTTAAAAAAAAAAAACACACACACACACACATCAAAGTGCAATATTATATGTGAAATCCAACTATTTAATTTTCACTTGCCGACCTTTTTTTGCTACTTTATTTGTAGCACATAAAAAATAGGCCGTTTAGTACAATTTTTTTCTAAAGTAAGCTTCTAATCCCGAAGTCATAAAATTTTGCTTTTTTGATTATACGACATTAGGAGAAATAAAATATTGAAACACCGTCGCATTTTTTTTTGTGTAGGAGAATTGCTAGCCTCACAAAAATGCCACGCTCCTAGGTGTTTTTAAATTACTAAAAACAGCTTAGCCTGTTTGAGTTCCAAAAATGTCCTGCAATCTAACAAAAAGACTGGGCATTTGAAAATTAATTATTTTATTTTATTTTACTTTTTTTTTTGCTTTTTTTACAAGTTTTCAATTAGTCTTTGATTTTTTATTATTATATTATAGCAAGTAATTGATCCTCTTATTTCAACTATAATTTTACTTAAATATTATACTGCATTTCAATTAAGGTATTTGGGATTGATTTTGGATTAGTATCTCAATATTAGAAAAAATAGATACTGTAAGAGTGTTATTTATTAAAAAAAAATTAAAAAATATACGAGGTGTTCGGAACTGATCTTGGGTTTGTATCTTAAGATTAGAAAAATTAGATACTGTGAGAATGGTATTTATTAGAGATAGAATAATATGTTTATATATATCAATCGATAAAGACGTTCTTTTTCTTACTATTCAATTTGCCTCTCTTAACATTTGTACTTCCGCTGTGCCACGTCTGGTACTCAAAATCCACCCACGCACACACATAAAATCCACCCACGCACACATAAATCTACCCAGGTACGCAAATCTACCCAGGCACACATAAATCCACCCAGACACACATAAATTCACTCGGACACACACACTATTTTTTTTGTGACAAATTCATAGACCTATATAAAGAATAAATTAATAAATAATTAGCATACTTTTTGAAAGTAGAGCTCCCAGCCTCCCCTCAAGTTTTATATATTTCTTCCCTATGAAAAGTTTAGTTACTATAAATTACAATTAATGTGTAAGAATGAGTTGAGCAGTTTATTGAATGGATAGTAGACTTTAAGTGATTTGGTTGTAAAATTATAAGAAGATTTGCAGAGAATTTAAAGGCAGATGAATCGTATGCTTATATTCCAACTTTTTAAAGATATATATAGAGTGTTTGAATAGGGTCCACCTAAAAAAGAAAGACTTGTGATCATATAACCTTTCTATATATAAAATATCACACAAATTAAAACAAATCTAAAAACATATATACTGATGCCCAATTACACTATAAATGCTGATTTAAGAATTTTGTAAAGAAGCGCTGCTGGAAGCTTTATGTTTTATTGTGTATGATAATATTAAAACATCAGTAAAATAACAGATGGCTTAATCAAAGCCAATACTCAAAATTATATATTAATATCAATTGCAAAGTAATATAACAAGAGGTCAATTGACTATCAAGCTCTTCATATGATCTAGTTACTGTAACGAATTATTTACGCAACTGAGATCCACTCCTGCCCCTCTTTTTCGTTACATCATATAACAGCCTATTTGGTACTATTGACATCTTATTCGCCTTTCTTGTCATCACCTTGTTGTTGACTGCCGATCATTGGGATCAAGAGGTTTTGTTTTTACAGTAATATCAAGGGTAAACAGTTTATTAAAATATAATTCTTACTTTTATTTCAAACTAGAAGAGCCAATTAGTTTAATTTACATTACAGAATTTAAATAATATATATACATGTATATACATTGGTATTTATGTATCAGATTTATATTGTTCTATATAACCGCATTTAAATGTGACATAACCATCTGGTACATCTTTTTCCCATCGCTCTCTACGGTCAGTATGTTGGTTGCCTTTTTTGAAACTTCCTGTAATATCATAAAAATCCCTTTTTTTTAAAAACTTGCGGGAACTGTCATGAAAGTCGTTATCACTACAGTCAGATCCTTCACATTCATAGTTGTTATAGCATCTGCTGCATTCTACAATGTCGCTATCGGGATCCAAGAACTCTCTTTGCTTTGCTCTACGGCGTTTAAGGAAAGCCCTACGGCCCGGATAGTGTTCCATTGGACCGGTACAATCATCGATTTCATAGGAGTTTTTGTTGTCCAAAGGTAGGTTGAAATGTTTACGAGCAAATTCAATCTCATGCTTCCGAAGTTTCCACATAAAAGAGAACGTGCCGCCGCTAGTTTCTTCTGCATAGGATATATAGTACCAGGTGTTTTTGATGGGTGCTTTCGAAAGGGCATTGTTATTAACAATTGCTTTGGATCTCTTCTTATTTTTTAACTGAGGGTCAATCGTGGACTCAGAAAGAACCATAATGCTGACATCTCCTTTTTTATACAAGTCAGATCTAGGTTTTCCGAATCCAATGCAACGTATAAGTAGATATTTGAAGCAAGTGTATGACATGTCGATGCAAAGTTTCTCTGGGCCTTTTGAAAATGTATCGAAAATTATTGCACTGTCCAATGACATGTGTTCCAAGTCCCTGCAACGGTAAGATAGGTAACCTAGTACGGAAGTATATACATCGACCAGCATCAAATCTATATGTTTTAATCCATGTTTGGGATCGTTTGCTGAACCGCCTGGACTAATATAAAGCCATGCGTTAGAGAAGCTTAGTGTTCTCAGTTCCGGACATGAATTCAATATAACGTCAAGACAATAAGACGCATTATGAATTTCAAGGTATAAGCTAACAAGGCAGGGGTAACATTGTAAACTGTAAAGTGGCATGAATATCCGGGGCGACATAAATTCGTCTTTCATATTGATACATAGACTTTCTACAATATTTGCGTGTGGTGTAACAATTCGATAAAATGTAGTTTCAGAATCTTCTTCTTTATATCGATCACCCCGTCCAAGGTCAAGGCCGATGTTCCTCAGCTTGATATTTAGCAAGGAAATCTGCTTCCATATTTCTAGATGATATTTTGTCGAGGTTTTTGTCGCTATTCCAATATTTCTCAAAAATGAAAATCCATGAGAAAGTGTACCAAGAGCATAAATAAGTTTTTGCGGATCAAAATTACTGCTGTACCCCTTTTCAAGCGATAGTGTCTTCAGAGAACGTAGATTTGGATATTTGCGTATTATGTACCACAGAAGGTGAATTCCCGGGCCAGTCACGTTTAACTCGGTTAAGTTTATTGCTGGTTCTATCATTGCTGTTGGATCATAATCGTCATCGTCAAAATCAGTGTGGTTAACGTATATTGATAGACTTGATAGACGCGGCAAATAACTGTGTAGCTTATCAAGATTATTGGGGCCACGGTTTTTACCCCAAGGCATACAGGTTTCCGCTAGATCCAATTTTACCAGACATGGCAAGAAAGACAAAATTTCTAGGAGTCTATCCTTCTCACCGGGACTTTCCATTTGTGAAAGCTTGAGTCCAAGTACTGTCAAAGATTTCCAAGGCTTCCAGTTTAGTTTACCAAGATCAGGAATTGACAGACAAAGATGTTCAATATATAGACATCGAATATTTGGAAGGAGTTTCTGAAGATGTGTAAATTGAACATGGCTTGTTGTAACGTCACGATCCAATGTCAATGAGCGTGTGCGTTTGCCATTGCTTTTGAATGGCTTGTGTCGAGAATGCGCAGGATCGCATATGTTTTTCATTTCCTTTGTATTCTTTATTGTAATGCTGTCCCATAACATGCTTTTAAAGGGTGCTTTCCATGATTTGCAAACATTCGCGCAGCACCGCTTGCTTTCGATCGGAAGAAACCTCGCAATGCATAGTATGATTTCAAAGGGTAATTCTGAAGCAAGCATGTAAGAGAGAAAAAGAGAAAGAGAAATGATGTAATCCGCACATTTTTTTATTATTAAGTGTCTGGTTGTGAGAAAGGTTGAAACCCAGTAACTTGCTTCATCGTTCAATCTCTATGGAAACATATATTTGTGATATAATAGGCAGCTTGAAAAAGTAGATATTAAATTATATACTGGCTAGTTAATATCTTGAAGGTAGAATATAATGATTTGAGAGGTTATTAAAAGAAAAAGACAAAGAAAAAAAAGAGATGAAAAATATGTCAAACACAATAAATTTTCTTGACTTTTGTTACCAAAAATTAAGCTTGAAAATTAGACAATAATAGAAAATGTAAATATTCATACAAATCTGCCTGCTGTTAAAAAGAGATTATAATAGTGATATTTTGCTCAATTCAAGTAATTTTCCGTAAATGATATACTACACACGTCTCCTCAAAGAAGAAATATAATAATATTCAATATATGTATGTATGCATGTATACTATTTAAACATTTTATCTTTTATTGGATATTGTAAAGTATCCACTATCTTCTTTAAAACACGTTAGTATTAAACAGAAACTTCTTTGGTTTTGCAGTTAACAAAATGAGAATGGAAAATGTAAAATAGAAAAAAAAAGTTCTTGAGAAGTAAATTGTGTAGGATATATGCTGCCTTTGCTTAAACAAAGTGCGGTGTGTTACTTTGTAGCATCGGAAAATTTATAGTGAAATGTATCGTGGATTCTACAATTGATTTTATTGGACTATTTGTGCAATAGGAAAAGCGTTTTTGGTAAAAATTGGATAACTCAGTCTGATTTCTTCTTCTTGGCTGTTGTACATGGCTTGTGCACACTTGGTTGACACCCCGCATTTGTATTCTTTGTGTGAAATAATGACAAGCCTTTATATATATATATATGTATGTATGCTTTATCTGATTCGAATATTTTAGTCAACTCTCTTTGTATTCTGTGGTACTTGTACTTAACTTAATGTCCCCAAGAGGTCCTGAGGACCATCAAATGACCTGTTTCTTCTAACGTTTCCATAAGTTAATATTTTGTTATTTGGTGATGGGGCTGTGGTTTCTCATATTGTATGTAATGTCCTTTTGCCCCGTATTTCTATTTGATGTAAATAGTAATGCATGTATTTATACACAATGATTATAAATAATAGCCTGCATACATTATCAATTTCTTTTTGTTTATTACAAATATTGATTTATTTATTTTCAAAGGGGGGGTTTCTGTCACTATAAAGAAAAAGACTGCTTTTCTGTATCAAACAAATAGCATCCCAAAAGTAACGTATTTGTTATATATTTTCTGCCAATTCGCTCCAGAATGTTTTACTAAACATGTTCTTATAGCCAACAGAACATTCACCAATATACGCGCACATCAAGTTTACATAGCCTTGTGAGAGATCATGTTTCCAATTGCACATTGTTAGTTGTCCATGATAAGACCGCTCAACCTTTGCAGAAATCGTGCTTGTATTACGTCGAAACTGTCGGAAGTAATTCTTGGCATATTTGGCTTCTTTGTTGTCTAGAACTCTCATTAAATAAGCATCATTCTCTAATTTAATATCGTTGCTAAAGATATGAAACCAAGTATATTGTATACTGCGTTTTGTAGTTGGTTTGCCAGAAAAAAAGGTCTTAATCAACTTTGTGGGTTTGGGTTTCTGTAAGACTGCGGTCGGTTGAGAAAGGACAATAAAATTGACCGGAACCCCATGATGAGCACCATTATTTGACGAACAAAACCGTACACCATGCATGTGTAAGATCTCAAAATGAGTATGTGGCATGCTGAGGCAAAGGCTCCCAGTCTCTGGAGATATGGATCCAGTTACTAACACGTCCGTCAAGTTCATGTACTTTAACTGTCTGCAATGCAGGGATATATAGTTGAATGTATTGGCTGTCGTTGTTTTATAGGCTATCTGCAACATGCGTAATTTGTGCTGTACTTGTTGTTTCATGCCTTCTGAACCGACTGACAGAGTTACACCAGACAACCTAAGCCTTATCAAAGACGGGCACTGTGTCAGGAGAACATCTATTGAGACCTGAGCGTCAGCCACGACAAGGTTCAAGTTGATTAGATGAATGCAATAATCAAAGTATGCTGATATGTCTCGGGTCATGGCAGGTTGATGCGCTGTTATTATGGTTAACGTTGTAAGCGTGGATGAAAGTGAATGAGTGCATTCGTGAATAATTGTCGGTAAAAGCTCTGGTGAATCATGAGAGGCAGAAAAGGTATATTTTAGATTGTTGAGCGGCACTTTGAATTTACGAAAAAGTTTCCATAGCAGGAAATGCTGTAGGTCTGCATCTTCTTCAGTATACATTTGGATGGCACTTAGATTAGGAAAAGCGTATGGAAGGCCCGAAAATATAGAGACCGCGTCATTTGAAGATTGTTGAATGTTGTCGTTCTTGATGAGAATCCAATTAAAAACGCTTAGGTTTGGGTATTTTTGAGCGAAATAACACAGCCACCGATTATCTTTTACATCGGAAGAAAGATTAAAAGTTACTAGGTTTTTTGCTGGGGTTGTGGATCTGATGCGCCTGAGATCATCATTAGATATGGCGTCAAGTTCTAGGGCAAGGCTTGCATCTCTTAGCTGTGGCAAGTGTTGATGAAGAAGCTCAAAATGTTCAAGTGTGAATACAAGGGATCCGGGATTTTCACCTTGATCTATCCCTAAGTTCTCTAGGCGTGGTAGACAAGATAGTATTTTGAGAAGCTCCATTTCGTTGTCAAAGACTCTGATCAAATCCAATCTGATCTTCAGCTCTCGTAGCGTACTCCAAAGAGTCCAGTCTGCTGCGCTTCCAAAACTGACATGACTTAAACAATATTTCTGCATGTAAAGACCCTTGAGACCCTTAAAATGTTGCTGTAGGGTAAAGAGCTGCCTATTGCTTATCCGGAACTCTCCGTCCAAAATCAACTTTCGTACATGTCGACCATATCTTTCATAGGTGATATACTTGTCATCGAATATATTACAGATCCCATTGATTTCTTTCTGATCAGTTATCCTTATTTTGCTCCACATTGACTCCTGAAATGGCGTTTTCCATGCTTGGCAAACAAGAATGCAAGGAAGTCTGTGTTTGAGCCGGAGATATTTTCCAATATGAACAAGGATCTCGAATGGCAAATCGGATGCGAGCATTATGAAACAAATATAAAAAAAAGAGAGATAGAGATAGATAGAGGAAAGAAAGGAGTTACATTGGGTTGCATACTGTCCATTTGCTTTTTAAAAAGAATCCAGTTCCTGCGAGCCCCCAAAAAAGATAGCTTTTACTGAAGGTGACGCAGATTAGGACTATTATATGGACACACAAAACAGAAACATGGTTAAGGCAAGTACAAGCTTAAATGTATAAATGTTGATACATAAGCTCGGTAACAGTGTATGACAGAGTACAACCATAGAACACTCAAGTAGGATCTAAAAACATACTTAACACCTTTTAAGAGTATTTATGTTTCCTCAATAGAGCAATTTTTCCATAAAAATATTTTGTAAATTCAGCTTTTCCTTTACAAGTTGAATATACTTCTAAGCCATTCTCCCGGTAACAACAATCCGTTATAAATATGCTATTGACTAATATTAGTATTTTAGAAGTGTAGCTATAAATACATGTGTAAAAGGGCTTGTTAATTTATTAAAACAAACGGAACCCCCCAAAGAAAGACAATTACTTGACTTGAGATAAACATGCACTGATAAACTCAATTAAATCAATGAAATGCACCATACAGTTGAGACCAATTGAGCTCATGCCACAGTGGTACACTGCTATTTGGTCAATACATTTATGGTTCTTCGTTTAGATAGAAACCAGTAATCGCAAAACTAAAAAGAAAAGAAAAAGATAGAAAACCTAAATTAAGAACCAAACCTTATGTTTACACACGATCCAGATTTACAAGAAAAAGGATTGTACCAAGAATAACTACGAATTGAATTTCACTTCAACATGGCTTGCATATGTAGGTTAAGGGCCATATGTATTCTCAAATAAAAGAAGAGCAATTGAGCATGTAATTTGATTATACATATGAGCTAAAGTATGTCTTGACAGTCAATTCAAATAAAATTACCTTCTCTCATCATCACACGTAGTGCACATACTGTTCTGAATCATACACGTGTAAATTCAGAATCGATTGATTTGCTTTAATTTTCTGCCAACTTTATACATACACATATAATTGATCGTTGATAAATTCATTGTAGATACGGTAAAACTATTAAGACCTTGCTAAAATAATACATATAAAATTGTCTTCCAAATAATGTTTAATCCTTGGCAGTTTTTAATTAATAAATTAATAAATTAATTATTTGCAATCGAAAATATATATATATATATATATGTATTATTAATAAAGAAAAAAAAATCCTTTTACTAAAAATGTATTGAGTAGAATTGCATAGTATGAAATAGGATATGTTTACCCTTTTCACATTAGAGAGCTATAAGTGAGATATTAATTGGTGATAATGATGCTCTTACAATACAAAGTATATCAAAAACAATAATCAAGGCTTGAATCTGAATTCTCTTCGTTTTTTGTTTATATATATATAATTTTAAAAAGGAGCAGTTTATATTGTTGACCTATCAGTGCTCATTTAATTTATATTGAGAAAATAAAGGGGTCTGTGATTAAAGATGTGTGCCAAAGCTTTCTGGAAAGCTGAGATTATGTAGTAAGAAAAAAAAACATAGTTATCTGGCTCTTTCTTCTCGCAGACACCATAGTTGTGCTATCAATTGTATAAAGCCAAAAAGTAAACGATTGTGTGGTGTACAGTAGTAATGATATTTTATAAAATCAAATCTTGTTGTCTTTGAACTTGAGTGGCAAAACTTGTAAAAAAGCTTTGCGAAAACTCCTCAACACTTAATGTGGATGTATGCTGTGTTGATAGCGTATTATTTGATAAGCGCTCAAAGAATTCCTATTATCAGCAAAAAATAAAGGTTAAAAATATATATTAAATTCCTTTAAAGCAGTATCTTAATCATAATCATAAGTATTAGTTATGTCACTCACGTTGTCGAACCTGGTACTTAATCTCACAAGTTTACCGCAAAGCCTTTTAATAAAAACTAATAGATCAGGTGAATGTGTATAGCGATCTTTAAGTTCTTTTAGATCATTTAGTCTTGTCTGGATTTCATGTTGAACTAAGTTTGTAGCCACTGGATTTCCGATTGCAAATGTAACTTTTTGGGAGAGTTGCTTCAGTGATTGGTATGTGCTGAGAATAATAAGTCCATCCCCATCTTGTCCTGATTGATCAAGTTTTAAGAGATATCGTATACCCAGATCGTCGTTTTCTGTAATAATTTCTTAAATTATCATACCATATATTTGACCTTCTAAAGGTTTGTTTGATACACTATACACTTACTGGATAGAAGAGTGGTGGGGACAAGATTGTTGAGGATAGCATACTTTGCTTTCTTAAATTCGTTTGCCTTGAAGTACCAGTCAGCCTCAGTAGCATAGTCTTTAATCGAGTGAGCATGTATGGCCTGTGACAATAAAATTTGTTATAAAATAAATACACGGAATTGATAGTTTCATTTATTCACACAAATGAAGTATATTTTTTACCTTTGCTTCTTGTATCCATAACATCGGAATATTTAGTTTATTAACAAGATACTCTTCATCTTTCCATTCACACTTATTCAAGATTGACTTGGCTAGCTTTTCTCTGTAGTTTGGACTATTATCAAACCCATACAGCTGTATATTAGCTACCGGTTTTTTTTTTAAAAAAAAATCTTTAAAATAAACTTACGATTTGAGAAACAATGCTGCCAAAACAGCCTGGTCAGCAAGTGAGCTTTCTTGGAGCGTATTACACCATCTTTCGGTGCATTGGTAAATTTCATCTTCTGAAAACCAGTTTGGGACCACAAGTGTCAAAATCCACGCAAGATCGGTCGGCCAGCCCTTCATGAGGAGCGTGTCTTTATCAGCCGATCGCCGCCTTTCACGCTCTTTAGTCGCTACAAACATAGGCATTTTTGACGCCCATAAGCGCAAAACACCTGCCCACAAACAAGATGGTGGTGGCGAGGCAGTATTTTTGTTTCCAATTAGATAATGTGTTCCAGGCAGATGTGACATGGCCTCGTTGTAAAGCTGAACTGCGTGGTCTAAACTCTGCAGGGGGCGTACTCCACTCCATATGTAGAGCCCCAATACACGTTCCCAATCCAGATTCTCTACTACCACAATACGCTTCTGACTACAATAGCTTAATTTTCCAGCCAATATGTACCATGCCTTTTGGTGACAAATGGTCATTTTCTCGAAACTACCGTCTTCCTGTAATTCTCTGATTCTATCTCGTGCACTCTTTTGTGAATTGCATTCTTCTGGTCCCACAATTAGAGCTGCGAAATAATGGTCTCCTCGTGATCGTGCCAGCATTGATGCTTCGATCGTCTCTCCATAAGACAAGGCAATTATAACCTTTGCCCATAAATCTCCTGAATGTTTTGATTCAAGATCTGCTATTGATTCAAGTTTCATACTGTTGTCTGAGTTCAGCCACTCGTAAAAGCGATCAATAAGAATTTTTGGATCTGTGTTCATCAAGATGTCGCATAATTCCAAAGCCTTGTATTCATTGTTAGATAAGTCGAATACTTCCGGCTTCTTTAATAATTCGGTTAGAATTGTAGTGGGTTTTGAAATGTTTAGGCAGGCGTAAGGATTTTCTTTGCAATCGATCCTAGAAAGGCGCCGTATAAAGTTCATAATTGACGTATAAATTTTGGCAACCTAAGAGACATTATAATCCATATGTAAGAAAAAAAACGGCAAATAATGCGCTTTGTTGTAGTTTTTTTAGTTGTTGTTGTTGTTGTTGTTGTTGTTGTTGTTGTTATTATTGCTGTTGTTGTTGGTAGTAGAATATGATCGCGACATTTGGCATCCTTACGTCTATACAGCTGTATTTTGGAGATTATTAGAATCAATATTGCGAGATTTTGTTATTATTATCTTTTTTTTTTGCTATTAAGCCTACTTGTTGTGAGATACAGCTTGTTTCTTACAGATGCTTTCTAAATCATCTGAAGATCGTTTACTACAAGTTTAATATGTGATTATGTTAAAGTTAGTTCAAATGTACATGTAGATAAGATGTACTCTTACATACACTGAAGGCATGTTTGGTATATTATTTGATAGGACTTATTTATTTGTTGTATGAAATAATAAATATGTAACTCAATATATTATACAACTAAACTCTATTACTTTATTTTATTAAAATAAAAAAAAGGAGCTGTTAACATGGAACAAATTGACCCAAGATCACGTGAGCCATTTTATAGCTGACAACAAGTAAAACTGGCCACATCTTTTAATTCGTTTTGATATTAAACGTAATCGACAATCTTATGGGGACGACGTTTCTATCTGACCGGACTAATCAATTGTGGCTATCTGTCCGGTTCCTGTTACTTTTCATTAATCTTTCTGGGTAAAATGTCGTGTCCTGTGAAAATACAATATATTCCTTGTACGTATTAGCCTACTGCTTTGTCTCCACACTTTGTGTGTTCACTAATATCTCCCTAGACATCTAACTCTCATTTTTTTCGGAAGTACAGCCTGTTTTCGGGCAATTTAATAATTAAATGTTGTCTCATACAAAAAACAAATCCTGTGTATTTGATTAATAGGTGTTTGCGCCCTAAATTTAGACTTGACAATAATTAAATAATAATAATTAGTCACAAATACACTATATCATTAACTAGTTATGCAGAAGATTATAAAGAGTTGTTGTCATTAGCTTGTGACGCAATATTGTTGAATATCTTACCATTTATTGACCGTTTTACCCGTAGGATGTCTTTCTCTTTCTTGCACCTATTTTACTTATATTTCCAGAGTTTACAAGCGCCAACTGGTAAGTAATCGCCATCCACCATTTTATTTTTTTCAAAACACAAAAGAAAACCTTGATACGAACATTCTGTATCCTGGCTCTGTATTAATTATTATAATAAGAATGGATACATAGAGACCAGATATGATTATTCAAAGACAGCAAAGAAGGCACAATTTGTGATCCGGTAGAATCAAAATGTCGTCTTCTACCAAGAAATATCATGAGCCAATATGAAACGTCGTTCTCCAAATATCAGCAGTCTTCATCTAGGGCTTACATATGATATTCTTACCGCTTTTCTTCTTCAGTTGAAAAAGCTAATAGAAAATAAATGGGGTACAGACAGGGTTTGATTATTATGAAGAACGAGTTAATTGAGCTTGGCATAGCGGAGAAGCCACTAGATAATGATACAAACAAGATAATCGACAGAAGGCTTAGGTGTCCAAAAGGAATGAAAGACGTTCAGTTAGAATTATTCAAGAAAGTTAAACACGATCCTAAAATCATGAGCAACCTTAATCTGGTAGAGATTACAACATTCGGCAAGTTCTTTTTTTCAGTCTTCTTTCTCGGCTGTGTATTTAATCATTATACATGTAGGTATATCACTATATATCGATATTTTGGATTTCCCTGCCATTTTTATTTTGCGAATAACCAGGTTGACTGATCTCACTGTTCCTGCAAACGTGGAATACGTGCACATTGACTTGCTCCCATTAATGGCATCCTTACTCAGCCTTAAAACAATCATAGATGAAACCTCAGCGCTCTTATCACAGGCAGATAAAGATGCAAACCTACGCTCTTCACTCAAGCGTTCCTTTTCAAAAGATAGCAATAGTAAGATATCCCAGATCACTTGTGCCAAATGCCAAGTCACCCGAAAGCAACAGAATCAAACAAATAAAAACAGTCGAAAGTGAATTTTCCTTTGATATCTATGCAAATAACATTATAGTACATTGATTATTTTTCTCCTTTATGATTCGATTCATTAAATAAACTTTATTCTCTGCTTATCTTTATATTAATATGACCTTAATATAATTGAACACAAATGGTACTGGCTAGCTGTCTATTAAAAAAACACCAGTCGTTATATATTTCAATTGATCTATATATCTATCTTTTTCTTGTACAATAATTTATTATTGATATAAAAGAAACAAATCATAGATAATAATAAGCATACAGAAGAGTAGGCGTAAAAGTAAAAAGTTAAATGATAAATCCTTTACACTTTTACTAGTAAAATTATCACATATTTTAGCAGCAATTTTTTTCACAAATTTCGCCTTTTACTTGGGCTTTCTAATTCCGTACACTTAATATAGAGCGCCAAAAGTATGTAACCGGTGAGATACTCCAAGACACTCTCTGATATAACTATGGAATATAAAAGCATCAGATTGAAACAAAGCAAAAAATTTATAGTTCTGTTTCTTTTTTTTGGGGGGGAGTACAGTATATTATGTTTATATAATACAAATGAGCTAATTGAGAGGGGAACAGATATGGAATAGGAAAATGGAGATGGCACACAAAATTGTCTGGGTTAAATAAAGATGAGTTCTTTTTGCTGTAGTACCTGCAAGCTATAAGCTGATGTGATTTTGCACACGGGTGTTTCTTACTTTAAAAGATATGGCGAGAACCGTGTATACAGCCGGTACGGTGGATATTGTCACCAATTACAAAATATTAAATAGCTTGTTGATATATTCGATATTTCTTCTGCCAAACTAGCAGCCATCTTTAACCAATGATTGGATGATTTTATCGACTTTGAACCATGGTACAAGCACCATACTTAACTTTACTGCATAGTAAACATAACGAGATTTACAGAGAACGGATTTATATTTCAAAAATATATTCCAATATATGTTAGTCAAACGTCTTTTTATAGATATTATCCAAGAATTATTCCTAATGAATTGTTGTATATGACTTGGTAAATTTGTAGGATAAGGTTTCCGTTATTCGACTTAAGTCAAAGTAGAGAATTTAGGCTTATCAAAAAAGGAAGCTGTAGTCATTATAAGAAAAACATGCACTTCAATACGTCTGGTAGTGGTGCTAGTATTACGCTGGTTTCCCTTTCCAAGGGACTGAATTTGTTCACTAATCCGCAAATCTGAGTGCCCAAAGGTCTCTAATATCCATCGTATTGGCTGTATTTATGTCTGTCTATCTTTATTTAGATCTCGCACATCCCGTGCTTGAGGTAATTTCATTTCTTCTTGTTAAAGGTTTAAGATACTTGAAACATCTAATCTATATAGATTACTTTCTTTATACGAACAAATACACACACATGCCACCTAAAGATTATTACAGCTCTGTCCGTCTTTGTACATTGCTCATAGACCGTACGCAAAGGAAAGAAGGAAAGAAAATTCGAAAATTGCTTCAGAGCAATTTGCATTTTCGTTGACATGTTAAAATATCTACAGATGTCTTTGATACTTTAACGTATTGTAACAATCAGAAGTACATACGTACGTACTATATATATTAAGCTTTGTCTTCCTTATTTATGCGTGTGATGCAAGAAAAATTGTGTATTCTTCCGATGGGAGCCTTGTCAAACATAAAAGTTTAAGTTTCTGCCGCAACGGTTCCTGTCAAACATTACACAGACATGAATGAAGTCATGGAAGCTTCTTTATTTTTGGCTTTTTTTTTATACATTTATTTCCAAAACAAATGGGTTTCCTTTTGTTATTAATAAAGTCAAATAACTAGTCTTGGCTACCTTGGTAATTTTCAAAAGAATATGTTTTTCTTTGCTCTATATGATTTATAAGAATAAAAGAAAAATGAGAGGATATTTTATTGATTTATTTAAAAAGTGCAAAAATAAAAGTATGAAAAAAAAAGGTGTTTCAGCAGCTTTTGATTCTTGACATTTTGATTAGCGGAGATTAATATTGCTAATGATTGGCTTAAATCAATTAAAAAGAAAAATTAGAAAGAGAAAGTCTCTAAGCAGTTACATTGGTTTCTTCAAAGCTTAAACATCATATGGACTTTATAGCTATTTTCGATATTAGCTATTGTTGGCTGGTAGCTAAACTACCATCAATAGTAACAATAATAATAAAAAAAGTTAAATAGCAGGTATTCAAAGCTACCAAAATAGTTTAATAGACAAGATAATATTGCTAGTTTGGAGGTGGGGTTAAAACATGATCAATACAAATTGACAGAAAATAAGAGGAAAAAGATTCGCAAGCAGTAAAACTCAACAGGCAATATTGGACGGAACTTTTACTGCTAAAAAGAAAGAAAAAATCATTGTAAAGTGTATAGTAATACTCAAACATGGAATACTGTGCTAGTCTTGAAGCATCACCATAGTAAACCAATATACTCAAATTTTCATTGTTCCCTTATATATATATATATATATATATGTGTGTGTGTGTGTGTGTAGTATAGTTTTGCTCTAACGAACCCAATGGTGTACCAGAGCATGAATAATATGTCAGCTGGTAAAAGATCAACTAAAATGTATGAAAGGAGATAATACCTTTCCCCCCCTGAAGAGCTCGTATTCTGTAAGCTCTAACGAAGAATATCATGCTATATCATAGTAGATGATTTTGTACAATCCAATATCCTTAGACAACTTCCTTGATTTTGTTTTGGCACTGAGCTTAATCACCAAAAGTGTTATATATCTGAAAAACATCAAAGCAAAATAACGAAAGAAAGAGAGATAAATAATCATACGGAACTGGATAATAGTATAGCCCGAGTACATTATACTATGCTTGATAACTTTGCTTTATTAATTACTGGTTAATAAAGTATGTATTTTCAAATGTTTTACACCATTTTGCAAGCAAAATTACACCAAGGCAAGAAGCCATAATCAAACAACTAACAATTCTTATTTGAAGAAATCAATATTCGTTAGACGCAATTTTTGATAGATACCAAGTTATTTCAGCGTACAAAAGTTTATCCATTAATCATCGCTATAATCTTCAGTATATACCCCCCTCTCCCCCTCTCCCTCCTCTTCTTCCGCGCACCCCCTTTTTTCCGCCTATTAGGATATCCTGGTATTTTTCTCTATCAATATGATTGGATGGAGATAACGAATACAAAGCATGTACTCTATACTCCAAAACTGATTCCGTTTTGGATAAAAAAGGCTAATTGTCCTAGTGTATTGTAATTTGTAGCCAAGTCCAAATATTATACGCGTAATTCTGATTATTTATAGAAAATATAAAAGTTTACTAGGAAGAATATAGAAGATTGAAGATGTACAAGTACGAGATATATATATATAAGAAAAAAATAATAGAAGAGAAAGGGCAATATTTGAAATTGCTATTCAAAAACAAGAATATAAGATAAAGTATAATATAGGGGGGAAAGGAAAGTGAAGGGAGTATATATTATATGCAGGATGGTTAATTTAATCTATTATTTTAGTTTCCAATAGCTGCCTGACCCACAGATAGTAAGCTGTGACCGGCTGATGGTGGGATATAATAGAATCCAGCCACCAGAACACAGTAACTGAGGATAAGGATTGAGCCCTTGAAGTAATTGGCCTTGCCTTCTTGGTAAGTATAAGTCAACAAAAACACCGAGAATATAACCGAGATGACATCCCAACGAGGAAATACCAGACTAATAATGATAATGATAATGATAATGTCAAAACCAATTCAGTCACTCAGTAAAACACAAAACAACCAAGTAAACAAACTTACCTAAAGGTATAGCGAGCAACTTCTTCTTTATCCCAGTTGTACCAAAGGGAGAACCCAACCATGGCTGGGATCTGCAACAGGCACACTTGAAGTGCATACGCCGAACCAATTTCCATACTATTTATTCCCCAGAATATAATCAAATCAGAATCTTGTTTGGTTTGGTTTGGTTTGTTTGTTTGTTTGTTTGTTTGTGAATTAACAAAGGAAACACACGTGTGTATTCCTTTTTCTATCTTCTTTTTTTTATCTTACCTGAGAACAATGTTTCCATTCAAAGCAAACGAAATAGCGTTCATAAACTCGGTAATGTTTGGTACCAACGCAAACAAGGTTAATCCCAAAAACTTCTCATCGACTACCAGACTGTCCATAACCAGATCAACTGTTTCGATCAAGATCTCGGCAATAATAGAATACAGCAATGTGCAGCCGAACAAAACTGTGAAACTCTTGGTCTTACTCCAATTAGGCGAGTCGTGTCCAGCGGCCTCTTCTTCATCCTCATCCTCATCAGGTTCTTTGGCGTGGATAAAAGTTATAGGAGTAGCTGGAAGGTTGTTTGGTCCAACAATTGGTATAAAGTTAGGGTTATGAGGGTTATAGAGAGTTGTATTGCTGCCAGCAGTAGAGTCCTGGATTTGAGCAGTAGTAGGTGGAGGAGAATGGGAAGGAAGAGGGGGAGAAGATGTTGTATGCGGCAAGTTTTGTGTGGCGCTATAGAGAGCCAATGAAGCTGGTCCAGATGTTGTTACTGGTATAGTCTGAGACGGTGCAACATCCTTGGCAGTTGCGGGATGATGTGTGAGATGAGAAAGGATATGAGCAGGCAATAATCGCTGGTAGTATGATTGGTGGGGTTGTTTGGGGGCTTTTGGAGTAGAGCTCTTCCAGACCATATCCACATGTGTGTGCAAACTAAACACTAATCCTATAAAATAAACCTTTTGGAGTACAAGAAATCAATGTCGAGTCCAAAATCATTGTGTGAATTTACTTACCGAAGGAAGGATAGCGGCACATATCCACATGAGAGGCTTGACACTGTTCTGGTAAACTGGATCCAAGGTCGGGTTCATCTGGTCATAGTAACACTGGGAACAAGCAATCACACCTGTACCATTGCTCGACTCTGGACACCCGGTGCACCGTAGTTCAAACTAGTCTCAATTTGTAAGCAGTCTATTCCCACTAGGGTACTAAATCACTAGCTAGCTGGCTAGCTTACTGGCCAGCTAAATAAATCAAATAAGTATATAAAGAAATAAGACTTACGGATCCTAACATTTGGTAAAACAATGTGGGTGTCAAGATGCCAATGATGGCCATAATAAGCATAGTGGATGTAACACCGGCACTTTTAGCATTGAAACGCTGTTCCTTTCGTTTTACACCAGCACTTATCATGGAACAACCTGGGAGTAAGAGAACACCGGCCAAGATACTTCCTATCAGGGAACCTTCAACCAAAGCACTCTTCCCACCCATCAGGGCCACAGAATAGAGAATGATTTCGATGATACTACCAAAGGTAGCGTTGATTACTGCACCCACACCCATACTACTCTGGGCTGACACAGAACTGACACCCATTCCGATAAAGTATGAAAGTGGGATGACAGACGCCAAGGAAAGTGAGAAGATGGCTGTTGGTGATGTGACGATAGAGTCTGGGAGATATTTTTTGAGAACATGGTCGTCAAATATGACAAAGAACACGATGGGTAGTAAATTGATGAACATGATATTGATGCCATCATAGGTGTATTTGTAATACTGCAATCCGATGGCCTGGTATGTACACAGCAAGATGATGATAGGCTTGCCGGTTGCGTTCATCTGGGACTGACCGGATGGACTTGATTTGAAACGCAGTGTGAGTGGATGACGGTAAAGATGGCGCAGGAGAATGTAATTTAGCTTAGCCATTGGAATGGTAACGACACACAGCCAGCATATAGTAGACACAAGCAGCAGAAGTGGAGCTATTTAAAGAATATATATTCCAAAAAGAAAAATCATTAGTTTCAAACCAAAAAGAAATTTACTTATGTGTGTGTGTGTGTGTGTGTGTGTGTGCAATGTAACTTACCTGCGATTACAAAAAATAAAACATAGTAGATCCAACCAGCCAAACCAAGCCGTAATACACTTGAGATTCTTTGTTTCAGAGTTGGCTTATTTCTCTGAGCTGTATCATCAGCTCTTTGGTTCTGCAACAGCCCTGACTCCTCATCTACGGAAGCAGAAGGATGTCTTGGATCAGATGGAGTGATCTCAACATGTCTTTCGATGTATCTGCCAAATGGCCACAGAAGATATGCTGCTAGTTCTCTGAGCACAAGTGCATAGGCACGTCCGTTTGTGGGGATTATTATCATAACAATTGAGATGATAAACATCACCAAAGCTAGCCACCATCCAAATACTAATGTCCATGCAATGTTTCCTGGGTTAAGAAACAGTTCTGGCGAGGAAGATGGGGAGGCATGAAGGGAACTGTTGGCCTTGCGGACCACCGAGCGTGATTTTTTGTACAAAGCAGGTTTCCAGATTGGAAGACCAAATGGATGTCTCTTATTCATTGCCTACAATAAAGATAGGAAGAAGACCAAAAATACACATAAGAAAGGCGGCCGTTTAATCACAGATTTATATAACAGCAAGAAACAAAGACAGGCTTCTTTATCTTACTTCTTGGATATCTTTGAGTGTCATTTCTCGGTCTGTGCTGTCAAACGACTGTCTGTCAGAGTCGCGGCGATGAGTGCGTCTTCGCGGTTTGGCATGCTCATTAGCCTCATCCGAATGAGGTCCATTTGGAGACCTGTCGGGTTCGTCTTCGGGCGGACTATCAGTCGCTCCATAATGCACCTTTCGGGTTCCATCCTTGGGAGGTGGGTCGTTAATAGACGAAGATCCCATAAATGTCAAGAAAGAGAATAAAACAAAGAGTGGGAAGATTAAAAGAAGAAGAAAAGGAAAAAGAAAAGGAAAGACAAGGGTCGTTTTCTTATTTCTTTGTGAGGCATTTTTATTTTATTTTATTTTATTTTTTATTTTATTTTTATTTTATTGCTTTTTTCTTGTGTGTGTATGGTTTTTTTACAACTATTCTTATTTTTTTATTTCGCTTTTTTCCTTTTTTGTACAAATGAATACCATATATATACATATAATATATATATATATATATTTTTGGATGTCGGTATCTAAAAATCTATCAGTCTTTAAGACTTGCTAATGCCTTTTTGTAGTTTTCCTCATAACGGGCAAGGTCTTCTTTCTCAACTCTCAGTGTCTTGACTTGCGACAGGTGACTAGCATCTCTCAGAATTTCCTTGAAGTGACGAGCCTCTTGTTTCTCTACAATTGTGTATGCCTGACCCTCTCGGCCAGCTCTTGCTGTACGACCCACACGGTGGATATACTTGTCCATAAACAGTGGAACATCGTAACTTATCACAGTGTCAACACAGTCAAGATCAATACCACGACCGATCAAATCGGAACAAATCATCCTATGGGTGGATTAAGACAAAGAAACATATATATATATATTAATAAATTAATATATAAGTCAAAATTATACTATTTTTTTGAAACATATATGAAAAACTTACAAATCAATTTCTCCGGCACGGAATTTCTTCATCAAAGATTTACGCTGAGACACCGAAAGGTCACTTGAGTACTCTGCCACTCGTGTCTTTTTACCTTCATTAAGCTCTTCATAGGCTTCAATGAGGAGCTGTAGACGCTGGGTAGATTCAACAGACTTTGTGAAACACAGGCCAGATGTGATGCCAACCTGGTGCAGCAAGTAGATCATCATAAGGGGTTTCTGATCGGCATTACAGACCACCATATGTTCCTTAAGGCCTGCTGGGGTAGTGTACTCGGGTCTGGTACTGTCGTCGCCTATGACCTGGACCGAAATGTATTCAGGATCCGTCAAATGCAAACCCGCAATTTTGGCAGGATCCTTGGTTAGGGTTGCAGAGAACAGCAGTTTTTGGATCTAAAATAAATAAATAAATAAATACAACGTTTTGTTTAGCTTTCTTATGATTATTACTATGAGTATTACTATTTGGGGGTCTTGTTATGTTGTTCCTATATACATCTTTTTTTTAATAGTAAATCTTACTGCAGGTGCCTTTGTCAAATCAAGATCGGTCTTTGGTAGATTGTAATGGGACCTCAGGTAACTTGGTGCAATGGCATCTGCTTCCGGGACACTAAAATAGGAAACGTGTCAGTGTACACAAGAGTAGGACAATATTATATAATTTTTTTTCTTTCTTTCTTTCTTCCTTTCATTCTTTCTTTTTCTTTCTATCTCTATCTCTATCTCTATATATCTTTGTGCTATTTATGAATAGGCGTGTGTGTGAATAGATGTGTGTGTGTACCCGTATGTGTTGGTTTTAAATTCAAGTGGTTCCTGGCTAGGGTCTCCTGGACGAGTGGCCTGTAAGACTTGGTTCAACCAATCCTGGAAACTCTGGTTTAAAAGTCGATCGGCTTCATCAATAACCAGGAACCGGAGATGTTCCAACGAGAAATTGGGTGTATCTTTGAGATGATCCATCAAACGACCAGGAGTGGCTATCAAGATGTCAACTCGGCTAGAACCACCAGGGTAACTATTATTTTTATACACAAATGTGCGTATTTGTACATATATTTTAAGCTTATCTTTTTCTTTTTCTCGTTTTGGTTTTTGGTTTTATACTTGTAATTGTACACACTCGTACATAAATACAACTATGTATATATATATATATATATATATTTACCTGTCTTTTGTCATTCCAACTAAAGATTGTTGTTCATGGGCAAATGATTGTTGACCAGTTGCTGTACCAACCTATATTAGAAAATCAAATAAATTGATAAATAATAACCATTAATAAATAAATACATACATACATACATACATACATACATACATATATATATATATATATATATAAGTATATTATTAAAAAATATTGTAACCGTCTTACTTTGAGATCCGTGCCTTGTACAAAAGCGTCAAAGGTTTCTTTTACTTGAACAACCAAATCACGGGTGGGAAGAATAATCAGGGCTCTTAGGCGAGTGACTACGCGCTTGGACAAGATATCCACAATAGGCAATACATATGCAAGGGTTTTACCGCTTCCTGTAGGAGCTGAGATGCACAAGTCTCCCGGTGCCCGTCTAGTGTCATACAAAGTCTGTCTTCTCAAGAATACGGGAATGACAGCCATCTGAACTATAAGTAATTGCCTTTGTGTTTTAGTTAAATTGGATTACATTTAATTGAATTGAATTGAATTTGAGTTGTAGTTTTAGCTGTAGGCTACAAAGTATTTATCCTTTCGTCATTATTGTAAATAATATGTGTATATAATTACCTGCAAAGAAAGAGGACAGCCCAAAATCACCACATCTTTTGATAATACGAGCGGATAGGCCAGCCTGATCCAACTCGCATGTCTCTTCTGGTGAGACAACTGTGGGCTGTAATAACCATTCGGGAATACCCATGCTACGCAACAATTTAATATCTTCCTTGCTTTGTTGCGCTTGGGTTCCAATCATATCTGGGAATGCTTCCAGAATAGACTCATCTTCCTCTTCCTCTTCCTTTTCTTTTTGCTTTCCTTCCTCTTCTTCCTCTTCGTCTTCCTCCACTTCTTCCTTGTCGTCATTTTCTTCGTTATCTTCTTCTTCTACTACTTCTTCCATTTCTTCGATTTCTTCTCCTTTTTCACTTTCTTCAGTTGTGTCTATTTTTTCGTCTGTATTTACTGAAACTACATTTTGTTTCTTTGGTTGTTTTTTGGACTTCTTCTCGACGACTTCCTTGGTAATAGTTGTGTCGGGTTGTTCCGTTTTACGTTTGCGATTTACTTTTTCAAGAAGTTTGTTGAGTCTTTCTTGCTTCTTGTCCATGCTACGACTGTCTGTCGTCTGCTTCTCGTCTTCTCCATCATATCGTGAAATTGAGAACATTGCAAAGGATCGATGAATTAATGATGAGATCTCCTGCACACAGACTACCACATACAATACACACACAAAAAAAAGAATAAAGTCAGCTTTTTTTTTGGAGTATTTTACCAGTCACGGAATTAAGCAAAAAAAAAACACACACACACACATAGAGAATTTCGCATTTAAAAATGAGAAAATTAAACCAATATTTTGAGGTAGTCACAGCTCAAATTTGAAAAAGACCAACTTTCAAAAAAGTGGTCCGTAATTCCCAAACAACAACATAATGATGATGCTTATACATTATCTACAGCTACAAATAAAAATATATAATGTATATACAGTGAGTATTATATAAGCAATCTATTTTATTTTCAAAATTCCAGTTTCTTTTTTATAGCTACTAACTGAAATACATAAAAATTACTATCTCAAACAATGGATCTTTTGCTAAGAATACAAGATATAAAAAAGCTATATGCTTACATAAAGCAATTAATCGTCGATTAAGTTTTGAAAGAAGGCCAAAGCAAAAGCAAAATATCAAAACTATCTAACTTGAGCTAAACAACTATCGACAGTATTATCAAACGCCATGTAAAAAGAAGAGGAGTGAATAGAAATATATATAAATATCAGATAAGAACATGTTTAGTTTACTCAATATACTTTAGACAAAAAATGCCAGTTAACCACCGGGATAGTCAATGGCAAGCTGTTAGAGCAGTTTCTTGCTCTTAATGATGAAAGAACCTTTATCTTAGCAAATCAACACACACGCACACACACACATATATATATATATATATATATATGAGAAAATTTAAATCACATTAAAAAAGAACAAAGTCTGTCAAAGAGAAGAAAAAACACATCAGATGCGACTCAAAGTAAATTAAGGTCTGTTAGCACCTTCTAACAGCTTTTAATATCTTACAAAGCAAATTGTATTTATGTTGATTAAGCAGAATCCAATGCCAGCTTGATAAGTGGGAGAGGATAATGCAAAAACAAACAAACGAACCTTGGATCTTACAATTACGGCAGTCATATCATATCAAAGTGTTGAAATCAGTCGCAGGCGGCACAAACCCACACTTGTATTTTGAATTCGTCAAGCAAATCGCAGCGAGCTTAGACAGAGACAATGTCGCCCCAAATTATTTTATTACGAACACTGCTGTACATACGACTGAGCTTTTAAGAAGTAACTTACGCAACTACACAAGGCACAAATTTCATTTTCTTCCTTAATATAGTTCATTCTTAAAACTTATAGAAGAATGTTCCTTTCAAAGTTAAGAAGTTTGATTAGAAGAAACCCTGGTCGCTCTGCCGATTAGATTGTAAATTATGTTGCTGGCTATAGTAAGCAAATTTGTAAAGGCAGCTATAAAGGTTGGGTTGATGACAATGTAGTTTTTTTTTGGAAAGATAGACTTTTTCAAATTTAACCTGTGAGACTACCTCAAAAAGTCGATTTGATTTTGTCATTTTTGAATGTAAAAAGTCGCTTCATTTGCCAATAATTGAAGTCTTTAGACAAGCAGTCAAGATAAACAGTTTTAAGTCGACAGTCATCGCCACTCTATTCTTTTCTTTTTTCAACCCTGTACCAACAACAACTTCGCACTGCTTTCAAAGTCGACAATACCAATCATACTATCTTTCTTATTTTATCACTACTGAAAAATAAAAATAAAAATAATAACCATATAATCAAACTTCAGCACTCGGAACCCATATACTCTGTTCTTTTATATCTGAAGTGACATATACTACTATTCTCAGAACTGTCTTTTTACTTTCGCATGCACATGATATCTATATACTTATACCTTCAACACCTTCTTCAATGAAAATGACCCCACCCTATCACACATAATTTTTAAAAATTCTTACTTTTAGCATATCTTTAAATATTCAGTTCTAGACCAAATGTTATATTTTTAGAAAAAGAAAGAAAAACAAAGTGCAGACGAGAAGTACGGTGAGACTTTGTTTACTGATGAAAAAAGAGATCCCCTTCTATTGCTATTTGCTATGTGAGTTTATATAGACATTGCGTGTGTATTTAGGATAATGATATGAGTATATCATGTGATGTCTGTTCTTATATCAAATTATATAATATCCTAGAGAGATATCTCTGCACGTGACTTACGTTCGCACTTTTAAATCACTAAGAACATAGGAAGTTATAAATCACATGACTTACATTTGGTCCTTCTATATTTCAAAACAAGTACATGAATTACTCTCGCACATGTAATCCACGATCGTAATTGTGTGCCCAATTGAGATTAACAATAAGGACAAGTAAACATTTAATTGTGAAGGGAATATCTGAATCTCGCACATATAATCCACGATCGTAATTGTGTGCTCAATTAAGATGAACAATAGGGAGAAGTAGGTAAATTTAGGGATTAAATGACACACTATATAGCAATTGAATTTATACAAGAAAACTTCTGGCTATCAAGACAACTATAGAAATTTGAAAGGCTTTCAAAAATTTAGACAAGCGGGTAGAATAAACGGGTAGAATAAATGGGTAGAAAAAACGGGTAAAATAAACAGGTAACATAAACAGGTAGTATAAATGGGCAGAATAAACAGGTAGTATGAATGGGTAGTAAATACCTAAAATTGATAACAGTATAAATAGCACATAAGAGACTTTAGGAAGAAGTGTTATCATAAATATTAGAGGATGAGTATATACAAATTATAAAAAAAAAGAAACTAAATCACAAGAGTGCTATTATTGCCACTTTGCTTTAATCAAAGTTTTCAATTTTTGCATGGATCATTTTCAATTTTTCCTTTAATACAAAACCTTTACAAGAATAAAATATTGAAATAAACTTAGACAAACGGGGTTTTCTTTCTTTTCATAGTATGGTTATTGCTTCTTAAACTGTCCCAATGGGGACAACCGGTCTACCTTGTCAAATTATATAATATCCTAGAGAGATATTGTAATGTGCGAAAAGTCACACAATAAGATAATAAGATGGAATCAAATATGAAGATAAAGATAATCTTTATTTGTGATAATGTTCGTGATATTTATACTAATGTAAGAGATGCCGCAGTCTTCAATATTATATGCTAAGTGTGTTTACTGCGGTTTCTTGCTGAGCAATGGTTGTCTTCTTCTTCTTGGCATTGCTCACCCAACTACTGCGGTTGGAGTAGTTGCTCCTGATTGGAGAGGATTGGAACTGAGTGTTAATTCCAATCCGCTCCTGACAATATCTCTGCACGTGACTTACGTTCGCACTTTTAAATTACTAAGAACATAGGAAGTTACTAAATCACATGACTTACGTTCAAACAGTTAAAAAGAAAGGAAGTTATAAATCACATGACTTACGTTCAAACCATTAAAAAGAAAGAGAGATACTCTGCACATGAGTTATATAGAATCTAATCATCTTTCGATTGCATTCAATATCTTAATTATTGATAAATCTCTATTTTAATGTAAATCATGGCCATATAACAAAATGTCTTTACTATTAAATCACTGTTTGCTTTGAACATCTTTAAAAATTATATTTTTTTTCTTATTACTACCAACTATTATTATTATTATACTTATAAATTATATATAAATAAATAAAAATCAGATCATTTTTAATTGTATTGTAATCGTAATAAAAATATATTAATTTAAAGAATAAAGAAAATATATGTATATATCATTTTAGTTATTACCAAAAGCTATTCAATATAAATAATAAATAAAAATAAAATAAAAATAATGATTTATTTGTATGTTACAATTGTGCTGCGCCCTGATACCTGGATTTGAATTAATCTACAACAAAAAAAAGAAAAACGTGTCGGCTATTACTACTTTTTAATTTAAAAGCAAAGATCATCAATATTATATATTACATTTTATAATAATAACTGATAAAATAAAATGAAACATATGATTGTGCATTGACAATTGGATATTCAAGAATTTATATATACTGTTACTCCAAGAAGCTATATTGAACTGTGCACTTTTCGCAGCATTTGTAATTCGATACACATGGTAATTCCAAGAGGCTATACTGAACCGTGCACTTTCTGCAGCATTTGTAATTCGATACACATGTTAATTCCAAAAGGTTAACCTATGCTACTTTGACAACTGACTGTTCCTTTTGTCACCTTACTTTTATTACTTTAACAAGACATTCTAATGAACTTTTACAGCTATACTCTACTTAATTTAGCTACTATTACTTGAAGAAGTCATCTTACTGCGTCTTGACACATGGATTTTACTCTATTATTTAATATTACTTGAAGAAGATATTCTCTTGAATTTATTCTAATTATCATATTACTTCAGCACATTGTTGATTTACATATGATTCAAATCTATTTTAAATTATGACAAGTCTGTCATTATTGGTATAATCATTATTTTGAAAAAGAGTATATATAGGATGTCTGTAAAGTTCATGTCTTTCAGAAAAATAATAATCTTACATATACTCTTTACTATTTTTCTATCCCCACCTTAATTGCAAAACCAATTGCAATTTATCAAATATCAATATGACTCCTGCTGGACCAGTTTGTGCTTCATGTAAACAATTGGGTCAGAGCAGAAAATCAAATTTATCCTGCCCTTTGAACCCAAGAAACAAGACTCTCTTGATCCCCCGAAAGAGAACCAGCGATAATCTCTCTACCCAAGAAGAATATCAGACAGAGAGTAGTAGAGGTAACATTAAAACAGATTACTTTAATCCATTGGATCGACTTGCATAGTTTCTAACTTATTTGCTATCATCTGCATTTATATGATTATTTAGCTGGTGCTTCGAGACCAAGGGTGGAAACTGTTCAGAATCCTGTGGTTCTTACCATAGCAGAAATCATTGCTCTCTCCTGTGCTGACCAATATTCTGCAGAGAGTAGCCGAGGTAAATAAATGGAGCAAAATTGATTAATATTCAGCAAAAATTCTAATAATTGTTTCTACTCTATATATTTCTCTATTTAGCTGCTGCTTCAAGACCAAGAGTTGAAGCTGTCCAGAATTATGTTGTACCGACACAACCAATGTCAATTGACCTCTCCTTCACAGAACAATATATTGCAGAGAGCAGCAGAGATAATTTTTAAAATTATATATCAATTGCCACAATTATTAATTATTCTTTAATATTTTTATCATAGATCTAACTGCTGCTTTTGAGGCTTTGCAAGTTTCTGCTGTTGAGAGAGTCTTGGATTTGACAACCACCACTGCCATTACCACTGCCACTGTTATTCCCCGCTGTTCCAGCTGTAATGGAATTGGCCACCTACGGAGTAACAGCTTGCAGTGTCCTAACAACAGACGGCACCACACTTTTGTCCCTGGCCAGTTAGCTGTCACTCATAACATGGCCTGACGTACCATCACCCCATTACCTCCAACTGACAACAGAGGTGTCATGGATGAACAATGCCAATTCTGTGGAGCTCTAATGTGGATTCATGAGAAAAACTACACGTCCAAGGCAAACAACATCAAGTTCTCTATGTGCTGCAGACTCGGGACTGTCATTCTTCCTCCCTTTGAACCCACCCCTCCTGGAATTGCAGAACTTTTGGTACACACCACTCCTGCTGGAAAAGATTTCTTCGAAAAAAGATCAGACGGTACAACAGCACTATAAGTTTCACTTCCATGGGAGTCAACATTGATCAGTCTGTTGCTAACAATATTGGTGATGCATACAACTTCCGGATCCATGGGACCATCTGCCACAAGACTGGGTCAGTCCTTCCAACGACCCAGACTCAGATGGATCAGCCCAAGTTTGCCCAGGTTTATATATTTGACCCAGCCTCTCAGGTTGACCATAGACATTGCAATGCCCCGGAATTAGACAGGGTAATCTTGGAAAAGATTCAGGCCGTTCTCATGGAAGTTAATCCATTTGTTTCCCTCTTCCGTTCTATGCATCAAGTTGCACGGGATAATGATGGAACAGCCGACATGACCTTTTGCCTGGCAGAGTCTGGCTCAGCAGACCAGCAACGGTACAATACTCCCACTGTTGAGAAAGTGGCAGTGTTGATGAGTGATACTGAGCATAATGAGGCAAGAGACATCATTCTGCACACCCAGACAGACTATCTCCACAAGATCAATGAGTACCACCACAACTATGATGCTTTGCAGTATGTTCTACTCTTCCCTTCTGGTGATTTTGGCTGGACCATCAATAGATATACTCCAACAAGATCAAAGATCTCCACCATGGACTGGTACGCTAACCATCTCATGTACCATCCCAACTTTATGCACCTCCTCCACCGTTTTGGCTGCCTCTTTCAACAGTATATTGTTGATATGTATGCCAAGATTGAACATAGCCGTCTTGGATATTATGTCCTGAACCAAAAAAAGATGTGTGCAGAACTTTACAGTAGTATCCAGGATGCAGTCCACCTCAATGACAATGATATGACAAATCTTGGTTGGCCAGTGATTCTTCCTTCCTCCTTCCTTGGCAGCCCACAATGTATGCGTGAATTGTACCAAGATGCTATGGGCATTGTGTGCCACTTTGGCAAGCCGGATCTCTTTGTGACCTTTACCTGCAATCCTACTTGGCCAGAAATCACAAATTCTCTGTTGGGTAGACTGAGTGCCAGTGATAGACCTGATCTTTGTTTCCGTGTGTTTCACATGAAGCTTGAGCAACTCATGCACGACTTAACAAAGAAGTATACCTTGGGGAAGATCGTAGCACATGTCCATGTCATTGAGTTCCAGAAGCGAGGTCTCCCTCATGCCCATATTCTGTTGATCCTAGCTATAGCAGACAAGCCAGTTACAGTAGACAATTATGACAGAATCGTCTCTGCTGAGTATCTGGATCCTGATCTTGAGCCAGAAGCATTTGCAATCATCAGCCACCATATGGTGCATAGACCATGCGAAGAGAAGGTCCGTCTTGCTAATGTCCCTCTAGCACGTTGCATGAAGAATGGCTGCTGCCAGAAGCATTATCCAAAGAATGCCCAAGACGATACAATTGAAGATGGTGCTGGATACCCTTTGTATCGTTGGAGACAGAACGGAAGATTGGTCATACAGTACAATACCATCCTAGACAATCAATGGGTGGTTCCTAACAACCGCTATCTATGTGTAAAGTACAATACACATATCAACGTCGGGATCTGTACCTCTGTTGCCTCTGTAAAATATCTTTACAAGTATGTATACAAGGGTCATGACCGTGCCATGACAGTCCTGCAGCCTGGATCCTCATCCACCCCCCAAGAACCCATCAATGAGATCCAAGAATTCCTTGATGCCCATTATGTCTCTGCGTCCAAAGTTTGCTAGAGAATCTTTTTTTTTAGGATTCACAGTGAGTCCCCAGCTCACCAGAGACTTGCTATCCATCTTGAGAATGCCGAGACCGTTTACTTCTGTGAATCTGACTCTCTTGAAGAAACATCTGGGTGGGGCTCCTCTACCATCTTGACTGGATAGTTTGCTCACAATACATTGAATATTTCGTCCCGCAAGTATCTTTATTTGGAATTTCCTTCGCATTTTACATGGAAAAAAAATCAGGGAAAGTGGACTCCACGTGGCAAAAAGAAAAGCAAAACCCTTGGCAGAGTCCACACTGTTTCACCAAGAGACCCAGAATGGTACTATCTGAGAATCTTGCTGCTCAATGTCCCTGGTGCCACAAGTTTTGAGTATCTGCGTACTGTCAAAGGCCGCATATATCCTACCAATCAAGATGCTTGCCATGCTCTTGGGCTGTTGGTGGATGACAGTGAATGGAACTGCTGTATGGAAGAAGCTGTAGGCTATGAGATCCCATCATCATTGCGTCGCCTGTTTGCCATCCTCTTGGTCTTCTGTGAGGTGTCTGATCCCTTTGCTCTCTGGCTGGCCTACCGCTCTTCCATGGTTGAGAACTATCTCCATGCTTTCCAACAGGCAGAGAATGACTTCTCTCTTGAGCCAACTGAAGTCATGTATGACAGATGTCTGTGGAGCATTGAAAGCCACATGTCAGCCAATGGTCTTTCCCTCACTTCCTTTTCTGGGTTTGTTCTCACCCCACTGCTGGACTCCTCGGATGCCCAGATCCCTGCCAGTGAATTGAGAACATTGATTGATGAGCAAGAAGCCCTTTGTATTGAGGCTTTGTCTTTGCCTGATTCGGACATGCTCTCATTCAATGAGGAACAGCAAGTAGCATACCATGTTGTCATGGAAGCAGTTGACGCAAGCTCTACAACCCTAAGATTGTATTTTGTTAATGGACCAGGTGGCACTGGAAAGATCTTTTTATTCAATGCCATGCTCAGAAAAGTCCATCAACAAGGCAAGATTGCTCTCGCGGTAGCTACCAGTGAAATTGCAGCTCTGCTTTTGGATGGTAGCCGAACAGCTCATTCCAGGTTCAAGATTCCCATTAACATTGACGTCAACTCTATTTGCTCCATTCCTTCCAACTCTGAGCTTGCAAAGTTGATCAGGAAAACAGAGTTGATTGTTTGGGATGAGGTATCCATGGTCAGCAAGGATCTTATCAATGCTGTCAATCATTCTATTCAAGATGTTATGAAGTTGGTTAACTCCTTGCTCAATACTGTTCCTTTTGGTGGCAAGCTGTTCGTTTTTGGTGGTGACTTTTGCCAGGTGCTTCCTGTCATTCAAGGAGGAAACAGAGCCCAGATTGTTTCCCAGTGCATCAAGGAAGCACGTCTCTGGAGCCATGTTCACTCCATGAAACTCACAAGGAACATGCACATTGCCAAGTCCACTGATCCCTGGGAAGTGGCACAACTTAATGAGTTTGCTGCCCTTCTTCTGACTGTTGGCAATGGCAGTCTTCAGACGACTGGTGGTCCAGACACCTTTCAGATCCCCCCCTATATGCTTATACGAGGCCGTAATATCAATCATCTGGCCAGTACAATATTCTCTAATCTTTCTAACAATGCCAGCAATCCCAGCTTCCTTATAGGCCGTGCAATCTTAACCCCAAAGAATACAGAAGTTAAAAAGATCAACAACATCATTATGAAACTGTTCCCTGGACAAGCAACAGAGTTTAAGAGTATTGATAAAGGTCTCAGCGAAAATGATCAATTGAGTTACCCAAATGAATTTCTCAACAAACTCGACCCTGGATCTTTGCCTCCACATACTCTATGCCTCAAGAACGGATGTCCAATTATGCTACTAAGAAACCTGGACCCTAAGAATGGCCTCTGCAATAGTACCTGCCTTATATGCAATGACTTTGGCAGATATATCATCACGGCCACCATTGTAACAGGATCAAGTGCTGGAAAGGTGGTTCTTATACCCAGAATCAAGCTGAACCCAACTAGATCAACCATGTCTATTGATTTCAAGCGATGTCAATTTCCAGTCCGCCTTGCCTTTACTATGACTATCAACAAGTCCCAAGGCCAGACCATTGACAAAGTTGGTCTGTGCCTTCCCGACCATGTCTTTGGTTATAGGCAGTTGTATGTTGCTCTCTCCAGGGTCTGAACTCCAGACTCAGTAAAAATTATGGTTGATATGGACAGTATTTCTACTGAAACAACTAGCAATGTCTATATAAACAATGTTGTTTATAAGGAAGTTGTTCCTAACAATTAACCAATCTGTTCCATATCATACGCCTTCTGCCATATGTCTTTATCCAAATATGCCAATCTTTTTCTATATGCTTTATTTTTATTTTCGTATTTTTTGTATTCACGTTATTTCTGCTTATACTTATGCTTATGCTTATGCTTATCTTTATCTTTATGTTTTTTTTTTTATTTTTTTTTCAAATATTTTAATGTTTTTTTTTTTAAATTGTCAATACCAATTGTGTATATGACAAAGTATAACGTTTTTTTTCCTTTTTGAAAATATTAAAATACAAACCCCCCAAAAAATATGGCTTCCAGATATGTTCTTTACTATTATTTTATTACTATTATTATAATTCAAGTTAAATAATTGGATAACCAAGTTGTATCTGTGTAATTTGTCTAATAATAATTATTAGCACAAAGTTCTGACTACTTGATCAGATTGCTTTGTACCTCTCTGACTCGGTATTTTTTTATGAAAAAAGAATAATAGTAATATAAGTCATCTATATATTCTTTAAGGTTCCGAGACTACCCGCTTTTAAAGTTAGATTTTATAATACATCTTGCTTACACTCCAAAATAAAATATAAATAAATAATATCTCCCTGCTTTTTTTTGACAATTTTTTCTCTTTCATTATTTCTTACATTTTATACCAACATGAACTACACACTTCAAACTTCTTTCAAAACCTTGCAAAAAAATGTCTACATTTCATCTGGTGTCTCTGGAGCTATGCTAATGGCTTTGGCCAGTAGCTACAAAGAGGTGGCAAAAATAAATAAATATCATTTATCAATCAACAAATAACACAATATATTAAAAACATATTTTGATTAATAGATCTTTCAAAAAAATCGTTAATGTCCCTAACCGGAGCATTAATAATGCAACTATTCAGTATCTTGGGTGCAGTGCCAGGAAGACAACATAAATGTCATCGATGTGATCATCTTGATTACAGACCGTACTCCAGGCCCGCCCCCAAGATTTTACCTTTTGGAGGATATCAAGCAACAGCTTGACACAAATATAATATTCACCAAATAACATAGCTATCGTTGTACAAATTTTCCGTAACTTATCAAATATATTTGAATTAGACTCCACTACCAGAGATATTCTCTATAATCCTGGATTTGACAGATTATAGAGAGTATCTCCGCAAGGAATTTGTGGAGTCTTTTGTGTCTTGGTGGGAGAATGTTGGAAAACTTCCCACAAGGGTTATGTAAGTACAGAAAGTACGCTCCATATACTGTGCTAATCTAAACCAATATCTATATAATATATATATATATGTAATCTAGCTCCCCTGACCAAGACCCCATCATTGGGTTCTTGGAGGCTGTTGCACTCGGCCCCGAGCAACTCAAACTCAATGCAGTTATGAAGGGGTATGTTTTTTTACTATAATACACAATCGATAATTAACTATACAATTTCTTTTAAAATAATAATAATATGAAATAACAGAAAGTAACAATAAGCACCCTTCATAACTCCAAAAATAATTTATTTGTTAATTTTTTACAAGGAACTTCTTAATTTATTTGTTTTTTTTTTAATTCTCTATTTTTTTAGGGCTCGAGTGACCTTGCGCCTTTGTCTGTGCTTGTGAGGGGGGGTCGTCCCACATTCAAGAGTTGACTCATGTATATGGCAATGATCCAGGCCAAGTGTAAGCATGCTCTTAAAGCATGGGTATGACCAAAATCTCAATTTATTAATTTCTTTTTCTTTTTCCTTTCTTTCTCTTTATATCTGATTTGGCTTTATGTTTTTATTGGGTGGAGTCTGGCAAGAACAGCATCCTCCACATCAAAGTGAATTTCCAGACGGATGCCTTATAAATTATAAATACAAAAAATAAAAATAAAATACATTTGATTTTACAAAATTCAATCTTTAAGCCATTATGTAGATGAGATCTCAAAAAAATATTTTAAATTGAAAAGACTTTAAAATCATACAAGAAATTTTGGCAGCAAAGATTATAATATATGTTACAAGATGACTATTCAATATATAAAATAAAGAAAAAAAAATAAACAACAGGTGCAATTATTGCTCTATTACTTCAAAGGTTTTCAACTTTTGTATGAGCTACATTTGTTTTTGTTTTAGTATTAAATCTTTATAATATTAAAATATTCAAATAAACTCAGACAAACAATTTTTTCTTTCTTTTCATAGTATGGTTATTGCTTCCTGAACTGTCCCAATGGGGACAACTGGTCTACTTTGTCATAGATAATATATTGTTAAGTTATTACCCACGCTCTTGTTTGAGTGATTAGTGATGTTGACTAAGGTATGTGACCTTGTTATCGGTATATTCTTTATTTAATGATAGTGTGAGAAATAATATATAGTTGATACTGGTTGCTTATTCAATATATCTTTGTCTTATTGTCTGTGCACTCTATTTGAATCTACGATTATATTGGATACAACATTACCCCCCTCCAGGTTGGAACAACCATTTGAATTGCTTAGGGGAGTATCTGTACATGTATGAGAGCAAATGTCTTTATTTGCGTATACGTTTGCTAAAGCGTGTAGGTTTTTGTGTTGGATGTGTATGCTTGTTATGTATAATTGTAGCTTTATTGGTGGGTTTCTCTGGACCTCGTCTTTGCCAATATTTGTCAATTATGCTCAGATCGTTGAAATTGCTTATGGGCTCCCAAGTGTCTTGATCTGGTACATAGTTTTTCCAGCACACTTTGTAAAGGTAGTCACCTTTTTCTTGACAATGATCAATGATGGCCTGTATCTCGTAAAAGCTATCTGGAGATATAACAGTATCTTATGAGATCAGCTTTACCTGCGAAGATGGGATGTTTTGTGATAGAAGTGCCCCCGTTTTGTCTTGCAAAATGTAGCTGCCTCCTGTTGTTCTGCCCTTGACTGTGAATGGTCCTTCATATCTTGGGTCCGTCTTAGACTTTCTTAATATGTTCTTTACCATCACGTTGCTGTCGTTTGGGAACTCCATTATTATTTTATGGTCTTTGTCGTGTTTTCCTTTATCAGCAGCTTGTGTAGCTTTGATGCGTTCGCAGATTGCTGGGAATACGACAGTCTCCATTTGTTTAATTCTTTTTTTCATATCTGGTAGACTGTTAGGAGCGTTGTGCGTGCTCTCTGTTTTTCTGTAATCAGCAAAATCGTTTGGTTGTCTTGCAAACATTAGAGTGAATGGCTGTGTGCCATGTAGCTTAGCATGTTTACTATTTATTACTAGCTGTGTGCTTGGAATATATATGTTCCAGTTTCGCTTTGCTCCCTGTGTTCTCTTGTTGATGACTTCCTTGGCTGTGTGTACCCATTTTTTAGCAACTCCATTTGCTCGTAGATGATAGAGTGTTACAAGCCGATGATCAATTTCTGCTGTATTTGTGAAAGTCTTGATGAGTTCGTTGACAAACTTGGTATCATTATCTGACTGTAAAACCTTGGGTAGGCCAAAGTCACAAAAGATTTGAATGAGTTGTTTTGCAATTGTTAAAGATGTCTTATCTGGAATTGCGCGGAGTATGCAGAATTGGGAAAAGATGTCAACCATTACTAGCATGTAATGATTGCCGTTGTGCGTGGTGGTGTATGGGCCAGCTAAGTCTATGGCCCAGTGTTCACCTGGTTGACTGGCTGTAATAGGCTTCAGCAGATGATAGCTGTGTTTTGAGACTTTGAACCATTGGTAATTCAAGCAGCGCTTTACTGTTTCTGTTGCCTCTTGCTTGAGATTAGTCCAGTGTAGTCCATCACTATGTATAGCATTGACAATAGCATCTGTACCAAAGTGGCCGAGTAGATGTGCTTGGTTGAGTAGATGTTGTCTGTTTTTGATAGGTGGTGTTATCATATCCCCTGTGTTGTGCATGCGTTAGATAGCATGTGTATTTTGTGTGTTCTTTGTTAGATGATTCGTAGAGATTTCTATGGCTTTACCCTCCCCCAGCAGTTTTTCTGAGGTGAAAAGGCGCAATAAAACATCTCGCAATATATTGTCAATGCCAGAGCGGTGGACTATGTCATAAGTATAGTCGCAGAGTACATCAAGCCAGTTTATTATCATAGGGTTAGCAATTTCTTGCGTATGAAGGTACGTGAGAGCCTTGTGATCCGTGTACAACGTGAACTTGTTACCCCACAAGAACTTATGGAATTTAGTCAAAGCATAAACGATGCCCAAAAGTTTGCATTTGGTGACAGGATAGTTGCGTTCAGATTTGGAAAGTGACCGTGCCATAAAACCGATGTAGCGATATTGGTTGTCTATGATCTGATAGAGCACGGTGCCAATACCTGTGTTGGAGGCGTCTGTGGCAACCAGAAATGGTTGAGTTGTGTCAGAGTGGCTTAGAACTGGTGCGTGTGTAAGTGCAATTTTGAGCTTGGAAAAAGCTTGCGTTTGTTCTTCTGTCCATAACCCGTGTAGTGAGTCAGCATTGTGTAGTTTGTCCAGAGGAGAAGACAGTTGCAACAAGTTGGGAATGTGCTCACAAAAATAGTTGACGAGATCCATGAAGCGTTGAATGTCTTTGCCAGACTTGGGTTGTGGCCACATGGTAGCATTGTGAACCTTGTGAGCATCAAGATCAATACCTCTAGTGCTTACAGTAAAACCCAGTAACGATACAGAAGTTTGTGCAAAGTGACATTTCTGCGGATTGAGAATGAGATTGACATCCGTGAGCTTTTGAATAGCCGTTTGGACATGTTTAACATGGTCAGACATGTTAGTGGAAAAAACTACAATGTCGTCAACAAATGCAGTGACATATGGAGTATTGTGATAAATCAAATTGACTACTCGCTGAAACTTAGACAACAATGACTTGAGACCAAAGGGACATCCTCGAAACATATACTGATTGCCTTCAAACATGAATGTAGTCCTGCGTCTATCGTCTTTATGAATTTTGAATCGATGAAAGGCACTCTTGAGGTCTAACGTAGTGAAGATTGTTGCACCCCGTAGCCTGTGAAAGAGTTCAGAGATGAGTGGCAGAGGGAATCTGTCGTCAGGTAGCAGAGTGTTGATGGCTCTGGGATCTAAGCAAGGACACTTGCCTGTGGGATTACCAAACTCATCTTTTTTAGGAGCGAATGTAAGTGGGCTGTTCCACTTAGTATTGACGGGTGCCCTTTGTATGGTGCCATCAGTAAGCCATTGGTTTATATGTTTGGCCATCAGTGGAACAAGTTGTAAAGCAATAGGATATTGTCGTCTATAGACTACTTGATCTGGGGGCGTTAGTAGTCGTACAATAGATTCCTTAACTATACAAAATGAAGTTATGGGTATGGCTTCATTTGCTTTACTAAAGACTAGTAGAGCCTTCATGAATTGAGAATGATCAGTGGGTGTACCGGCTGGTGAATTATTGGGCTTTTCTATTTCAGCTATGGGTGTAGGGATCTGAGGTGTATTAGAACCGTACCAACTCTCTGCTAGTCCCAGTAAATGTATACCAAGACTTGGCATTAAATCTGTACCAATACTAACATCTATATTCTCAGCGAGATCCAAAAATTCAAAAGAATGTGTAATGTGTTTGTTGTTATACAAAACTTTTATTAGTTTTGTTACTCCTAGTCTATGAGCTATAGCGTTACTAGTGGCCAACACGATTTTCCCTTTGTGAGGAATTATTGACCACCCAAACTTGCTACAGAGCTTGGTGTTGACAGAGCTGATGGTGGCCCTGGTGTCTACCAGTGCCCATAGTTTTTTCTCTTCTAAAGAAATAGGAACGAGATAGAAGTGAGTAGATCGTTTACTAAGATCTACATAAGTGCCTGTGTACTTACATGGGGAGCACTGTTCAAAGTCCATGACCATGGACTAGTCGTTTTCAGAGGAGCTTGCCTCCGAGGGAGTGTTGTTGCTAGTAACAGCGTGTGCAGAACGGACGGCAAAGTGGGGGGCAGATCTCTGAGAAGAGCCAGACACAGAACCCGAAGAACTGGAGGAGCCAGAGACAGAAGTACAGCAATGTTTGTGAGACCAAACTTCACCACACCAGCAACAAGGGGTAGAACCAACATATTTGTTGATGTGGAGTATTTTCTCCACCCAGTTACCTCCCTTGGTTGCCAGGGCTATCTTGAGGATGTGGCAATCCTCAGTGTCATGATTGCCCTTGCCATGGAGTGAACACTTCTTGCTTGAGGAGCGTTCACGGCTCGGTGTAGTTTCGTGGGAAAAACCAGAAGAGCAAGCAGAAGAAGAGTGAGTAAGTGTGTGTGACACCTGTGCTTGACCAAGTGTGCGGGTCCTAGGAGCAGAGTCGTTGTGTAGAGTGGCAGGGAATACCGTGTTGTAGATTGACCTAGCCAGAGAGGCTGCCTTGTCAATAGTGTCCCGTTTTTCTCTGTACATGTTTACTTGCAGGAGTGGGACTTGGTGGGCCATCTCTGGCAGGAGGGTGGCAGTATAAGCTATAGCGGCTTGCATGTTGTCAGCTATCTTGGCCTCTTGCCGGACACGTTGGTATCTGTCCGTGTAATTGCTTATGGACTCCATGGCTCTCATTCTCATGAGCATCAGCTCATGCGTGAGTTATACCTGGCGTTCCAGATTGTTGATGCCATAGACACAAATAAATGCATCACGTGCAAAAGACCAGGGGAGCTCAGAGGAACTATGAAGGTAGTTGTCATACCAGGATTGTTGCTCTCTTGATAGAACAATGGGCAGGAGGTGGTGCCAGTCCACGTTGAGATCCAGACTGTACAAATGGAGTACATTTTCAAATTTGTCAAAGCATTCCTCGATAGAGGAGTACACCTTCTGAGTGGTGTCTCACTCGTTTCCTTGCCACTGGAAGATGGGCAGTTCCCTGGGCACAACACGGGATTGACGGGTTTCTTGCTCAGCAGGAGGTAGGCTGGAATGCAGTAAATGACTATGCGCCGAGATGAGAATAGTCAAGTCACCTTTCATTGTTGTAATGGTTTGCCTGATTTGATTCTTCCTTTCCTCAGATAGATTCTGCTCAATGGCATCAGCAAGGGCAGTGAAGCAGGTAGCCAGAACGTTGTGGATGCAACTAATGGCTTGCAAGGAAGTGTCAGCTTGGGTGTTGGCAGAAGCATCCATTCTGCTCAAGTCGGTCTGAGCAGACAAAACTGGAGATTTGCCATTGAGATGTTTGGAAGACATAGTGGTGTTTTTGTTATAGGGTGTAAAAGAAAAAGAGTTCACCATAAAAAATGTTATATTTTTAGAAAAAGAAAGAAAAACAAAGTGCAGACAAGAAGTATGGTGAGACTTTGTTTATTAATGAAAAAAAAGATCCACTTCTATTGCCATTTGCTATGTGAGTTTATATAGACATTGCGTGTGTATTTAGAATAATGATATGAGTATATCATGTAATGCCTGTTTTCTTATATCATAGATAATATATTGTTAAGTTATTACCCACTGTTGTAAATGAGTATTGACTACTGCTGTAATTGAGAATAAGTCTTAAGGAAATAATATAAGGCCTCAGCTATTCCAGTCAAAGGTGTCTACCGATTACTTTATTATTTAACACACAGGTTTGGCATGCATGATAGTGATTATATTTCATATGATGATATCACCATAATATGGGATACATCAGTGGATTATTATAAGCATAATTATAACTCATAAACACATTTACTTTTGATGTTAATACTTCATTGGGACTACACACATTTATATAATTAATCATACATTAATTATCCCAAGATCACGTTGCTCTGATTAAGGCTCAGATAGGATCGATTACCTGACCCCAGTCATATAATTTTCCCAATCCAAAACAATATAAATAGCAGTAGTAGTTCAGTGTAGGAACCTCGTCAAACTTTGATAAAAAATCTTTCTCAATAAACAAAACCTACACAAGTTCTCACGAATCTTTGTTCCTTATTTCAAATCTTCAATTCTTCCTCTTAAAAACTTCTTCAACTTCAACCACCACAACACCCACGCTCTTGTTTGAGTGATTAGTGATGTTGACTAAGGTGTGTGACCTTGTTATCAGTATATTCTTTATTTAATGATAGTGTGAGAAATAATATATAGTTGATACTGGTCGCTTATTCAATATGTCTTTGTCTTATTGTCTGTGTGCTCTATTTGAATCTACGATTATATTGGATACAATGTCAAACAGCCATTGTCTAACACAAAGTTCTGCCATAGTAATCTCTCTTTATAGATGCACAACATAATCCTTGAACCTACATTATTTAAAAAAAAACATATATTGGGCGTATTTCAATGTTTTAATTCTTCAACTAGATTAGCTATTAATATAATAAATATTATAAAAATATGGTGACATCAAAGACATATCATGAAAACCACTAGACAGAGCAATAGAATAACCATATCATATTTTGCAAGCACCAACATGTATGTGTAACATATACACATGTGTTTTTTTTTCTTACTTATATTTAGGTTAAGTGGTTAGCACCATTACTATTTCAAATTGGATCTGGAGTTCAATTCTCAATAGAGTACTGTTTGTTTTTTTTTGTTTTATATATCATAATAGAATCTTGACTTTTTTTAAAAAAATTGGTAAAAATTATATATTTTAGTAGGATTATATCTTTGCATGATTAATTATTCCATATATTATGCGAGAACAATTAATAGATTAGTATTGTCTTTATAGTTCTGGCAAATGTTTTATTTTTATACTAATCATACAAAATGATTAATGTATTAAATAATGAAGCTATAAAAGTTGTTGCTTTATTCAAGTATATTATTTTCAGTCGTGACTCTCAACAAAATAAAGTAAGATAAAAATTTTCAAAATCTGACTTTTATATTAATAAAAGTAAAGCAAGTGATAGAAACTCAAAAAAACAATAAATTTGATTGCTTTATAGTTTAAATACCAAGTTAATAGTAAAAAAAATCATTTAATATTTTCACTTTTATATTTTTTCATAACAAGTATTTATTAAAGACAATAGCATTTTTACCTCTTATTTTTCTCATTATTTTCTTTTTATTTTTAACATTTACTTTTTATTGTATATAGAAGTAGTCACATTTTTTTTTCAGAATTAAAGGTAAATGTTTGATCACTTGGTGTAGACAGACTAAAAGCTCAAAAAAAAGACCAAAATTAATTAAAACTCTTGCCCAATAATATAACTTAAAATTCGTTCTTCTTTTGTATTTTTTTTGAACTTTTAGTCTGTCTACACCAATTTTTTTTGTTTTAATATCATTTTATCATATAGAAGAAGATGTGAGCAAAGACATGCACTGTTTTATAGATTAATTCAATTTCTTCTCCTTCATCTAATATATATAGTTATTATATTCTACTTTAACAGCAATATATTTGATTCACTTTATTTTTCTACCAACCTGCCCACTATACCAAAGAACGTCTATATTTCCTGATATGTCATAAATATTTAACCGAAAATGAGGTTTACATACCAGAAAATAAGAACTTTCATAATTTACTAAGTCACTTTGAAAATTGTTTCAATTTACAGAAGGTTTTTTTTTAAAAAAAAGAGAAATAATTATATTTTTATTGATTATTTGATCGACGAAAATATACTTCATATTTATCTTTTAAGAATTGAATGGAACGAAGTAATTGCTGCTGTATGTCATATATATGCTTTGCTTCATCATCTGTTGTATACTGTGCTAATGTGGCAAGGTCTTGATGTGATTGATGCAGTGTTTGATTTGTTTGAATGCACTGATCGAAGAAAAGGGAGGAGCAATTATTTGTGGTGATGGATTGAGGGATTGGGATGACATTGTGTTCATAGGTAGGGTTTAAAGGAGTGGTTGAGAAGTGCAAAGAAAAGGCAATGTGCATTTTTAACAAATACATATGCTTGCATGGTTTTTGTCTTCTTTCAAAATCGAAACAGGTACATTTCATTATCAGCCTATCTGTAACCTCAACTACATATGCTGTGTTCTCATCAACAACTGACTGCACTTGCCAGCTACTGTTTTCTGCTGATACTGAAGCAACAATCATTGTCTCTCTTGCATCATCATCAACTTCTTCTGCTTCCATCTCTCTGATACTTTGCTGTCTAGTAAAAGAGCTCATTGCTCCATTGTTTGACATAACTCTTTCGTACTTTTGTGTTAGATAGTACTCAACATCATGTACCAAGATAAAGACAAGTTTGTCTAATCTCTTATTTCTTGACCTCTTCATGAACACGGTTTTAAGCTGATTATGCCACGATTCAATATAGTTGTTTGTGAGCATATGAGAGAATTGCCGTTCATGATAAGCACGGCTCCAGATCTTAAACTTTTCTTCAGTGCACCAATTTTTTTTAAGTAGTCTAAGAATAATTCTTGGACACTGAATTCACTTTTGAATTCCACAAGTTTTTGATGGAACTGGTCCAGATCGTCTTCATACACAATATCTTGAAGATATCTCATCATTTCACCACAAAGAAGACGAGCCTCAGAAGGCAAAGCATCTTGAATCTTAACAGAGTCAGACAGCTTTTTGTTTCATGCTTGAGTGATGTGAAAGATGCAGAATTGAATCTGTGTGGAAGGGAAAGTGGTCTGGATTGCATATACTTCTGCAGAGCAGCAATCAATAATAATTTGCTGAGGATTGATCAGCAAAAGGGAAGACTTCAAAAACTGTAGCCACTGTACAATAGGGCCAACACCCCGGTCATTTGTTACCATGAAAGCAACAGGCCATCCTCTATTAATTTCTTTGTCACGAACAAGAAGGGTATACAAAATCTTATCAATTTTGTCAGAGATAGCATTTGTAGCATCCAAACAAAAGGAAACGGCATTTCTCATTTTAATCTGCTGTGTTGGTGACCTAAAACTGTAAGCAAATACATTTGTGTTGGGAGAGTAACTCATATTGCCCTTAAAAATCGAAAAATTCATTGCAGGAAGCTTCTCATTTATCCATATCAAAAAAGAAACCATTTGATCTTTGTCAAAATGATACAATCTCTTGTTTATCTATAAACAATTGGTTAAATAAAATATTATTTGAAATAAATGGGGTTTATTTACCTTGTTCATCAAGTTCCAAATATCATAATACTTGACCTTACGATCAGAACTTCTTTCATATCTATCAATAGCTCTCAACATGTCAATACGTATCTGGCTGGCAGATTTAGATGATTGCTCTAATTGCTGAGACAGTTCATACAGATACATTTTGGCAAGAGGAAGAGTACAAATATCCTCACGGATATCACCAGGAGTATGATCAGCATGATCTTTAGTCAAGGTTATCTCATACCACTCAGGTATCTTAAAGAATTCTCTGATGCAAAGAAGAGCAGGACACTTATTTTTCTTAGTTCTCTTTTGAACTACTCGCATCTCTGCCTTAGATTCATAAGTTCCTGAACGATGACACGAGTACTCCTGTGAGAAGCACATCTTAATGCCACTGTTTTTGGGTATCTCCTTATTTTATCCTACGGAGAGTTTGAATTAGTATTTAATTTAGTCCTGTGGCTTTCTAACTTTAATGACAGACAGTGGCTTTTGCATCCCACACATGGCATTTTTTTTCAACAAATAATCACTTCCCTCTTTCTTAAAAACAAACTTCAATTATGTCTAACAACAATATAAACAACACTATTTATGATATTTCCACCGTTCAACAAGTCTTGATCAACTCGCCTTTGGAAGGAATCAAGATGCTTCCTTTGAATTCGACAATATTAGTAAAAGCTAGTGAATGGGAAAAGTGTCTGGAGCGAATCAATGTCTTATGCTCAACAAAATGGAATAAAAAGCATAAATATTCTGGAAAAGGTTTAGTTTTTGGAGAGACTAAAAAATGCCACCGTGCTGGCCAATATATAACAAACCGCCAATTACGTCTTGCCCAGAAAGATATGAAGGCATGCTCTTGTACAGCTGCCTTAAAAATCATACAGCATCTCGACAACCCCAATGTTGTTACATTTTGCCAAACAAGGGCACATGTAAACCATGTTCCTGGAGACTGGGACGAAGTCAGAACTCTTCCTTTGCCTTCTGAAGCCATAAAGATTATTGAAGATCAGTTGAAAAGTGGCAGCAGCTGTAGAAGTACAAGAATTTCAGTTCTTAGACAGATTGATAGTTAGGGAGTTGGCGTTAGAAAGCCTAATTATGAAGAAATTTACAACAGAATGAGAAAGGTTTGTCAATGAATATAACAGAGCTTTCGTATTAAATTAATATTTATATATCAAATAAATACTCGTATATAAAATAGATGACTACTTTGTTATATATGTTTGCTTCTGATGAAAATGCATCTATTTCCATCTGGTTAAATGTAAAGCTAGCAGAACAAAACTATTGCATTTTTGAAATCAATCTTTCTGTTTATAATGACGGTAAAAAACAATTTGCCTTTGGATTTCAATCACCAATGCAAGTTTCAATCATGAGAATCTCGCAATCTTTTTGTCTCGATGCCACCCATTCCATTTCGTCCAGAAGCAACGAAGTATTATATACTTTGGTCACTCGCCATCCTCAAACAGGAAAGGGATTCCCTGTTGCATACATGGTGACAAACAACCAGACAGCCATACCCATCAAACTTTGGCTTGACCACCTTCGCATCAAAAGCAGCTTCATACCAATGAATATTACCATTGACTGTAGCATTATGGAGGTTAATGCAATCAAAGAAGCATTACCTCATGCTACAATTCACTACTGTGATTTTCATGTTCTTCGCACTTGGCAGCACAACCTTGACAGCAAGATTAAACTTAATGCCTCTTATACATCAGAACAACTTGGGAATTATAAGACTGCACTGAAGAACTACCTGAGACACATTCTCATCGAGTCCAACGAAGACGTGTTCCTAAGAGCAATTGAAGATTTTAAACTGATGGTTCAGGATCAACCTCAGTTTTTGAAATATTTTAAGAAATGGACCGAGAACGAAGAATTGTTGCGAAGATGGGGGCGCCCGTATGTTAGCCAACAACATCAGAGATATGTGACAAACAACTATGTAGAATCATGGCACAATCAACTCAAGACAATCTACTTTGGTCGTGCACGCATCAGAAGATTGGATCGACTGATTTTTATCTTGACAAATGATGTGGAGTTCTATTTTGAACAAGAGGTTGAGCGTATTCACTTCAACAATGATAAGATGGGTCCCATTGATAATGAGTTAGCAAGAAATTCTTTTGTTGCTTCAAAAATCCAAAATGACATGCTCCCTTCCATGATTCTCAACCCTTTGGGTAAGACTGGTAACAGCATGGATGATTATAATGGTGAGTGGCAAATAAGATCTTTCGTAACAGAAGATAAGTGGTATACCGTCAATATATCAAATGACTTGATACAAAGCTGCACCTGCCCGAACTTTCTGACCCGCCAGATCCCATGCAAGCATTCACATTTGTTGAAGCGTAACTGTGGGGCAAAATTCAGCTTCATCGAGCAACGGGAGATAGCAGGAGTGGTATTGAACCGACAAGACGCTGTAAATGCAAACGAGAACGAAGTTGAGGAAGAAGTAGAGGAGGAATTAGAGAGTGGAGGTACTGCTGAAGATAGAGGTGTATATGTCTTTGACGAAATTGCAGCTTATTCTGCAACGATGCATCACGGCTTTGAAGATCTTCAAACTTTGAAGACAATTCCTGGCTTAGATCAAACAAAGGCAGATCTTATAAAAAGAGCACTCGCAGATACTTTGAGGTTGATGGATGAATATAGAAGTGAGAACCCTTCATATTTTAGAAACTTGAATACTCAGAGATAATAATAAAAATAATAAATATATATCATTAAAAGATCTTAAAAGTACAAGAAAAAATATTTCTGATTGATATAAACAAATACAATTCTAATTGAATTTACCAAAAGTAAAACCTGTTACTACCTCAACGGATTTTCAAAATTCAAACTCTCCGTAGGATAAAATAAGGAGATACGTTTTTGGCTTCTTCAGCAGTGATATCAGTACGTCATTTGTTGGAGTTACAAATAGTTCATTTCACTGCACAGGATTCACCAAGTTCTACAAGGCATTCTTTCCACTCAGATGTTCTAACTCTAATAGTACAGTTGAGTCTAAGTGTCATTACTCCGGGAATAGATGAGCACTCCAATACTTCTGAAATTGTTGGAAGAGTGTAAATGTTTTCATTTGTTAGTGTAATATTGACAGTAGACATGTTTAATAGCAATATGTGTAAATAAAAAAACGCGCTTTCAGGGAATATAGAATCTTTGTTTCAAACAAACAATTTAAAAACAAGAAAAAATATTGACAGTCACTATTTTGGTTAAATATTTATGACATACCAGGAAATATAGACTTTCAAAGATATAGGTGTCAGTGAATTTCTCAAAAGCCTTTTATATCTTTAACCAGCTCAAATTATTTAGCTTTAACTACACATATACTTCTTATATAAAGCAAGTAGTACTGAGTGATCAAAAATTGTTGTATACCTAGAATCCATACCTAAAACTAAAGTTTTAATGTTTAGCATTAAATATGACTGTAAGGTCCTATGGAAACAGTATAAAATAGTTATTGAAACAAATACATATGCAGATATATGATATGCGAGCCCGAAATCTTGATTATTGGGCTTGTCTGTTTAAAATAATATACAAAAATAATTTGTAGTAATATATTCAAAGAAACTGGTATACCTGTAACCCTTGATAGAGACTGAGTTTTTTAGCATTGGATTTTGCGGTCGAAATAGTAAAAAAAGACAAATGAAAAAAGACAAATGAAAAAAGACAAATATAGCTGTGGCCCACAATAGAGAGTAGAATACTGATACCTGGTATCAGCTGTAAAAAAAATTAGTAAATACAATTTTCAGTGAGAAAATTTTAAAAACCCCTCCTATGTCTTTAATCCTTAATAAAGAATAGAACCATGATAATTGACCTAAACTACGAAGAGAAAAAAAAATAAGCAAATACAAGCATCATTCAAAGAAAAATAGGCAACTAAACAATGTATACCTGTAACATATGAATAAGAGTTAGACAATGATCTTTGACACCAACTGTGAAATTATAAGTATTTATAACCATCAGTGAATAGATTCACAAAGAGACTTGTATACCTACGGCCCATGATGTAGAGCAGAGCCATAAATTTTGGACTTGGCGATTAAAAGACTAGACAAATAAAAGCGACAAGTATTAACTGCTTAAAGAGTCATGTATACATATAGCCCAAAATGGGCAGCGGAATATTGATCGTTCGCCCTGGTGGTAAATAGACTAAAAAAAGAAAGCCAACAATAAGTATATGTTCAAAAAGAAATATATATCTGTGATTATGAATAAATATTCAAAACTTGATCATTGGCTTAAAATATAAAAAAAAAGCTAGACAAAATAATAGTTGATAGCTAAATACTAAACGAGACATGTGTATCTCATACCCTGGATATATGGTAGAACCTTAATCGTTGGTTTTGACTATGTCAAGATAACTAAAAACAACAACCAGTAAGTAGATGCTCAATATATATATATATATACTGGAGAACCTGGACGGGCAACAGAGGCTTTATAGTTTGGATTTGACTGTGTAAACACTAGAATAATCTAATTGATAGTAAGAAAATATTTAAAGAGCTTTGTATACCTGAGGATTTTTATGGAGAGTGAAACCTTGATTGCTGATCTTTGCCGTAAAAAGTATGGGAATATACAGCTTAAAGTAACTAAAGGCTCAAAGAGACTTGTATGTCTATGACTGTAAGAAAATGTCAGAATATTAATTGTTGGTCTTTACTATGAAAACACTGGAAAAATATACCTAATAGTAAGTAAATTCTCAGGAATATATATATACCTATGGTTGGAGATGTAGGTCAAAACCGTGACTGTTGACATGAGCTGTGAAGATTCTGGACATATAAAACAGGTTATAAGTAAATGGTATAATAAAGATGTATGCTTGTAGCCCTGGATGGAAATCGGGCACATAATCATTGGTGTGAACTGTGAAATTACTAGAAAGATTAAAACTGATAGTAAGAACATATTCCAATAAAAAAAACCTTGTATGTCTATAAGCCTTGATGGAGACTAGAGCCATGAGGGCTAGCATAGAATGTAAAAAAGAAAAAGGAAAAAAAAAGATTAAATAGATAGAATCAGTAGTAAAATAATATTAAAATACACTTATATATCTAAGACATTGAATTAATAGCAGGATCTTGATCGTTGACCAGGACTCTAAAAACGCTTAATAAATGTCATTGGCTGTAAAAAAGTAATCTAAGAATCTTATATACCTTTACCCAATAATGTTGAGTGGAAACTTGATAATGATCAAAGACTTGATCAATGGACTTGAATGTGCAAACGCCAGAGAAATTCAGTCGATATTAAAAAAAATCAAAGATACATGGATATCTTCAACCCTTCCTGGAAAGCTGAAGCTTAATCATTAGACTCGAATTTAAAATACTAATCAAATGTAATTGATAATAAATAAATATTCAAAATAAACGGTGATATGTGTGGCTCATGGTTGAGAGTAGGAAATTTATCCCTTGACCTATATATTAAAAGCAATAGGCAATAGCAGCCGGCAGTCCTAAAAGAACAATTATACTTGAATGTCTATGAACCTGGGTGGAGACTAAAATCTTGAATCTTGATGTGAACTATGATATGACTAGATAAATATGATAGATGACAGAAAGATATTCAAAGGAGGGTGTACGCCTATTACCTTGATGAATAGCAGAAACTTGATCATCAGCGTTGACTGTAAAATTATTAGACAATTTCAACAAGCAATGATTAACTATTAAAAAAAACGCATATATACCTTTTACCCTAGATGAGCAGCAGAATCTCAATTAGTAGCCTTGACTATGAAAAGACTAGACAAATATAGCAGACACCAAGCAAATGCTCAAAGAGATATATATACTAGTAAACTTGCATGAACTATAGAATCTTGGGTGTTGACCTCAATTATGAAAAGACTACCAAACAAAAGCTGGTAATAGGTAAATACCCAAAGATACTGGTATATCTAACATCGCACCACTGTAAAAAAAACATCCTATAATAAAATCTAAAATATCTGTAATAGCAGACTTAACACCATGGGAGATTTTAGATATCAAATTTGGAAATATTTTACTCATATACATTTTGATTAGTCTATATAACTCAGATTAATTGGGATATCGAATTTGACCCATTTTATGAGACTTGTCAACTACATAAGACAATTTTAAAAGGACAAGTATCCATAAATGGACTCTCTCAATATTTTGGCAAAACCGAAAAATGACTTGGTGAAAATCACAATTTTTTTTATTGAATAATTTTTTTTATTAATAAAGATAAAAAAAAAATCAATATTGTCGATTCGAAAACAAGGAAACAAAGAACTAGTAGGAGCCAAATTTACTGAGATTGATGACAAGCTTGTTGTCAAATTCTGTGTGTATATTAAGCTTACATATAATCTTCAGCTGATCGAGTGGAGTAGATGCATCATTGGAAACCCTTTGCGTGAGGAGGTAGTTGTTAACTTGAGCGTGGGGACTACTCTCAACTCAATAGTGTTCTACTCTCAAAGAGGGGACCTTTCCAATAAATGGATGGGCATGTTGGTCTCTACTCTCCTTGAGCATGAACACCGCAAAGGTATTGTCACGGAGTGCTTTTGCTGTAATGTCATCAGTGTCGTTATTATCAGCAAAGTCTCTTGATCCACCAAACAGGATATTCTTAACATTGTCATTAAAGTTTTCTTTAAGAAATTCTGCCGTGGAATTACCATACTTCTCTGTCATTTTGTATTTGCTCATCCATGAGCCACCATCAATACTGTGTCTCATTGCAGATTGCTTGGCAAACTTGAGATATACATCTGTTGAGATATTTAACCTATTGGTATGTATTAGGTGTTCACAGATGTGTTTGTTAAACTGCTCACCTTTTTTGGTCTCGTAGTGTAGAGCAGTTCCAAATCTTTATAGATAGTCGGGCAGATGTGTGAGCAGGTGAACCTTGGGCTTCGAGGAATATGGATTATGTCCTTCGATTTCACAGGTAATGTCATAATAATGCAGTTCTTAGATAAGGCTTGTAACTGTCTTTTCAACTTCGTCAATGTACATATTATAATCATACCTTACTGCTCTAACAAACACCAAGGAGCAAAGACGGCCAAGATGGACAAAAGATGGAGTTATTAGAGACAGTATACTATCATTTGCAAATTCTGTAACTAAGATAGCGGGTAGAATTTGCAGAAGAACTTTGTAATCCCTCCCAAGGAATGAGCCACAATGTCGTAACTCTGGAGTGAACTTTCTTGACATTCCTTGAGAGTTTTCATAATCCTTGAGGGCTTTGGACAATCTAGCCATTTGGTTAGGATTTTTCTTTAGTACAACCTTTATCAAATCATTGACTAGATACTTAGCAACTCCAAGAAGTATGTTATGCAGAACTTCAACTGAAGTATCTGTCAATGAATCGAATGACTGTAGTTCCAACAATGCATCTGTTGCCCTATTTGCAAAGCATAGGTCGCTTGCTGTCAGAGCATTTCCAGTCAAAGGAGCATCTAGAATAGTCAATCCACATCCTGATGTAGACGCAGCAGCAAGATAGTGTGCCTTTGTTCTTGCTGTATGTCTACCAGTATAATACAAAGAGCTTTGGAGGTTGGGCATGGATCTTTGTAAACGAACATAACATTTGTGGCATGGGTACAGACTTGTTGGCACGCACAAACCACATAGTTCAGAATGGCATGGAGTGTCTGCCTCGATCCAAAGGAGTGGTGATGCTACTAAAACGTTTTCGTTGTCTTTGGCAGAGAACATCACCAGTCCGTTTTCGAGCCTTTTAAAATCTTCAACGATTTTAGGCAACAAGGATATCCCACTTGCCACCTTTTTCTTGGGAATAGCAGAGAGAAAGTGGATGTTTTCAATTGAAGACCTCTCTTTGTAGAAGAGAGCAGCAAACTTCATTGACTAGCTTTCGTATGGGTTATATTGCTTTGATTGGTTTCTGGAGGTGTCGTCGGTGAAGAGTATAATAGGCGATATCCTCACCTTGTAAAACAACTTTAGATCGATTGGCTTTCCAGTTTCGTCTAGTACGTGTTGTTTTAAAAAATGAGGCTCTTCCAGCAAGGACTTGTGGCTGGCAATCAAATGAAAGACTTTCTCAGGTGAGACGCTATAGCATAGGGCAACATCAACAGAGGTTGAGTCAAAACCAAGAAGAGTTTCAAGCTTTATGCTAGTAGATTCAACTTTGATGCCAATGAACTGACCATCTTCCAGAATATAAACCATGTCGTCTTGAACAAAAACGGCTGAGTTATCCATGGTATGAAATGATTCTACTAGGAAACGGGCTGGAGTAGAACCATTCATAAAGTTAACAATATCACCAGACCAAAAATCTACACCGTTGTGGGTGAGTATAGGTTGTTGATCATACCAATGTGTTCTCCACTTTTCGCCTTGTTGTAGACAAATGGACTGGTTAGGAGTGCGGTCAGGGAGGGAAAATATGTTTCTTGCTTTCTTGGGGTTGGCAGCAAGAAACCGGACATGGTCTGAAGGCAGGTTGATATAAGCAGACATGGTATTGTTTTCCGGCAACTGGATATCGACTTTTGTGGATGGAAATACAGGAATCTTGAACTTTTTCCTGGTCTGATAGTTTAAGAGGGCATCCAATGAGGTAACTTGAATGGGGACTTCTTTCGGATAGCTTCCTCATGAAGCTTAAGGACAAGACTTATGGTAAACAGGTTCTTTTTCAAGATCCTGCGAGATACCATGTCATTATCACCATCAACAAAGGCAAGCAGTACCATAGACTAGAGATCAGGGAACGGGTGGGTATCTGATGTATACTGGTTCCATGTCATATGCGATCCAGTTGCTTCTCTCAGTAAATCAAGATCTTCATCCAACGATGAGCTGGTATTGGATGCAGAAGACTACATACTATTTCTTATATGCATGTATAGCACTGGAAAAATAGGGTAATTTCATCTGGATCAAATGTACCAAAAATGTAGATGATTGAGCCGATATCATCACAATTTTTGTGATATATCATTTTGAGCAATGGTACGATATCATCTATGGTGCTGATGCGTATCATCATAACAACGGGTACACGAAAACCCAATGTAGAACGATTGTCAGTCCGCAAACTATGGAAACTGAATAAATATTGTAGTTACGCTTTACTCCTATCGAGTCTACCTCTTTATGTGTTATATTTTGAGGTCTATAAAGAGCTAGCGTCCCATATTATTATTTTTACCGGGTTTTTTTATTGGCTGCAGAAATGCTTTAAAAACTATCAAAGAGATGATTGTAGGTTTTTTACAATATAAAGAAATGATGATAGTTGGTTTTTTATACGTGCTCAAAGTGATGAAACTAGGTTTTTTATACACACAAAAGCAATGAAACTAGGTTTTTTTACAATGGAAAAGAGAAACAAAGCATGGGTAGATTTTTATAAACAAGCCTCTTTGGTTTGTTTATTTATTTTACTTTTATTTATTTATTTTTTGGAAAAACATTGGGTTATACATTTTTTGTTCAATTTTGTTTTATTTGATAGGAAAATCTTTTCTAGATAAAAATCCTAATTTCGCGACAGTTTTGATACTATAGCTATTATAATCGCTAATACTTCTTGCTCGCTATATATAATTTAAAGCCTTCCGGGAGTAGACATGGAATACATACTTTAATAGCGGGAATGCTATTAAAAAATGATTAATAGAAAAGAAGAATTAATAAATGATTTAAATTGAAATTTCTTCATAAATACTTACAAGGCGGAGAAGACTTGACATAAAATTGATATAAACATGTTCTTCAGAATTATCAAGACAATACCAGTAGTCTTTGAATAGAGATACATTCTAAAAATGAATAATTATTAATATTGTGCGTAGTAAAGGCGTATTTATTAAATATATTGTAGTTAACTTACCAAATATTACTGATTATACGTCTTCGTGCATAATATTAGACATAACTAATAAATCATAATAAAAATAAATATATATCTATGAGGAAGACAAAAGAATAATTTGAATTTTTTTTAAGAAAAAAACTTACCATCATGTTCGATTAAGAGATGATGAGACTCAATGGAAATGAGTAGCAATGGCTAGACAAACAATATGATGAGTAACAAAGATCTGTAAGATAATGATATCTTACCTTGATATATCAGACAGAGTATAGTCAAACAAAGAGACACATATTTGGTATCGAGCTATAAAAGAAAGAAAGAAAATTGTAAGTGAAATTGTAAAAACATAAGCAAAAGAGAAACAAAGAAAATATCAATAATAAATGTTGTTAAAAGAAAAAAAAAGGAAAAAAAAAAGACTTGTCTTAAAATCCAGTTTGACCCTGACAAAATGCGGGCTGTAAAAAGTAATACTCCAAAAGAAGATGACCACCGTCATCTTGAAATACTACTTTGTGCCTCATTGAGTTAGAAAAGAAGTTGTCTAAATGTGGATCAAGCGGTTGGGAGATGTGCTTAAATATCAAATGAAAGGTAGAGAGTTAATCTGCACCGCTTATCCTCTTTACTAGTATGTGAATTTTAAATATGATATAACAAGTGTAGTGAATTGTACAATATTAGTTGAAAATTATTAATATTTATTTTATTAACAGAAAATGACAAAGCGTATTCCTACTGCTCCCCGCCGACCCAACCTACGCATGAATGCTGTTCTTAATAGCACAATTGCAGGTGTTGTTGCTCCAATTGATACACCAACTCCAGAAGTAGCAGTTGACACAGCCCCTGAAGTTCAAGTCGCTGTGACCCCAATGGATCACGTCCTTACCTTGTTGGCAGCCAACAATGTGTCGATGCAATCCTTGCAAGAAAATGCAAAAGGAGTGACTGATGCAATAACTCATTTGAAGAATGGCCTGGATTTGTCCAACAAGACAAATGAATTTTTGAAGAACTCGGTCCTTCAGCTCATGACTGAAAATGCTGAAATAAAAAAGGCAATGACCAGCCAAAATTCCGTGATGCCTTCTGCTGTACCAGCGGATTCTTCTTCTTCCATGGATGATGATCTTGACCTTGGAGCGAAACATCATCCCTTGATTTCTGTAAGTAAATTGATAATAATAACATTACTGATTAATATATCTAATACTGTTTTTATAGCAACTTATCAATAGTTACATCAAGAAACCGAACTTTGTTAGCACAGACCCGCTCAAAGTTGCTGAGAATAATAATAGATCAGCATGGTCAATGACTGGCACGTATGGCGACAAGTACAACAAGACACTTGCACTGGCTCTCTTCAAGTACCTGAGACCTCAAAGATGTTGCACAAATGTGTCAAAGAGTGTCATTATGAATATAATAAAGAATCACTACCAAAATCAAGTGCGAGTCTTCCGGACCTCAGCAGAGAAGATTATGGTTAGAAATAAAGCTGGAAGAAGACGCAACAGAAAGAAGACCGTAAGTTTTAAAATAAAGTTAATTTACTATTGATTTAATGTTTTAATACAATACTCTTTGGTAGCTTCTTGACCGTCGTATTATCACGTACCAGACATACACAGAGGCTATTCATGAGGGCATGAATCGATATGATTGCGGAAATATTCTTTCTATTGACGTGATGTCTGATGGCGAGTCGGATGGAGATAACAAAGTGCGGGCATATCGTCCCAGCTGGAGAACTGATGAGGTAATGTTAAACATCTATTTATGTTTTAAAGAAAATAATAATACTTTATTAATACTGTTTATTCTTTAAACCAGCTCCAGACGTTTATTAGTACTATTGATGAACTTACTGTTATCCGTTTGAAGAAAAATTCAGAAAGCTTGAAAAAGCGCATCCCTTATGAGAAAGAAGTGAGCATTCCCGAGAATTTGGCAGTCACTTTACCAGATTGGTGCTTTTCAAAATAAATCATTTTTTTCTTGCCAACTATTTTAGAGTCTTTTTTCTACTTGTTTATGTTTACGGATTAGCATGATGTATACAGATGCATGTATAGCATGCCAAGTACAAACAAAAATTTATAGAAATAATAAAAAATAAACGTGCAGCTATATATATTAGTCTGTATTAATTAATATTTCTTTTTTATACGTGTTTTATTTTTGTATTTGAATCTAAATATATATTTTTCGTGGCAAAGGAACTACACACATCTGAACTTCGCCTTCTAGACCAAGGTGCTCGCCTACTGCGACTGGATAGCAGATTCTATGCACTGGGAGAATGCTGTTCATGCTGTCATCTTCGAACCCCACCTCATTCACCTCAACTCCTTCTCCTGCTCTGGGCTGAAGTAAAACTTCCTTGTACCATCGTACATATGCAAATACATGCTGGCTCGCATGACCAGCAAACGAGTTTACAGCAGTATTGACAAAGAGGTACTGAATTTGGCCCGCGTATGGCTTGGTACTTCTACCATCACTTGTCTCAAACAAGGCTTGCATGAACGACCCACGCTGATTCTTCGTTTTGCTCTTGTAGATTTGCCCAAGAAGATTGATTGATTCAAACTTCTGTATCCGATTGTTAACAAAATTATCGGAATGACCAGCCTGACGATAATGAACAAGAGTTTGATCATCGTATGTCTCGCGATAGTATTCCAACAAATGCTCATACTCGGATTCATCCATGGAAATCTCCCCCTTTAGAGCTAAAGGAAGTGCGGAAGGGGGCAAAGGCTCGTTTCCCTTGACGATATCAAAGTTGATCTCAGGAGAATCAAGAAAAGCATTGATATCGAATTGGATTGAGGTGGCAGTGGAAGTGGAAGTGGCTATGGAATTGGCAGTGGATGCAGTGAGCTCAAGGATGATCGCCGAATGCTCAGGTCGAATTATTGGCAAAGTTTGGCGAATAAGATCTCCCTGGTATGCTTCTTCAAGATACTTCTTCATATAGGTTCCCTCAAACCCGTCTTTTCTATTTGTCGCATAGTTTTTCAAGATACCATTGCATCTTTCGAAACTAAAAAGCCAATAGCCATAAACCGGGCCAAAGTTCAGTACAGTCTCTCGCAGATGAAGATGGAGATGCATGTTTGGCGAAAGGAATGGGGCTTTATACAACTTCTCGCACTCTCTGCAGAAAGCCTCCAAAGATTGATGGGCTTCATCAAGGTGAGCCATGGATATGCTTGGCATTGAGAGGTACTGGCATGCATTGACAAACGTTGTCCAGTTACCGAGATGAGCTTCAGGTAGACGACCACGCAGGAGAACAGGAGAGTACACCAAGCACCAAGACTTCCACTCGTCGGCCTTCATGAATGGGAAGCCACGCCCGATCTTTGTCCCTAATGGCGTGTAGTCCTCTGGCAGTACAAGCTTGTCAGCATCCAACTGCATTTCGGCCAAGTGTGCATCTGTGATGAGACCTGAAGATCTCCATTTCTCCATTATCCTCTTTGCTGTTCCGAGGTACAGGTTGTGCATCGGATCGATGACAGTGCACTCCACGAGGTTAAAGTAAACCAGGTCATGCAATTCTGACCATCGGACACCATTTTCCCTCTCCAATCTCTTTCTCTGTGCATCACTGCTGGCCATTCTCCACAACTCAGCATCACGGCGGTTTTCGGCATCAGTGCGAGGCACCCACTCAGAAAACACGAACCCAGAGTAGTCCACAGCATTGGAGTCTGGAAGGCGAGGGAACTGTCGGTTGCACTTATTGCATGCACATGTGCTTGAATGAGAGGTGAACCCACAAGTCTTACGGGCAGCAGGAATGTCGCAGGCAACAAGAAGAAGGGCAGCACGGACAAGAGCACCAGATGGGCACTGTACGGTAGGCATCACCACACCGCCATACAACTGGTTGAGTTCCGCGACAAGGGGACGGAGGTAGTGATTGATCTCACTTGTCTTTGCTTCCTTGGGCCCTGGCATGAGACCAACGAGAACAACATTCTCCTTCTTGTACCGTTCCGATCTTGGCAAGTTGTTGATGCAAAGGTATATCGCACCACAGGAGTAAGTGACCCCATCGAAAGGTTGAAACCAATCGATGTTCATGGTAAGCATTATGGAGCGCTCATGATTCACAAACGGTAAACCATTGCTATCCTTCAGACTGTTCCACTTCGTACCGTCGTAAATGTCAAACATCATGCCTGGAACTTGCACTCTGATTCTCCAATGGTTGATGGTGTCTTCGAATCCAGGGCGGCAAAAAAGGATAGACAATGTTTTGATTATGGAGTTATACATGTAGATCTTTTTGGGGATAGTCAAGGCTCTTGATGTTGCAAAGAAAAGAGCGTTTCCACATTCTCTACCAGAGAGTCTCTCGAAATTACAGCACTCTGGAACAACATCGGACTCTTCGTATACTTTGTTACAATCGCCACATGCAACAAACCGCTGGACACCTCGAGTCACGTCGCTGAGACCGGTCATAGAGTTGACACCGCTTATACTGAGGGGAAGACGGAAAGACTGTCCAAAGTGTGCCAATACTTCGTTAAGAAACTTTAACAGAACAGCACCACCAGAATTGACAACATATTTGGATATGAAGAAGGCAGCAAAAGAAGCAATGAAAGCATGAGTAGGATCGACTGGCATATTGGATGAAGAAAAGTGCTCTATTTGAAAAAAAAATCAATACTTGTTGACTTTATTGATTTATATGTGCTTTTTGTACTAACCTCTAACATCATCAGATTCATCGTCAGAAATATCCAAAATGGTTGCTTCAATGACACCCTCATCTTCGCTTTCAGAATCAAACAAGGAATCAATGCCAAAAAGAGGTAAGTCTTCGGCTGTTTTGTTAGGTAAAAAAGAATCAAATTATTAGATATTATAAATGATTATAAAACTTTAATAAAAATACTATGCATACCTTCAACTTGATCTTCGGCATCAACATTGTATTCAAAGTCAATCTCCATGTCATTGTCATTCGACATTACTTCTATAACTGAGGCTATATTATATGAAAATAAATATTTAATTAAAATTGTCTCAATAATAATTTTCTTAAATTTGAACTTACAAGAAGATCCTGACTGATATTGTCTCACGATATCCTGTTGTGCATGTCTTCTGAGTGTTTGGGTAGACACCAAAACAAATCCCATGCTATTGGAAGAGCATTTAGAGCACTTGCATTCTGAATTGTTGTTGTTGTTTGACATATTGTGTGCGTGTGTTTTATTTTTTAAGTCTTTAGAATTGACAAGAATAGAAAATTGTTCAGGAACACAATTTAATATATATCTTTCCAAATTATACCAGCTTCCAAAATGACATAGTTTATTCCGGTTGTTAAAATGGGCAGTTCTCTAAACAGTAATTGATTGCCTCATTCTAAAATACAATAATACACGCTTTTGTTAAAACATGTCGTCATGTACATTTTATTGGCTGTAGAGCATATACAACAAAAATATTTGTAGTAATATCACGACCATTAACCTCATCATACTTATAAATAAATATTACAACAATAAAAAGCTTTATTATCTCACTCAAAAGATATCATTTGGTTTAAGTTTCCTACAACTATTGACTCTGCGACATGGCTACAAGTCCCAAAAAGAAATCTCGCAGACATTTTTTACAAAAAAGAGTAAACTCGTTTTTTTATCCAATAAAACAGACCGAGCATTATCATCGCCGTCGAAAATAAAAAAGACAAAAGTGATGGAAATTTAAGCTACCACTCCACAAATAATAGTACCCTACGCCATAGATGAAATTACCCTATTTTTCCAGTGTAGGTCGTTGCTGTTGTGGTGGTTGAAGTTGAAGAAGTTTTTAAGAGGAAGAATTGAAGATTTGAGATTAGGAATGAAGATTTGTGAGAACTTGTGTAGGTTTTGTTTATTGAGAAAGATTTTGTATCAAAGTTTGACGAGGTTCCTACACTGAACTACTACTGCTATTTATATTGTTTTGGATTAGGAAAATTATATGACTGGGGTCAGGTAATCGATCCTATCTGAGCCTTAATCAGAGCAACGTGATCTTGGGATAATTAATGTATGATTAATTATATAAATGTGTGTAGTCCCAATGAAGTATTAACATCGAAAGTAAATGTGTTTATGAGTTATAATTATGCTTATAATAATCCACTGATGTATCCCATATTATGGTGATATCATCATATGAAATATAATCACTATCATGCATGCCAAACCTGTGTGTTAAATAATAAAGTAATCGGTAGACACCTTTGACTGGAATAGCTGAGGCCTTATATTATTTCCTTAAGACTTATTCTCAATTACAGCAGTAGTCAATACTCATTTACAACAGTTGCCTGGACTTGGACTTTCAAAGGGGCTGGTGTCCTCATCCATCTTGATAATACTTTCACCGGCATTGAGTTCAATCTCGCAAACATTATCATCACCATCACTGTTCATGTCGTCAACATTGCTGCTGTTGTCATCCTCCAAATCGGATTTAACATGTAGGTCTTCGTTAACGGAATCGTCATTGTGATCAGAGGTGGCTGGCTCGGCAGTGTTTGTGGTCTGTCTTTCTGACACTAGGCTTCTATCGGCATATTGAGGGCTAATATCGTTAGCAATATGAGTTGCTAACTTATGATATTTGGTAAGGTGGCGTCATAGATTCCATACGCAATCGAAATCTTTTCCACAAAGTGAGCAGGTCTTTCTGATATCGTCAAAGACAAAATTGTGTTGACCTGGTCCTTTGGGAGCAGAAACTACCACCCTAGAATTTTTTGGGTAATTAATAATATGCTGCATCACAGAGCTTTCGTGATGTAATGTATTGTCTAACATGATAAAAGAGTATAGACGACCACCATATATTTATTTATTTCTGCATCTTGAAACAACAAGTCGATTTCTTTCAGGAACCAATGAAAAGTATTATTCATGTAACCAGTAATAAGCGTATAATGGTCTTCAAAAACCAATGAAATTCATTAATTTGTTACAGTTTAGCTTGACACAAAAAATAAACATTGAGTGCCTTTTTTTGTTTCATACAACTTTTTTCATTTTTTTAAAGATCAGGTAACAAATAGCACTTGATCTTGCTACTCACTAGCTAATTATACTACAGATCAACTCTGATCCTCTCACATGATTAAGATCTTAAAAGATATTGCTAATGATGTGATTCTATTACGAGTTCTGATTAATAAAATCTAATTGAAGTATAATAGGGCATGTGAATTCTTGACATAAAGAGGTATGTAGAGAATCTTGTTTGTATACTGATTTTATCCATACTAACATAAAGATATGTCTTCTTTTTTTTTGCTTTGTTTTTTTTTGTTTTTGTTTTGTTTTAGATTCAATTAATATATAGTAAGTCATCTAAAACATAGTAATCTTCATCAAAAGTCCATGTACTAATGACCTTTCTTTTTTTTGCAGGTTTGACATTTTTGCTCGGATTTGAAACTTGTTCTTCCAATAGCTTCTTTGCTTTTATTTTAAAAGCATTAATATGGTTTTTGCTTTCAAACATGCAATTGGGTTTTTCAAAATTCTACTCGCTTTTGTTTCTGGAAACATTTTCAGAATAGCTATTAAATATTTCTAGCTGCTAGTGCAAGCATACCTACTCTACAGTAGCAGCTACTGCAGGGTAGGTATGGGAAGCCTAAAATTATCTACCCCCAATATTTTCAACCCATAAAAATAAATAAAATCGTATTTTACCAGCCAATTTTTTTTTGCAATCCCATTTATCAATTTTGCGATTCTTTCGGATCTGAAACTTCAATGAAAAAGCTATTCCCAAAATAGTAACATAAACTCACGGGCTGAATTACAAAATTGTTACACAAAAAAATCTGCCGTGGTGAAATATAATAGGGAGTTTCATTATCTCTTTGGATAGAAATTCAGATTATGATTCGTAAAGTGGGGTTTTCAATGGTAAAATGATTGGCTTAGAAGAACCTGAGTAGAATTAAGATGTGTAGATTTAATCTGAGGAAAAAAGCTTTTGGGTTGAAATTGAGAATTGCTCATTTTGACATCTTGAAATACTTAAAGCAAGAATTTGTCAATTTATTCGTCTGCCTTACATATTTCTACTTTATATACAAACTTTAATAAGCAAAATTCCCAGTATAAGTGATAGATATTAATATAATCGTACATAATAGGGGGTTTCACCAGTTTTGAATGTTGACTGTTGGATATAGTGGTAGTTTAATTTGGAAAATGATTGGCTGTAACAAATCTTCAAAAAATGAAAAATGAGCATCCTAGCATCTAAAAAAATAGTTTGATACTCTAGATGTCGTGACTTAGCCAAAATTTTGTAAATTTTGTACTTTATGTACGATTGATGGCGAAGTTCATATAGAAGCAAAGTCAAAAATAAAACATAAATAATCTATATAAAAGTAGTTATCTTGATACTAAATTATAGAAGTCTAACTTACTTGTGAGGAATTTGGGCATAGGCACTATATTTATGGGTACTCTAATCAAGTGTATTGTACATATGAATTTTGACATATATAAGAAAAAACATATCAACCAAGGGTCATTAGGGGGTTTTACCAGTCTTTTTTTGGTACTTATTATTATTGGCTGGTGCTTAAACTACTGCTATATCCAACAGTCAACATCCAAAGCTAGTGAAACCCCCTAATAAAATATCAGGTACAAGAATAAGATGTTTAATTATTATTCTTCATTTGCCAGAGACTCTAGCTGTGTTACCATCAATTTTTTATTGAGACAAAAATTTTAAATAAAAGCTTGCTATTGCTATAATACTATTCTTTATCATCTCTTCTTTCGCTCCTGGTATTCAACCACTCAACTTTATCAAAGATCCAAGTTATGACAAATGATATTCATGACACTTTACAAGCTCTCCTTGCCCGCATGGAAGCTTTGGAAGCACGCTCTGCTGCTCCTCCTGTGGTGCTTGATGGTTCTTCTGCTGATGAAGACGACACAATGCTACCTACCTGCCATATTGTCAAACGACCTATCGCATCTGATCTCACTCCCTTCCACAAACTTATTAAAGCCATTCCCGGGATGGAGCACGACTTCTTCAGGCAACCCTTGGACGAAGCCTCTCGCCACCGATTCCTCCTTAACTGCCCACGAAATGTACTTCGTCAGTACCAAGCCCCTGTTCTCAACTACAGTGGTGTGGGACCTCACACCAAACATACTGATGCCCAACTCGCTGATATTCAGTTCTGCCTATCTGGTCTCACCCGTCCCATTGACCTGTTTGCACATGATGTGCTTGTGGAAGGATCTATCCAGATTACACAGGCGTTGGGTTTTGCCAACACTATACATGAATTACTATCAGACCTTGTCTCTGTTGTCACCCAGATGCGTAGTGATAATATCTGCTGAGATGGCAATCTACCTATCACACCAATTGTCACCAACTCTGCCTTGGAGCCCAAACCACTTCTCAACTCTCAACAAATTGTGGAACAATCTAAGCTCCAGCGTGCTTTGCACAATGCCGCACGACCTTTTTGAATGAGAAAGGAAAAACGCACCAGCAAATCTAACCAGACCAACAAACCCACTCAATCTGATCAGACTTCTGCTATCACAGTCCCATCTTACCAGCAATCTTCCCATCCCCACGACTTGAAGAAGGTTTTTCACAGTCGCCCACAGCTGTCCAAGTCTCAGACAACCAATACACCACAGTAGGTGAGCGCCTTCAACTACACTCAAGTGTAATAGGTCATTGGACGGTCTTCTAATTTTCAAAATTATTTTTCAAGCATATTATAGACGATATTTTCTTTTCAATAATGTTGATAATAAAATGTGCTCAGAATAAAGCAAAACTTAGAGAAAACATAGTTTATTATATATATATTTAAGAGAAAAGATATGAGCTCTAGTAATGAGTTGTGTCACCACCTCTCTCGATTACTTCTTTAAGCCTATCTGGCATACTGGTTACCAAAGTTTCCAGAACTTGAAGTGGTATCTCCAACCATGTCTTGTAGATTATCACTTCAAGTTCTTTCACATTGGTTATTTGTACTCTATTCTTGCGAAGTTTCCTCGCAAGATGAGCCCAAATATACTCAATAAGATTAAGATCTGGGCTCTGGGCAGCCCAAAAATCAAAGCTATCTATTAGACACCTCTCTTTTTTATACCATGTGGCTTAAGCGTCTGTGTGGTATGGTGCACCATCCTCTTGGAACAAAAACTGTTTGTTATTATCCCTGGACAGTTTCTTGTATCAGGGAAGAAAGTACTGAGCCAAACAGTCCATGTACTTGTCTTGATCGATATTTCCTTTCAATGTTACCAAGGGGCCAAGACCCCCACCCCAGAAACAACCCCAAATCATGACGGAACCCTTACCAAACTTGTATGTTTGAACAATATGGTTCTTGTCAAACCTCTCGCCAGTCTTTCTGATGACTCTGACTCTTCCATTTTTGTCAACTACCATGAATCTGGACTCGTTTGACCAGACAACTGACTTCCACTGCTCAACAGTCTAATTCACATTGTCAAGACACCATTTTAGCTTGTTTTCCTTCTGTTTCTTGGTCAACCCTGGCTTGCGAGCTGCTGAGTGAGAACTAAAGCCAAGAAGTTCCATGTTCTTACGGAATGTAGTCATGCAGATAGAGATTCCCACATCGACTAATCTCTGATGCTGAGCCGCAATTGACACAAATGGCTCACTACGAAATGAGCACACCATTGCAGATTGTGTTCTCTTTGTAACCTTTGGTTCCCTTCCTAGATGGGTCAAGGGCTTGGAAACACCTTTATCTCTGAAGGCTTTCACTACATTTCCAACAGTGCTCTTCAGAATGTCAAGGGCTTTAGAGATTTCTCCATATGTAGCGTCCTTCTCCCATTGACCTATAATTCGGCCCCTAATGAACACATCTAGTTCTTGTCTTTTGGGTTTTGTGATGCTTGAAGTTGGTGGAGTCATTTTGTGCTTTTCTTTTATTTGTTTAAGAGTTTTTAGTGGTTTTACAAAGAAAAGAGTATTTTGATAACGCATAAAAAAAATCAAAAAATCAAAAAATCTGTGACCGTCTAATGACCTATTACCCTCGAGTATATTTCGCAACGCATGGACCAACCTTACAAACAAACATTGGGTTCAATGGACTGTTGAACAAGGGTACAACATCCCTTTCACTCATCTGCCACCCATTTCCTTGTCTGGACCATTGACGAACCACAACCAGATAGACAGCAATGTGATCGAACAGGAGATCATGTCCCTTCTGTGCAAGAAAGCCATTGAGGAAGTACACGAACCAGGGTTTCGTTTGCGCATCTTCACAATTCCAAAGAAGACAGGCAACCTCCGGCCTGTCCTCAACCTACAACCACCCAATCAGTACATTCCAAAACAATCTTTCAAGATGGAATCCATCAAGCATGTCTGCCAGTTGATCCAGTGTGGCGACTACATCACCAGCATTGACCTGCAAGACGCTTTTCTGCACATTCTGATCGCCAAGTTCTCTGGCAAGTATCTTCAGTTCTCCTGGAAAGGTCTCATTTACCAGTTCCGCGTTTTGCCGTTTGGCCTGCCCTTGTCCCTATTGGTATTTACGAAGATGGTTTGCCCAGTACTTCGTTGGGCATGGCAACAGGGGATTTGTCTGTCAGCTTATCTTGACGACTTGATCGTGATTGCCCGATTCCCAACACTGTCCCTGCATCACACACAGTGAGTAGTGAACAAATTACAGTCACTAGATTTCTTGATCAAAGCGACCAAATCTCCTCTAACTCCCTCAAACTCCATAGAGCACCTATAATTTGTGATCAACAGCAAGGATATGACACTAATCATCCCTTGCTTCAAGTTGAGAGATATTCGGAGTGAAACATCTCACCTTCTCCACAACCTGACAATCACCTTGAGACAGCTTTCTTCATTCATCAGCAAGGCCCAGGCAACCACTTTGGCAGTCCTTCCCATGCGCCTGCAAACCCAGCAACTGATATCCATATGCAACCAAGCCTTGTACTACGGATTGCAATGGACCAGTCCGATACACCTCTCTTCCATGGCTTGGCAGGAACTTCAGTAGTGGATCGACCAGCTGAAGGCATGGAATGGACACTCATTCCTCCCAGAAGTACCTCAAGTCGAAGTGTACACCAACGCCTCAGAGACCGGTTGGCACATCGTGTACAACAACACCGTCCTGTCTGGCACATGGACCACAGACCAACAAATCAAGCACATCAACTACCTCAAATTGCTGACCATTGCCTTTGCCACCAAGCTTCCATGCCTTCAAGGGAAAGCCTTTCGCGTTTACTGTGACAACATGACCACGATTGTCTATGTCAATCATTTTGAAGGAACCCAGTCTGCCAAACTCATGCATCTGGCCACGGACATGTGGAAGCAATGCTTTGTCACTGGCACCCATGTCTGCCTGGTGTACATTCCCTTGCCCTTGAACCCTGCCGACCCTCCCTCTCACAGCTTGATTCAGCAGCTGGAGTGGAGTATTTGTCTAACGTTCTTTCGGCACTTGGACTCACTGTGGAGACCCCACCACATCGACTGCTTTGCATCGAGCCTGAACACCCACACTGGAAAAATAACAATAAATACACACCGGGAAATTCAGGCATACTATTGTGAATATTCCGCATTTTACAGTGGGGTTTTGCCTATTTCCACTGGTACCAAAGCTGATCTGGTTACATGTGCACAGACCTGCTATCTACAAGTGTAAAGTTCGATAGCACTAGTGAAGTTGGGGTCAATAGTAATTTTATATCTTTGTATATAATAGAGTACCAAGAAAACTTTATTTCAAACTTTGTTTTTTTGCTGTAATACAATCTGTTTCCATGTTAAAGGTTAATAATCAGGGACTACGTCGCATGTGTATTGTTGAACTATCCCTGGGTGAATAGTTAGAATCATGGACATTTTATTGCTTATAAGCCAATCATTAACACTCTTTATTATGAGGTCATAGATTATCTGCTCCCCCAATTACTTGATATTCAATTATTATTGGTTTGAATTATAGTTTATTTTTGTATTTATTAGAAAAAATAGAATGATTCTAGGTTGATAGTATTGGAATAATATTATATGCCTTGGGCCGTCTTCACCGGTATCCTTCATATGACTCAAATCAAGCAGTGCTTTATATATAATGTTTGTAAACCCTCATATTCAGTAGTTATCTTTGGCACAGATACTATTTAACATAATAGAAGAGAAGTTAGATGTGTATTTAAATATTTACATGTTGTGAGTGATATATTAATTTGAGGATACATACAATATAATGACTGAAGAAGATAAAAATAAAACTTTGAGAGTTCGAGGCATGGCGTCAAGTATAATTTCTTTAACAATGAAAATAATATAGAGAAGTTAGTTTGAGTGAATTGGGTGACAGAATATGTAATGAACGTACCCAAAGAAAGTCAATTTATTTGTAGACCTAGATAGTACTTGTCAAGAGTTGATATAACCTTTAGTAAAAAACATATATTAATATACAGTATAAATAATACTATCATACATATTAAGAGAATAAAAGAAGAAGTCTTACCATGTCAATGATAGCGCCAAGAGATAGAGGTTCTTGATTCATTGCGTGTTTGGCAGATGAACATTCATCTGTAATAAAAATTATATTCTGTCAGATACATATTAAAAGTAAATAAAAAATAAAATATTACCGTGTTGATGGTCTTGTTTAATTGTAGGGAATATTTTTGGCGATATTGTCTATAAAAAAGAAGGAGAAAAGTCAGAATAATTTTATATGATGATGACATGAAGTATAGTTACTAACCTGGACTAATCCAGATGGCCATTGTAAAGAGAATACATCAGAAGGAAAAAACACGCTAGTATCTATGACAACTGAAATAATAATTATTATTTAGTTATATTTGAAGAAAAGAATTGCTTTAAAAAAAAAGAAGATATGTTACCAAAAAAGTTTGCGAATATAGTAAAACACTAAGAGAGTATATATGTATCTATGACAACAGAATGTGTTAATCTTGTTGTTGTCTGTACAGAAGTATTTTTAAGAAGAATGTATCTTACCAGTAAAATTCACAGTTATAACAAAAATCAGAAAGAGAAAGAAAAGAAAAGAAAATGGTCGATAAGGAAAAATATGGAAAAATAAAAAAAATAAGTAAATAAAATACAAAAAACAAAATAGGTAATTAAAAAAAATGAAACTCAAAAAAAATATCCAAAAAGCATAATAGATATAATGGTGTAGTATCTAAAAGCAATCTTTGTATCAATTTACACAGTGTGTGTACAAGAAGTTACTTTAGATATATTTTTTTAACCAAGATCAATCAAGACTAGACATCCTTTTTTTTTGGAAATATAAATATACGTTTTTGCTACAATCTTACTCACTCTTGCTCACGCACTCTTACAATTATTCTTACTTATACTCACACTTTCTCTCTCTATCTCCCCATCTTTTTCTGTCTTTTATTTTGGTATGTTTGATAATAAATATAATTGTAGTGTATAATAAAAATTTATTCAAAGAATATAAAAGCATTAACAGTTAATACATATTTGAACTTATATTTTTAAATTAATAGAATATGTCTAACCAAAATGAAAGCTATCCCACTCGACGCACTCCTGCTGAGAGAGAGATGACAAACTCTCTTGCCATCTTGCGTCGTGACATGACCACTGTCATGAAAGACGTTGCTGATATCAAAGCAAAAACTTCGAACACTCCTGTGTCTGCTGTTTTGCAGAGTCAGCCGATGGCTTTAGTGCATGCTGTTGCTCCTGTGAGCATGGAAATGAATGTAGCTGGTTCTTCCACCATGGCTTCTGACGCAAAATCAGTCAACAAAACAAAAGCCTATGTATGTATCATACATATAGTAAATTATATCTTTAATAACTTACCAAGATTCAATAGAGACTTCTTCGGGAGCATTTGTGGGACCCTAAGTTCAAGTCAAAACATTTGGCTGAAATTCAAGCCAACAATGGCAAGCCAAGGTGGAACACGGCTGTCAACTTCAACCAGTCGCCAAACACTGAGCTGACAGAAAACCTCGTTGCCTACTTGGAAAGAAATTTCGTAGGAGCAGGACTGAGAAAAAGTGATGTTCGTGACTTTGTCTACACGAACTTCACTAGCAGAAAGCGTGCAGCTAATAAGTCTCAGGCTAAAAAGAAGTCAGACAATGCTCACAACAGAAGGAGTAGCCGCGAAAAGGAGGTAAGTTATACTTTATTTATTTATTATTTGAATAATTCTTATCTAAGTCATTAATTTAAAGCAAAAAAAGAAAACTAATTTAATATTTTCAACAGCACTTGAAACGTCGCAAAACAGCATACCAGTCTAACAAGACTGCTATTGATGACGAGATGAAAAGAGATTGCTCTGGTCTCATTATAGAAGAGGCTATGTCTGTTGGTGAGTCAGACGATGGCACTTCGCCTCATGTTTCTTATAGTGGGCTTCGTCTTTGTCGTCCAGGTTGGAGAAGTGATGAGGTACTTAGTTTTTTGAAAGTTGAAATATTTAATTTAGTTAATATATTATATTGTATTATACTGAATAAAATATTAATGTCTTTAATATAGTACAACCACTTCATCACACTTGTTGACAACAAAGTGGTAGCTGATTTAGGCTTAAATAGCCATCAATTGCTGTCACGTGCTTTTGGCGAAACCGTTGAAGGACCAGTCCCTGATGCAATTGCGTCACAGTTTCCTCAGTGGGCTCTTAGAAACGGGCCCTAAATAAAGTTTATATTTTTTGTTCTTTTTTTCTTCATTCATAACGTCCTATACTTTAAATAACCAAAAAAATGCATAAAGAGGCATTACTTGTTCTTTGTTTTTTATTTAATTATTCTCATAAAAAATCATAGTGCATAATTATTCATAAAGGCTTCAGGCATAGTATTTTTTTGGCATAGGAATGACCAGCATTCTTTCTTCGTTCATATCAGTTACATCTACAGCAGTTGCAACCTCTAAGTGTATGCGATGTACAGGCAAGATGCTGTGATAATTATCAGCAGAGAATTCTGGCAAGCAGATTGCAATACCTTCATCTCTGTGTTCATTGTCATTTGTCGAATTATACCATCGGATGTATGCAAAAACATGCTGGTCTTGATGTAATGTTGATGCTCGGTGGTTTGGATGAGGAGGCAGAGTAAATGAATGTATAAAAAGATACTGAATTTGTCCGGTATATAGGCTTGAAGTTCGGCCATTGCTGCTACGGAAGAAAGCTTGAACGAGTGACCCGCGCTTACCAGAACTGTTGTTCCCAATATATGTTTGGCCAAGGAGATCAATTGATTTCAATTTTGTGATTCGGTTATTTACAAAATATTGTGACAATCTGGCATCGTGGTAAGAAATGAGATTGGGCATGGCATAGGCGATTTTATAATAATCTAACAATTGAGGATAATCAATATCACTCATTGTTGATTCTTTTAAGGACTGTAAAGGAAAGGTGGATGGGGGGAGTGGTTCATTGCCTTTGATAGGTGCTGCTCGACTTAAGGATGAGTCTACAAATTGTTGCAGTCGGAAAGGTTGTTGGTTGGTTGGAGCATAAGTGGCATAGGTCATTATAGGTGCGGTCGTAGAGGTAAGTTTTTCGAAAAGAGGAAGGAATGGAATGAGGCTTGGACATGATAACGTATTTCGTACGTAATCAGCTTTGTATGCGTCTGCAGTGAATTTTGTCATATAGGTTGTTTCAAACCCGTCTTTTCTGTTTGTCTTGTTATTCTTTAACAAACCATTGTATCTCTCAAAACCAAAGAGCCAATAGCCATACACGGGTCCAAAATCACGAATTGTGTCATGAAGATGGAGGTGCAGGTGCATGTTGCAGGTGAGGACTTTTGGTTCATATGTATCTTCACAAGATTGACAGAATTCTTGTAGATATCTGTGTGCTTGGTCTATTTCGATGAAACTGATTGACGGCTTTACAAGTATACAGCATGCTTTTACATAGTGCATCCAGCCATTGAACATATTGGACGGAAGAACTGGTTTTAGAAGCACGGGAGAGTACACCAATACCCAAGACTTCCACTCATCTGCTTTCATGTGGGAAAAGCCCTTTCCTATCTTCGTTTTCAGCTTGGTATAGTCGCTGGGCAATATCATCGTTGCTGCAACTGTCTGCATTGCAAGCAGATCATTGTTTTTCATTTTTTTCATTGTTGTCCATGTTTCAATCATTCTCTTTGGTGTTCCCAGAAAAAGATTATGCATGGGATCAATGATCGTTCCACGTACTAGATCAAAGTATCCAAGGCAATACAACTGCGACCATCGAACACCATATTCGACCTCCAGCTGCTGCCTTTCTGAGGGTGTACTCGCACTATTCCACTCCTCAGCATGCACACGGTTTGCTCTATCACTTCGATGGCGCCACTGGTCACAATCAAATCCACGGAAATCGACAGAAGAAGTGCCTGGTAGACGAGAAAATTGATTGTCGCATTTGTAACAGGCGCATGTGCTGTTGTGCGCGGTGAACCCACTAGTCTTTCTGGCAGCAGGTATATCGCATGCAACCATCAATAAGGCTGCACGAACTGTTGCACCGTCTGTTTGCTGGTAGGTGGGTATCTGTATTCCAAGATAGAGCTGTATCATTTTGTCGACTAATGGCTTGAGATAATGATTGATCTCTTCTGATTTTGGCTCTTTTGGTCCGGGCATGAGGCCAACAAGGATTGTATTTTCTGCTTTAAACCGCTCACTTCTAGGCAGGTTGTTAATCACCAGGTAGATAGCACCGCAGGAATAGCTAGTACCATCGAAAGGCTGGAACCAGTCGATGTTTAATGTCAGCATCAATGAACGAGGATGCTCAACAAAAATTTCATTGTCATTGTCCTTCAAATCAGTCCAGGCTTCACCATCGTAAACATCACACAATGTATCAGTGATCTTGAATTCTTGGTTCCAGTGCATGATCTTTTGCTCGAAATCGGGATGGAGGAAAAGAATTTTAAGAGCACGTGTGAGAGACTGATATACATAAGACTTCTTTGCGACCAAACCACCAGACAATGATTGGACCATTAATTTGCAATTACAGGCGGTATGTGCACCAAGCTTTACGAAATCACAATTCAAAGGAGCAGGTACACTTTCCTCATACACCTTGTGGCAATCCTGACAAACGACAAATCTCTTAATCCCTTTTGTCATGGCTGAGAATCCTGTCATGCTTTGGAGACCAGAAAGACTCACGGGCAATTGGAAATCCTGCTCGTAAATCGACAAGAGCTTGTTGATGAATTCGATCAAGACAACAGCGCCCTTATTGACCACATAGCGGGAAGCAAACATTACCACAAAAGTAGCAATGAACCTGTGTACCGGATTTTCAGGCATATTTGGGGTGGCAAAAGGATCTATTGTAAAAAAAAACAAAAAAAATTAACACCCCCCCTTTTTTCAGATTTTTCTTTTTTGGTTCTTTTCCTTGAATTTTTTTTGGGTCTTTTTTTATTAGTTAATTAACACGGACTGACCTTCAGTATCGAATTCTTCGACTTCAATCTCAACAATATTCTCTTCATTGTCTTCACTTTCTTCACCGCCATTGCTTTCTTCGTCATTGTCATTTTCATCACCATCACTGCTTTCGCCATTCGACTCATTGCTAAAAGCAACCTCATCGTCAGAAATTGGGGCTCCTTCCCAAACAGGCGAGTTGGTCTGACCGTCCATTGCTTCTATGGGTCCGGTTTGTTGGTTTGATGTAGCTACATATAGAATTCAATTTTTAGTTTACTTCTCTTTTTATCACAATTAACGTTTCTTACTTTCAAAATCAATATCCATGAGATTTCTTTGAACAGATACATCTATTGAAATAAAACATTATATAAAATAACCAAAATGAAAATGAAAATGAAAAACAAAACATACTTCTTTCACTTCTTTCCATGTCTTCATATCTTGCTCTTTTATTGTGATGCTGGAGGGTTCGTGTAGAAACAAAGCTGTAGCCTTGTTGATTATCGCTGCATTTTGTGCAATAGCACTTCTTATTATAAAGTTCAGAAGTAGAGGACATGGTGTTTATTTTGTTATAAATGTTAAGATAAAAGGGAAACAAGTGTTACATTTACTTTATTTGTTCAAACTTTATAATAATAATAATAATAATGATAAAATAACTTGGATGGTTATTATATCCGAGCCAATAGAAAATTACAACATGACTTTATAAACATGTACACCAAAAAACATGCTGAGATGAAAAATTGCTCTAAATATCCACATGTAACCATGAACCTTCACACAAGGGTATTCAGGGTCATTTCTCCAGTGCCAGCTTCCGACGTACATGACATGGAAATGGGATCCACAAGCATTTGCAATGGACGTACTTTCTGTACCTTGGACAACCTGGCCTCACCTATATCTTTGTCCACTGTGGAACCTACTTCTCTACATACTGCAGAAACTACAATGAGAGAAGGTTCCCACTACATTGATAATGCCTAACTGGTCGAGTGCCCTCTGGTATCCTTGTTATGTATGAGGTAAAAATAAGATATAAAATAAAACAAGTGCAGACGAGAGTATGGTGAGACTTTGTTTTATTAGAAGAAGTGAAAGAATCAGAAAAGAGATGCTGTTCTATTGCTATTAGTATTGTGCGTTTATATAGACATTGTATTTAGATTGGTGATGATATGATGATATCATGTAATGTCTGTTTCTCTATCATTATCTTCTATGATTTAGTTCTTATGTTTTTAGTGTTATTGACTAGAGTCTTAGTATTTGTCTTAGTATGTTCTTTACGTAATTTCCTTGTATAAGGGAAGGTATATCTTTTAGTATCGTTACTAGTTGTCGGTAACTCAATGTACGTATTTATTGAGTGTCTGTACTTTTAATTTAAATCTACGATTATGTTGGATACAACACTGTTGACTACTAATTTAGCATATATATAAGCTGTTGACAGCTGATCTAGTATATATATAAGTTGATAACCACCAATTTCATATATATATGTAAGCTATTGACCACCAATCAACTATATATATAAGTGGATGACAGTCAGTCTGCTATATATATAAGCTTATAACTACTAATTTAATATATATATGTAAGCTATTGACCACCAATCTACTATATATATATATAAGTAGACAACAGCTAGTCTGCTATATATATAAATAGATAATAGCCGATCTCATACATATATAAGTAGATGATAGCCAATCTGATATATATATAAGTCTATGATTGCCAATCTGATATATATATAAGTCAATGATTGCTGATCTGGTATATATATAAGCCAATGATCGATGATCTGATATATATATAAGCCAATAATTGGTGATTTAGTATATATATATAAGTCAATGTTTGCCAATCTAGTATATATATAAGCTAATGATTAATGATCTGGTATATATATAAGTCATTGATTGCTAATCTAATATATATATAAGTCAATGATTGGTTATCTGGTACATATATAAGCCAATAATTGGTGATCTAGTATATATATATAAGTCAATGATTGCCAATCTGGTATATATATAAGCCAATGATTGCTGATCTGATATATATATAAGTCAATGATCGGCGATCTCGTATATATACAAACTATTGACAGTTCATCTGCTATATATATAAACTAATGACAGTCAATCGGGTATATATATAAGTCAATAATTGTCAATCCAATATAAATATAAGCCAATGACAGCTGATCTGTTATATATATAAGCTGATAACAGCCAATCTCATATATATATAAGCTGGTAATAGTCAATCTGATATATATATAAACTAATGATAGTCAATCTCATATATATATAAGTGGATGATAGCTGATCTCATATATATATAAGCTAATAACTACTGATCTGGTTTATATGTAAACTAATTATTAATAATCAGATCTATATGTAAATCAATGATTGTATATCCAATATATATATAAACTGATAATAACTGATCCAGCCTATATATAAATCAATAGTGGCTAATCTGCTACTTATATAAGTTAATAAAAGCTGATCTATTTTATATATAAATTAATTATAATTAATATAGTATTTATATTAACTAATAATATTTGACTTCTCATCAATATTAGCCAATAGTATTTAATCTCTCACTAATATTAGCCAATAACATTTGATCTCTCACTAATATTAATCAATAATATTTGATCTCTCACTAATATTAACCAATAATATTTGATTTCTCACTAATATTAACCAGTAACATTTGATCTCTCACTAATATTAACTAATAATATTTGATCTCTCACTAATATTAACCAATAATATTTGATTTCTCACTAATATTAACCAGTAATATTTGATCTTTCACTAATATTAGCCAATAGTATTTAATTTATAACTTATATATATTCATAACATTTAATATCCTCTAACTTATACATATTATTATCATAGCATATTAATTCACACTTATCTATACCAAATTCATATTTAATAATATACTATTTATATCTAATAATATCAAGAAATATAACTTAAATACTCTAATCATACTTAATCTTAAAATAATTATATATTCTCATCTCCTTTATAATTGTGTATATATCATTATATATAATACATAAATATATATAAAATATAATAAGTATTACTTAGTTGACTTGTTAATATATATTTTTTATGAATATATAATAATAATTTGGTTTTTATATGAAAAATTGATAAAAAAATATAAAAATTAATTTTTATTTATTCTGTACCTGCTCTTTACATATTTTGATACTTCTATATAATGTGACTAAATTTGCTTTATATGGCAAAATTTTTTAAAAAATTATTACTTAGTAAGAATTTGAACTTTTATTAAGGCAGACATATTTTATTTATTGTCGGAACGGCTTTTTGCCAGTTTAAGGTTCAATATTTTTCCATGCCAAGCTTTTATAACCCTGCTATTTATATAACATGCTGTCTCACACTAAAAATGCCAAGACTTCTCACACTAAATGCATTCAGACTAACCAAAAAAGGAAATTTTTTGCGAAAAAAGCTATTCTTTGTCATTTTTTCCCACGAATTCAATCTTATTGTTTACGTAGATCATTTATGCGAGATTATGCATGATTATGCATGTTATATAACAAGTATAGCCAAAGTTTATCAAATTTTTTCAGTAATGTATTTGTATTGTTTACGTTACGCTAATATACATAATGACATATGTTACACAAACTTTATTTTTTTATATTTTATATATATTCAAATTCTCTTATATATGTCTATATATAATTATGTAAGATTATGCAACATTATGCAACATTATGCAACATTATGCAACATTATGCAACATTATGCAACATTATGCAACATTATGCAACATTATGCAACATTATGCAACATTATGCAACATTATGCAACATTATGCAACATTATGTAACATTATATAAGCTGATAACAACCAATTAATACTATATATAAACTAATTATAGCTGATCTCATATATATATAAGATGTTGACCGCCAATCTTGCATATATATATGTATTTGACGGCTGATCTAGTATAAATATAAGCTGATAACTACTAATTTGATATATATATATAAGCTGTTGACCGCCAATCTGGCATATATATAAGTATTTGATAGCTGATTTAGTATAAATATATGCAAATAACTACCAATTTGATATATATATAAGCTGTTAACCACCAATCTGGCATATATATAAGTGGATGATAGCTGATCTACTATATATATAAGCTGATAATCACATATTTGATATATATATATAAGCTATTGACCGCCAATCTCATACATATATAAGTAGATGATAGCCAATCTAATATATATATAAGTCAATGATTGCCAATCTGGTATATATATAAGCCAATGATTAATGATCTAGTATATATATAAGTCTATGATTGCCAATCTAATATATATATAAGTCAATGATTAGTTATCTGGTATATATATAAGTCAATGATTGGCAATCTGGTATATATATAAGCTAATGATCGGCAATCTGGTATATATATAAGCCAATGATCGGCAATCTGATATATATATAAGCTAATAATTGGTGATCTAGTATATATATAAGCTAATGATCGGCGATCTGATATATATATAAGCCAATAATTGGTGATCTAGTATATATATAAGCTAATGATCGGCAATCTGGTATATATATAAGCCAATAATTGGTGATCTAGTATATATATAAGCTAATGATCGGCGATCTGATATATATATAAGTCAATGATCGGCAATCTGGTATATATATAAGCCAATAATTGGTGATCTAGTATATATATATAAGTCAATGATTGCCAATCTGATATATATATAAGCTAATGATTGGCGATCTGATATATATATAAGCTAATGATCGGCGATCTGATATATATATAAGTCAATGATTAGTTATCTGGTATATATATAAGTCAATGATTGGCAATCTGGTATATATATAAGCTAATGATCGGCGATCTGATATATATATAAGTCAATGATTGGCGATCTGGTATATATATAAGCCAATAATTGGTGATCTAGTATATATATATAAGTCAATGATTGCCGATCTGATATATATATAAGCTAATGATCGGCGATCTGATATATATATAAGCCAATGATCGGTGATCTGATATATATATAAGCCAATAATTGGTGATCTAGTATATATATAAGCTAATGATCGGCAATCTGGTATATATATAAGCCAATAATTGGTGATCTAGTATATATATAAGCTAATGATCGGTAATCTGGTATATATATAAGTCAATGATCGGCGATCTGATATATATATAAGCCAATAATTAGTGATCTAGTATATATATAAGCTAATGATCGGCGATCTGGTATATATATAAGTCAATGATCGGCGATCTGGTATATATATAAGCCAATAATTGGTGATCTAGTATATATATATAAGTCAATGATTGCCGATCTGGTATATATATAAGCTAATGATTGGCAATCTGCTATATATATAAACTAATGACAGTCAATTGAGTATATATATAAGTCAATAATTGTCAGTCCAATATAAATATAAGCCAATGACAGCTGATCTGTTATATATATAAGCTGATAACAGCCAATCTCATATATATATAAGCTGATAATAGTCAATCTGATATATATATAAACTATTGATAGTCAATCTCATATATATATAAGTGGATGATAGCTGATCTCATATATATATAAGCTAATAACTACTGATCTGGTTTATATGTAAACTAATTATTAATAATCAGATCTATATGTAAATCAATGATTGTATATCCAATATATATATAAACTGATAATAACTGATCCAGCCTATATATAAATCAATAGTGGCTAATCTGCTACTTATATAAGTTAATAAAAGCTGATCTATTTTATATATAAATTAATTACAATTAATATAATATTAATATTAACTAATAATATTTGATTTCTCATCAATATTAGCCAATAGTATTTAATCTCTCACTAATATTAGCCAATAACATTTGATCTCTCACTAATATTAACCAATAATATTGATTTCTCACTAATATTAACCAGTAACATTTGATCTCTCACTAATATTAACCAATAATATTTGATCTCTCACTAATA